TCCAGAGACAAAACAAACCTCTCCGATCAAATGGTTAGCAGTTCTTGACTTTTTTGTCACACATCACATTTGTATCCGTCCAAACTGAGAGCAGAGGAGAGAGATAGCAATGACATCTGACCCCTACACATTTTTGTTCTGTCCCGAACTGTGGACAGTTTACAAGGAGTTTTTCGCTACTGAACAATCAGTATGTTTGCATGCACAGTTAGTCTGAGTTACTGTTACAAAGTCAGTTATGGCTCTAATGTTATACTGGACTCCTGTCTACATCCCCAAATGCATTATAGAGGTACTGAGGTTTTAACTCAGGGCAGTTTAAGTTGACCTAACATGCTTGAGAGCACTTTAAAAATCCAGTTTTCCAATAAAATGCTGAACATGCTCAGCCCTAACTTTTTGTAACATGTTACACCTGCTTTATTTTTTCTTGGACTGATGAATCTATTTAGTTTCAAAATTTGACATGTTATTTTTGAATTATTTTTTCAAAGAAATGTATATGTTGGTAGTTTTCACAACCATCTACATTTTACATGGCATTAAAACTTTTTTCTCAGTTAGGGTTGTATGTTTAGTTTGCTGTGAAGTTCACAGGGTCTTGTTATTCTCTGTTTAGCAGGTACTTAGGAGCAAACAAAACAGAGCTGTTTAAGCCTCAAGGGTTCAGAGGCCAAGTGAATTAAAAAAAAAAAACAACATGGTTGATATTGGTTTAATCTTAGATTGGAGGTAGGACAGTTCTCAAGGGAAAAAAAAAATCAGACTTTAAATGGTTGAACGATTAATCAACCTTGGCTAAAATCAAGTGTAATGCAGGACTTGTCTGTGAATGGAGATTATAGAATCGGTGGCGCTAAAGGTCTGGCTGCTAGCTAATGCTAATCAGTCTCTGTGATCCCCTCTGGTGTTCCTCCTTCTTCCAAAACAACTAATCCACTTAAGTATCACAGGCCCCTCAGCGCTTTGCCCAAACTCATTTGTGTCGACTCTAATAATTAGCCTCTCCCCCAGTGTGATGAAACTCTAATTGTTGTGGTCAAAAAAATTTGCTCTTTACACTGGAGGTAATGAATTTCTTTTCAATGTACTGTAATTACAGATTAATTAGACAATTATTGGAGCGTATTTATCACTTCCCCCTTCATAGTGAGGTCTCAGTGAGGCCTGTTGATGTGGTCCTATGAATGGGATTAAGCTGGCTGTTAGGCCCCCGTCCCACCAGGGTGGTCATTTGGAGTGTTAACATTGTCAGCTTTAATTGAATTAAATCTTTGTCCTGTGTCATAATTTCTTATCAGTTTATATAATATGAAGTAAAACTTAGTTGATGTTTTTTTACAACCAAGATCCAGATCATCATAGATATTTTTTGTTGTTATAATTTTGATGCTGTGTTCTTGTGTCATTTTTTTTATTTGTCCCATAAGTTTGTTGGATTCAGGTTCCAGCTTTGAATTTTGTAATTCAAAGCACTTTGCAACTCCAAGTTGCCATATAAATGTATTATTATTACCAATAAAATTATACAAATGGTAGGTGAAAAAGTGTACAACCCTTTAAAATATTCAGAGATCCCATCTTTCAAGAGAGATTTGATATCTGTAAATGAATTTCCATGCTCCAATTGTCTTAGTGGTGAAAATAGCCACAAGTGCTCCTGCTGACTGGTTAGTTGGTTTTTAAATTTTGGGTCGCTGCATGTTTCCCTGCAGAGTTATAAAACACATGGAAGTCCCAAAATGCCTCCCGTGATGTTGTTTCAACATCTCAGGCAGACACAGTGGTCTCATAACACCCAGCACTGACCTTTCAGGGGGTAAGAAACAATAAGGAAAAGGCAATAAATCCAAATCCTCCACATGTTTTTATGGGCTCAATCTGACAAAGACATCAGGCTCTTTTCCATCACATGTGATTTATGTCTGGGGGGTTGAACCATGTCACTCAGCCACTCGCTGTTTCCATTTCCTGGCAGCTGGCAGCACAGCAGACGATCAGAGGTTAGAGGGCCACCCTGCCACCAAAGAGAGGACACCCTCAGCGTGTCGCATCATCCGCACCGCCCCGTCTCGCTCTGTTTTCCGAGGAGTTTTCTCCTGTTAACAGGCAGACAATGGCAACGGTCTGTGCAGGGGATTCATCACTGTGGAAAGTTCCAAGCTAGTGCTGCAGACGGAAACCTGACCTTTGCATTCAGGTCGCGAAAAATGGTGGTCATATCATGTCTGTGCGTTTGTTGTTCCAGCTTCATCTTCACACATACTGAGAGGGAGGTTCACTCACACCCAGATCTCATTTCAACTCTCCCGTCCCGCCCAAATCACGAGAAAAATCAAAGTGCTGGAATCAACAGGTGGTCTTAATGGGCTGAAATGAGACTGTTTTTGTCTTGCAGGTTCTGAATGAGGGATATTTCTGTTCAAACACACTGTGATCACTGTGTGGCTGTAGGCAACTGTGTGTTTGCAGCAGAGCTTCACCAAAGACACAGAGACTGTTAAACACAAGAAATATTTTGTGTGGGTCCAGCTTTTTTGGGAGGGTTGTGCGCCAAACTTGTTGAAGTTGGGCTGCTTGATTATAGCAAAAATCATAGTCATATTTATTTTGATTGATATTGATCACATTATAAATCACGTGATTACCCATCATTTGCATCACACTAGTTTAAGCAAATCAAAATATCTTTAAAACTTAAAAACTATTAATTCTTAAAAAAAAAAAAAAAAACATAAAGTGGTCAAAATAAACTGTGTAGCTTACATTTTTATGTTTATTAAAGCATGTGCAGTAGCCCGGCAGTTGTTAGCTTGTTAGCACACGCACAGGTTCCTGGTCGCCACAGCCCCATTCTCATCAATGCTCATTTCGTCCCTTGGCTTTTCAGACACACACCAATACACACACCAATCCTCCTGCTGCTCCTCTCCCTGCTCTCCTCTCTCCACCTGTGGCTGCCTGATAGTTTGTACAACTTTCTTGTGAGGCTAAACTTTGTTTCACACTCATGCAAGCTGCTTATGATAGGGTGACCATATGTCCTCTTTTACCAGGACATGTCTTCTTTTGGGGGGCTGTCCAGGCTGTCCTTCAAATGTCCGCGCTTTTGTATGTAGGTTTCGATTTTGTGTCACATGGACTTACTGAGTTAGTAGCGCTTAAAAGACACTCAATCCAACCTGAAAAACTCTCAAAATTAACTCTGTGCAACTCCGTGACTCCGCCCCCGCGTAATCATGTCTAGCTTAGACACTAGTAAGTCTGAAAAAACAGAGCTGCTTAAATTTGCGCTTATAATCATAAGTCACTCAATACTGAACAAAAATGACTGACCACAATCATTTCTCAACTCCTGAGACCAAAACTAATGCTTTTGCCACAGAGTCAACAGGCAGAGGTGATTGATAATAGCCCACCTTGGTATATTAAAACCAGTTACACCCTAAAGTTAAACTAAACAAACTAGCTTTTTTTTCAGACTTCCCACATCATCTTCCTTATCCTGTAAAAATGATCAATATTGTTCAGGATGTCAAAAACATGATTTTTATTTATTATTTATTTTACATTGAAGTCCAGCCTAAATGAAAATGACAAAGCCCCGGTGTCTTGAAGCCAGTTTGTAGGTGTTCAACCTGGTGGTCTGATGGTAATGGAGAACACAGTTTAAAACACTCAGCACTTTCTGTTTGATTGGTTGCCCCCTGCGGAGTCTTTTGCATTGCATTGTGGGAGCCGTTTATCAATACTCTGTCTTCGTGCTGAGACAGATGGAGGCTCATTCAGAACAGGTTCAGGATTCTGTGTTTTTGTTTTCAACTCTCAAAGGAATAAGTTCAGGTACGCACTGATGCTAGAACCTGCCAGCTACAACAATAACATCTGTGCTGAGGATTAGATCACTCCTTTAAAACGTCTGCAGGAGAGCAAATCTTATTATCTGAGGAGTGTGTGGAAGAGTAGATTCAGCAAAAATTATGGTGTGCTCTTAAGCAAGAGATGATATTTTATTTTTTAGCCCACCTATGGGGAAGTCACGTATTTTCTAAAGTTTAAAAAGTTTGCAGATTCTTCACAGTGATAAATACACCACTGGGATAATAATCAGTTCTGCCTTTAATTTAATGTATCTGTGCTTCCTTTTGTAACCTCATGTGGTTTTGGTATTAGCCTAAAGGAGCAGGTTGTTATCAGTTTAGGGTATTGGGCCAAAAAATTAATGTCCGGCGTTGTTAAAATACAGTTTAAAATTTGTTGTGTTACAACTCCCGTAAAGTTTTTTTGGTGACTTCCTTAAGAATACTGAAATTGATGTTGATGCTTTTTTTATGACAAAAAAGCAATAAAGACAGTTAACAACAAGGCTGATGATTTTTAAACTGTTATTCCAAATGCCTCAAATCAGTGCTAGAGGATAGAAGTCAGTTTTTACGATTTCCACCTAAAGTTTTTACAATATATTGTTCCCCTGAATATTAAAAGTAAGCAGGATGAGATTTTTGGTCAGAAGACACTACTTAACCCTTTAATGCCTTTTGTATCATATTTGATACATACTTTTATATATTTCTATTGAATCAATATGATCAACAAATTTCTAAAAAAAAAAAAAACACCTGAATACAGTCTGATAAATAATTAAAAAATGTCCTCTTGTAGTTTATCGGTTTCCAAAAACATCTAAAGTATCAAACGAGATAAATAAATATATTTGTTAAATTTTAAGGACATTTTGATTTTTTAGGTTTTCAATAATAAATAAAATAAACATTTCAGCTCCAAAGAAATTAAAAATTTCTGGCCATAATTTGTGGTGTCAGGCATTAAAGGGCTACAAATGTAAAGGGAAAGTTAAAGACTGCTTCGTCCATTGGGGGCGCCAAAATTCACACAAACCAAAAACTCCTCACTGGTGCTTTAATGACATAATGATTAAAAATAACAAGGATGGGATTTAGGGTGTCAAAAAAAGTCATTCCAGTTGGGATCACCCCGAGTTTGTTTTTTAAACAGCTTTATTTCAGATGAATTAATTTTCAGTTCTATCAGGCTGTTCAATAGCCAAACATGTATCAATACTTTTCATTACAGCCATCTACAGTTCAATGCAAAAAAAAGTAGAAAATAAAAGATAAAAAAAAATAAAACCCACATAAGCCACATTGTTTCATGTGTCATTAAATATATTCATTTGTGATAAACATAATATATTAGTATTACAAGACATTACACAACCTTTATTTGCTATGGACACTGCTGAACAACATTTACAAGCTGGTGTATAAACAGATCATTATTCAGATGTGTATGATTTATGGAAGGCAGAGGAAGGGAGTACCTCTCTGCAAAGACCTGCAAAGGCCTGTCAAAGTGTGTGTGTATGTCTGCAGAGACTTTACAGGAGTGTGTCTTTTCAGAGAAATACAGTATGATGCACAGAGTACAGAGGTGTACCCTTGTATTTATGTGTGTGTTTGAGTATTTATCAGAGTCGTAGTTTATTCTCTGGCATTCATTGATTTTCTTTCCTTTTATTTAGCCTCTAGTGTTTAAAAACTCTGGTTTAGTTCACATGGAGATAGATCTAGTTAATGTCAAGCAAAAAATAAAAAAGTAATACTATACAGCTATATGACACATAGACAACCAGTCATGTCTGTTTGTCGTGTACCAAGTCTTTATGGTGGTCCTCAAGGAGGCGCTTTGAAACGACAAACATTTGACACGGCGTGCTGAACGCACTGCTTAATAAACATCTGTGATATTTTATCACTCCACAGGTAATTTTCCCACAACACTTAATACTGTATACAAATTAAAAGTGTACATAATTCACAATCATTGTTAGCCAACAGTCAGCTACAGTAAGTGGTGAGCATGCATTACATCAGTGGTATGAGGACTCATGATAGGTTGATTTTTTCTGAGGTGAGGTGGTTCATATCATAATTTCTTTTACTTCAACGTCCAACTTAAATTTAACGTTTTGTTAGAAAATAAACTCTGACTTCTATGTGTAGCTGTAAAAAAATAAAAACACACATCAGTGAGGCAGAAATGATTTAAACTGTACAACTTTTTTGCATCTTATGGCGCAGCTATGGGATCTTCTTTCCTTTTGGATGCCACTCTGAAATGTGAACATATCTCATATGTTCTCAAAGTTTTTCCTAATAAAAATAAGTGCATGGTTGACATGTCTATTCTACTCTCACTATCTACAGAAAATAATGTCTATGTATGCACGTATGGTTACTTTACACTGCAGAGGTCACAACCACAACAAACTGTTGATACACTGAAAAGCGCTGAGCAAAGACTTGCTTATAACATTAAAAAATGATCATAATACAGAATGAGCTGAGGGTCAATATGGCAGTTATTTCACTGAGGTAACACTCACATGTGAGCAAGGAGCTCCAGAACAAAATTGCACCTATTATGTTTTTCATACTTAATTTCACAATTTATTTTTCCTTTTGGCAGTAGGACTGTATCCCATGCGTTTGTCAGTTTGGCAGGGTTTATTTTCAAACTTCTAAAAACATACATGAAGACTCTCAGAGCCCCATATTCACATGGCTACCTTTACTTTTAACATGTCACTCAGAAAGGGAAACTCTTGAACATGTCATGTCAATGTATGCCTGGTTAAAAGGAAAAGTGGAAAAGTGGTAAGTCATAAACACTTATTTCATGATATTTAAACCTTTTAAGTAACCCAGTATAGGTTCAAACTTGAGAGAAAGGGTCATTAAACCGTTATTTACAAGGCTAAAATCGCTGCAAATAACCAAATACTAGAAAATATGTGTAAGCTTCTACTTTCCTTTTGTTGTCTATTGGCTCTTATTAAGATGTAGCACAATTCTCTTTGCTTTTAGCAAATGCTAGGCTTACTTGAGTTTTATTTGACTACCAAAATAGTATGAAAGTATGGGCTTTGACTGTCACAATTTGTTTATTTCAAATGCTCAAATCACAGTAACAATGACAGTGATAGAGTACTTGTGCTAGATCATAAGTTGTAGATGATAAGCTATAAAAATGAAAATGGCTAAAAGAACGCCAAACACTTGAAATTGCTGAATGTATTAGCGCCACCCTAAGGGTTACAACATAATGTTCTCAGAGCACTCAGAAAAGATGTGGAGCAAAAACAAGAGATACTGTCCACTAGTTTGTCACTAACTGGTAAAAATACTATGTGGATAAAACTAATCCCAAAATGGTCAATAATTTACAAGCCACCTTAGTATCATCCATATATGGGAAACACTGGCAGTGCATACTTAGCAGTAAATCTTTAACCTTCCATAAAGACCCTATATACTGGAAAACAGGTTTTTCCTCGCCTATCCACATACTTCAGTCAATCTCTAACCTTGCAACCCTGGTAATCTGTAAGTGGAAAAACCTTAGTATTGTCTCCTTTTCCACTTACTGGGAAAGCATAGCTTTTATAAGGCAATGTGAATTTGCTCCTGTGGTGATGTAATGACAGGAGTGATAGGTGTTACAGAGTCAAGATATCAAAGGTTAGACCCAGACATGCCAACTACTCTGTTGTTGGTTGTGTAAATTAACACGTCTGTTTTCCATCTCAACACATTGAAGACCAAATAAAACACTAGTTGGTCTCAATTTTAATGGTGATATGTTGGCTACTACTGGTGTTTTTTGTTTGTGCCAGACTTATTTTGGTCTTTTTCCATCTTAACATCTGTCTTCACCACTCTGAACCCTTGCTCCTCTGTAAAAATTAAGACCGCCAATCAGTGCAGAGTCTCATTACCTTTGCATCCCAGATCACTGTATGTATAATGAAGCAAGAGACTAAATGGCATGTGTCTATTTTTTGGCAAGTGAATGAAAACCTTCCAAGACAACCAGGACATGTTGAAAAAAAACAACAACAACAACACGAGCTCCCTGCCTTGAGCATGATGTCTGGGAAAATGGCTGCCATGTGAATATGGTGAAAGCTCTCAGTCCCTCATTGATACTGCTTCACTCAGCGCAGTGGGAGTTATTCCTCTTGAGGTACAAAACGGGGGTTGGAAAAATACATTATTCTTTAAAACAACTTTATCACAGGACTGTAAAAAACAAAGGCATCATGGGTAACATAGTAAGGATATGATCTGTAACATTAGGTGCAAACTCTGCAATTAAACAACAAAATAAACCTTGAAAGACAAAACGACTGTGGAATGAGCTCCTTCACAAAAGTTCCTAAAAAATAAAACGCTAAACTTTTTGCTCTAAGTCAGAGCAGCAGCACTCAGTCCTTTTCCCATTTCTCCAACTATTCTCCTGTGTCTTTCTATGTTATAATCCTCCAGTTTATTATTTTTTCAATCATCCTTTCCTCTTGCATTCATCACAGCAGAGACGTTAGTTTGCCTCCGGCTCTCTCTCCATCTTTCCCCCCTCTCCAGCCACTTTTAGCATTTCCCCCTCTTGTCGCGCTGTTGGAACTTCCTCAGCCGGCGACCCCACAGGTCCTTCCAAGGGATGAGCAAGCTTCCTTTGTCTGCCACCACGCCGCTTTGTCCGGGAGAATCGTCATCCGTCCCCAGGAGGAGGTACTTTCTCCCAGGTTTTATCTTTGGACATTTGCAGGCTACATCCTTGGCACGCACCCACAGCAGCTGGTCTCCTCTGCGGATGCGGTTCTCACCTTGTTTGTAGACAGAAATTATGTTGACGGTGAACTTCCACCACTCGCCTGCTTTGTCCCCTTTTAGAACGTGGACTTGGACAGCTGGAAGAGGGGAAGAGAAAAGGAAAAATTAGTCCATCTACATTGACAAATATTCATGGAGTACCTAATGACTTCCAACTAGGGATGTAGAGAAATGTCATCGTCAATGAGATGGAACTTGAAATCTCAACTAAATAGTCTTTCAGTAAGAAAACAATCAGTAACAGTCAAAATTAAGCAGTAGACCTCTGCTAAAGTTGGTCTCTGAGAGTCTGCAGGTAAACATACCAAACAATTGCAAAGTGGTGCTAAAGACAGCAGAGGTAGCACCACCAGCCTTTAGTACTTCCTGCACGTTAACACTCACATGGGTCTGCTTGGAAGCTGACCTAGTTCACTAGTTTGTTTCCCACCTGGTTGGCTTGATAGATTTCTCTCCACAACCTCTATTCTGTTAAAAGATTCATAACCGTTGCTCAGAATGATGCCAGACTCAACAATAACAACAAGGTTGTATTCTTGTTTTTGACTGAATTAAAGGCCCATCTCTTACTGACACCCGTCCCTAAAAAAGCCTGGGTAAATTCATTCATTGAAGCAAATGAAATCCTGGCCATGAATTTAAGGTTTGTGGTTTCTCTATTGCAAAGAACTTTCTGTGCACACAGCACAACAATTCTCAAGCTAGATCCTCTGAAAGAACACCTCTCTGTGGTGTAAAGGAAACACTTTTCCTTCAGGTGGCCGATTCTCTTTTATCCAAAGAAAAATGGCCCACCAAGAATTTTTATGGAAAAATGGCACATCTGCTAACGATGTAACTTCTGAGACAAATCCTTTCCAATTGGTCTAATTGGTGCTATCTAGATCCTGAACATCAGAGGAAAGGTGCCTTCAGGCCAAATCATGCCAAACCTGGTAACTATTGAAACACCACTTGAACAGATATTTTCATACCAGAGAATGACTAAAACTCCTCTCACAGTGTCCCCTGCACAGATCCTCCGTCCAATGAAGCATCCATTACTGCGTCATAATGAAGGCAACAAGAGGTCTAACAGCACAACAGTGAGAGAGCTAATCTGTGCTTAAAATGAAGTGATTCACCCTTGGCTTTAGCTGGGAATGTGCCATTAATGTTAAGAGTGTGTTGGGAGGAGACTGAATTAGATGATGGGAATAATTTACGATTAAACAACTAGCAGGATGTTTATCAAACGAATATGCTTCAATTTCACTTGTATCTCAGTATATCTCTTGTATAAGCTATTCTAGTTATCTGATGGACACACATAGCGGTTTAAGAAAAAGGGAATCACGAGAGCTGTTCCTGTTGTAGGTTTTTAGTTCCGGGCCAAACAAAACTCCCATGTCAACCTACATGAGTCTCATGTTGTAAGATTAGCACTCATGTTTCTAGCTGTTGTTAAAACACAGCCAATGTTTGCGTAAATTTGTTGTTAAAATGAATGTATAAGTTAACCAAATCATAAAATTTAAGCAAACTTAAGCAAAGTAGACAAAGGTTTAAGTCCTTTTAAATGTGTTTGGTTTGCCGGTGAGCTAAAACTCGCAGAAACTCAGTTTATAGCCATGTTAGGACCTCTCAGGATCATCCAAAAGACACAGATTTAATTTTGAGACTGCTTCATTCTTGGTTTTTGCGTTTTCAAGTTGCCTGAGATGTATATATCAATACTTTAATCATATTTTGTTTGTATACATAAAATTTGACATTCATTTAGGGAATGATGGACATGTCCTCTACTCTAATGAGGAGAGGACTTCCTCGACTCTTAGACGGAAGCTTTTGCAATTGTTTCCATAAAGTTCCTACACCTTAATGAGATAGCTGTGCAGGTTAGCCTTTCTCTGCCTTTCTGGCTGAGCATGATCCCTTAAGGTGATCTTCAGTCATCCTCTATTCCTGCCAATAATGAAGAGAACCAGAGGAGTGGGCTGTTTGAGTATGTGTGTCAATGCATGGTGTGAGCAAATTGCACACAATTTCAGAAGAAAGAAGGTTTGTTGGGCTGAGGAGGGCGAGCTCTCACAGCCCTGCCATTCATTGCAGCCCTCTCCTTCATCCAGACACAAAAAGGGTGTGTGAGGAGGGGGGAGGAGGGCCTACTATTTGTCTTCCCAGCCACAGAAGAAAGTTCCAGGAGGATCGGGATGTGTTTCCAACCTCATGAGCTATCCGGGTTTCTGCTCCCAGAGCCCCATCCAACTCTGCAGCGTGAGAATCCGGCAGAGATATCACGCTCCTCTCCAGGCCGTGGAGACTCAGTTAAAGCATCCAGCCTTTTCAGTCTCAAGTATGTTCTCAGTCTGTGTGGTGTATTTAAACACACACAAATCCACACATCTTCTGCCACTTGGTTTAAGCTAAGTAGACAACAGAGAGAAGCTGAGATCACAGGGTCAAACCATCGATTACAAAATAGTGCGAGCTGACACTGTTTAGGGAGACGGACAGTGTGAGATGATCCTGCACTTGCACAATGGCTACCGACTGAGCCTCCCTCACAGCCAGACCTCCAGCTGGGTTTATCTTCTTTGGGCAGTGTGCTGCGGCTTGACACGGCATGCCACCTACAAGCAAAGGCTAATGAAATTAGCGCTTGGTTAATTACCGCGCAGAGGCCCCCGTCCCCCCGCTGGTTATCAGCTGAGTGAATGATCAGGGACCTGTTACCCTCGGGTGAGCGCAGAGGGGCGTTCAGGGAGGCTAGGGGGGGGACATTGCCTTTGAGCGCTATCCCAGAGCGTCGGTAAACACGCGGCCCTTTGATTCATTGTCCTCCCGGGTGCAAAGAGAGGGAGGGTACGTGTGTGCAGAGGAGGGTGTCAGGCGAGAATATAATACCTTTGTGTCCACCGTCTCCGTAGCTACAGCAGTGATGAAAAACAAAAATTGAATAAACAAAACATATTTCTTTCTCTCCGGGGTGGCAATCCGTCACCGTCTGACTAATTTAGCACCTGTTTGTGCACCGAGGAATGCTTGGTGTCTTCAGAGCGCACAACTGTGTTTAAACAGAGGGCCCCTTCCCGTGACCCTGGGGGGGCCTGCAGCAGCACTCACACATGGGGGGTTGTGGCCCCTGAAGAACAGAGAAGAAGCTCCACAAAAGCAGGGCGACAGGCCTGAGAAATGAATTAGAGCGAGGTGAAGGGAATGCATGCTAAGCTATGATGCCTGCCATACAGAGATTCATCTGCTTCCAGGCTTTTTATAGGAACTTCAGAGAAAGGCAACAGGAACCGCTCGCTATGCTTGAAGCAGCCTGACTGATTTATAGATGGAGGGCCGGCCTCAGCTGTGATGATTAAGATTTAAATCAGGGGAAATATGAATAACTGCTGCTTTTGGCTCCACAGCGAAACGCAACAAATGGCCTGAATTACTGTCTGCTCAGCTGTGAGCGGGAATAAGATATCTTTGGCCAATTTTCAGTTGGATGCCATTTAGAGAATATAAAGATGAAGTTTCACCAACAGTGGTTTTGAAAGAGAGGCCAATTAGTCTTCTCTGAAAGAAATCATCATAAAGAGAGCAGAGGGGTCAGAGCGAAGAACAAAAACTGGTTCATGCACAAGCATACAACAGTTAGGTTCAACCAGATGTTGAAAAAGGACAGTCAGGATCAGGAATCTCATTGGACAAGATGTAGTCCAGAATATCACAGCACACAGGACTCTTCATATTGTCTTTTTTTTTTACCCACCTCGATTGATATTACTACTCTGCGTTCTACGACAGCAAACAGTCTTGATCTAAAGTGGTCAAGCTGGTGCCTCAGAATCAAACAAGCACCCAAAACAACCATCATCAGACATTTAGGCCTTGTTTAGACGAGTCTGAACTGTCACTTCCATAGGTATTTTGGGATGCGAGCTTTGCTAATGCTCCCTCTCCCAACCTACCAAAAACAGAAAGGATTGAGTGGTTCCAGACTTATTCACCAAGGTCACTTGGTTTGGTGATGTCACTCTAATATTCTTTGGCATTCTGGGCAAATTTACAGCAACCTACTTTATTGGTGTGTGCCAGTCTGTGGTTACAATAGCGTGCAGCATGGAATACCACTTTTCGTTTTTTCTGTCAGATCTGCTTTTGCTTTGAAATCTACTTACATCACTTTAAGTCCCTCTTGTGCAGGGAGAGTACCTACTCTGAAGCAGGAAATAAAAGGTTCCTCTTAATGGGGTACTAGGAACTGAATTACATCATAGCCAACAATTCAATAACGGCAATGAAATCTTTTTTTAATTTAATGTTTATGTGACTGAGGAGATATGATGAATTTAATTTTAGAGTCTAACAACTATAGCAGTACTGGGAGCTGCAGTGAGAAGAAACACCCCATGGTGTAGTTCTTGGGGTACTCCCCATTGAATAGTTCCTGCCGGTAAACACATAAGTTTTCCTTGTCTGAACACCAAAATAAACTACTTAGTAGGAGCAAAAACTGCTTTTCACGGCAGTAGCTCAGGAGGTAGAGCGGTCATTCAATATCTTGAAGGATGGCGGTTCGATTCCCCCCTATCCCTATTCTGTCTGTTGTGGCCTTGGGCAAGGCACTTTACCCACCTTGCTCCCCGTGTGTGTCCTCCACTGGTGTATGATTGTGAGTGTTGTGTGGTGGTGGCCAGAGAGACCGTAGGCGCAAACTGGCAGCCATGTTTCCGTCAGTCTGCCCCAGGGCAGCTGTGACTACTAAGGTAGTTTACCACCACCAAGGTGTGACTGTGTGAGCGGATGAATGATGTATCCAATGTAAAGCACTTTGAGGGTCTCTGATAAAGCGCTATATAAAATCTGATGCAATATTATTTATTATTTTTTGGGGTGTGATTTGACAGCTTGGTGAGTAAGAACATAAAGATATATTTTCTTGTTTATTCTGTATTAGCAGACATTGCCTCGGGCTGTGTAAGTGAGCCATCACAGCACCAGGATAGGATTAATTGAGACATCTGACCTCTGGACTGCTGGCTGACATGAGGCAGCCGATGATCCTGCATATTGGACTCACTCACTCACCGTAATCTTTTTTACAGTACTTCTTCATGGTGATCTTCATCTTTCCCTTGGAGGCTTTGCAGTGAGATTCACAATCTGTAAAAAAAACAAAGAGGTGACAGAAAAAGAGAATGAGATCATAAATTTCATCTTTAGAAACTGTTTATGAAGATTGTGTTGCTGCGTCGTCAACTGAATTGACTTAAACTGGGTCTTTTGCGTCACATAATTAGTGTCCTCAGGGTTTTTTAGATGCCTCCAAAGGGCCACAGTGAGACAGATTACAGCTGACACAGATCCTCCTGTGTCTGTCAGCACACTCCTACTACTCCTACTATCCTCCGCCCAGTGCCTCAGCTCCCTTCTCAGTGTCCTGGTATGCATTGTGTGTGCGCTCTGAGGGCTGCAGAGGTCACTCGTGCACAAAAGAAGGTCTCAAGGGGGAATTAACAAGTGACCTGCCTGAAATTAGCGGGGACCCTTAGCAGCGTCTGGGCCTCATGAGGAGAGAAAGTGAAAATCCTGACGCTAGCTGAGGCTAAATGATCTATAACCCCTAGAGGAACAAGCTCGTGGACTTTTTGATTAATGCCTCAGAGGTGTCATTGTTACACCTGGGGGAGCACGCCAGAATGCTTTATCGATGTCTGCCGTGGCGTCACTTTGCCAGGTACTTTTTGTAATGGCGGCGGGACCAGAGGGCAAAGTGAAAAATTGAAATCATTTGTTCCCTCGGCTTTCCTCTGACTGACACAAATTGGAACCAGATCATTTTAGAGTGTCGCTCCCCCCTCCCTCCCCACCTCTCCCAGAGCAATAAGCCTTGTGCTTTTTCTGGGGGGGGTGGGAAAGCCGGGCAGTGTGAAGAGAAAGGAGGGGGCAGTTGAGAGAGAGGGGGGACCTTTCAGCCTGCCTGAATATGGACAAACTTCATTATTTCTTCCAGCCCTCTGTCCAGTCTTCCCCTTTCTTTCCTATTATACTCCCTGTGAATGAGGTTGCCTGGGTAATGATTGAGGAAGAAAAAAACGCCCCTCTCCTCCCTCTCAAAAAAAAAAAAAGTGGTTTGGGACGTGGGATGAGGATTGAATTCATGTATGTAGAGAAAGCATTTCTGCTGGAATGCAGGGCTGCTTACCAGGGTGGCGGGAGAAATAAGAAAAGAGGAAATCCCAAAGTAAATGAATTTGACGAGTCCATATCAAGCATGCCTGATTTCCATGTAAATGAAGCGCAGAGGGCGGGGGGCTTCTTTATCTCCCGCTATCCCCTGGGGGCCTGTATCATACATCCTTTGATAGCTGACGTGTCCCATTAGCCCCTTAGCGCGATCGCCGCAGTGGGCCATTACACTCTCAGCCCTCATTAAGGTCCAATCCCCCGCTGCGAGGACAAACGCCCCCTTTGTGCGTCTCTGCGGCAGTGCCACGTTCGTCCTGCGGGGTCCCAGGGGAACACACTGCTCCTAATTTGGAGGGTGGTGACTGTGTGGAGTTTCTGACAGGAATCCAAACTCCACACAGCCTCGACAGGCACTATAGTAGGAAGTGGGATGCACAACAAAGCTGAATGAAGTCAGTGGCGCCACTTTCTACAGACACTGATCGATGAAGAGGAGTGACTCAGCCTATTCAACCAAACCTGTATCATGGTGAAAACAAACTCATGTATTGTTATCCAACAAATAGCACACCAGCTCAAGGCTTATTTGTGTTCTATGTTAGTTAGACATATGGATATGGACAGAGCCTCCTATGCTATGTGTTCATTTTGCCCATTAGTCTACACATTTTCTGCAAAGCTCACCAAAAGTTACAGAATCTAAAATCTTAACAGAATATCTGACTCCTGGATGTTTTTGGTGAAGATGAAGCGCTAACAAGTTTTGGTGCCAATGAAAAGAAATATAGGATGCATTTATATCTTGAGGTCCAGTTCGGTACAGCCAAGTACCCAATTCTGGCATTTCAATTGTCAATAGTTGGGAAATATACCCAAATAACCCAGCCTGTATCGTCCTGCTATTATAAAGGTGTTGTGCTGAATTCTACAGAGATGGCTGCAAAGAGTGTGATTAGGAGTGGGAATCACTAGTGGCCCCAGGATACGATATTTTCAGGATCCTTGGGCCACGATACGACATTATCCCGATTTTTAACATTTTGCAATACAATGAGTATTGCGATACAATATATTGAGATTTATACAATTTTTTTCAACTGTTTCCCTATTTTAGCATTTGGCTTTCCTTTATGTTTGTCTCACCTCTGCCAACCTAACTGGACATATACCATATATTTGACTTCATATTAGCAATTTATTTGAAAAAATCAATACTTGGTAAATGAGAAGATACGATATATCACCAGACAAAATATTGCGATGCTATGCTGTATCGATTTTTTTTCTCCCACGCCTAGGTGTGATCATAAATGATAAAATAATTCCCATAATTTGACCTGCAGCTATCGTGATTAATGGCAACTGTTTTTTTCCATTAAAAGTTCTTTGCAGGCTAATACGTATAGGACCTATGCACGCTGCTCTTATCACCAATAACTGTGCCACTCTCAACTTCAGAATAAAAGTATTGTGTGGAATCAAAAAGAGTAAGTAGTTAAAAAAAAAAAAAAAAAAAGAACTGGCTTTTCCACGTGAATAGCCATCTTAGAATTTTTTTTTCATGCTCGTACTTTTACATAATATGTTTTTTTTTTGTAATTTTTTCAGGCCTAGTATAAAACAACTGTTCTGTCACATAAAAAAAAAAAACGCATTGTTGCTGAAGTCATAGCCAATAGAATAAGGGCATCTTTTAACACCAAAGGGTTTGGTTTAGTTTGGTACAGCCTGGGTCAGCTAACTTTGACCTACCCTGACACCATCACACCACAAATGATGTGTGATGGCTGTGTAATGTCCCAGCTGAAATTCAGGCGTCTTACTAGATTTTTCCTACAAATCATGTGGATCTCAGCTCTCAGTTTATCATTTTTCTTTGTGCACTTGCCTGTCTTCGCTCTGTATCAGCAATGTTTTTGTCACATTAATTACGTGTCCCAAAAGTCTGGGGTTGTGTTGTCAAATATATCTTTTACTTGGGGTGTAAACTATTTAATATATCTATATATTTTATTTATATTATTCCTGAGATGACATTTTTTATTATTATTTCTACTCTTGAAAATTTTATTTTCTTTTGTCTTTTGAGTCTACTTCAGTAAAATGAGATTGATGTATTTTAATATGTGCTGTTAAGCACTGCGTTTGAGATGAGGTGAGACTGTAAACATTTTAATGACCATTGGACATTTTTATGTCATGGAAAAGCATTTATTGTTTTGGTTAACCAATCCAGCATTACTAACCCTGACAGTCATTAGGACACTTAACCAATTAACCACACTAATGATCCCATATGTCATTGGATCATAAGATAACTTTTTATTGTAAATTATATATTGAAATTGAAAAAAAGTATGGTCAAAGAGATAGAAGACATACACGGCAGGGTGTCCTGGCCAAAGACTTTGTACCTTTTTCATCCTTATCATACACATGTGAACTAGATAACTGTAAAGCCCCTCCAAATTTAATTAATCTCTTTTCCAGCTAATAAACAGAGACAGAAATCATCACCACTAAACCTGCAAGTAAATATTTTTGTTGCACATGGTGTAATGTCAGCGGTCCAACACGGACACCCTTCTCAGAGCACAGGAACAATAGAGCTTCACTGTCGGCCCAGCAGGCCCTGATTGAAATACAAACTGGTGCAAATGAAGCATGTAATCAGATTAGGGGTGAAACCCTGGGGAGGCAGCTTGGCAGGCTGGGAATACTGACAACCAGGCCACAGGGAGCAGTGGAGAAATATCTGGAGTTTACATCAGCTGCAGACAGACCTCAACGACCACTGTTTGGTTAAGGAGTGAAACTATGAGTGGACGGGAAAACATGCTTGTGCTAAATACTGTTGTTGGATTTATGAAAGAGCAGCTCCTCCAGTTTAGATGTCAACGTATATCAAAACACAACAAAAATTATTCTCAAACATCAAAAAAACTTGTGAAAAATGAGCCAAATTGGGATTGTGTTATTCACCTGATGGTTCCTCGTAGCTGCTGTAAGTTGCTGTTGGAGATGCAACTGGAATCTCTGTGAAAAGAAAAGATAAAGATACCGATTATAAACTAAAATCAACATAGGACACATACAGGATAAAACAAACATCATGAGGAGAGATATTTCATTTCATTTCCTCATCTTAAACTAATAGGGTATTCCTCCATATGGAAAGCTCTTACATTAAAGCAGCTTAAACTAACAATGAACTGTTTCCAATAAATTTTAGTACGAGCTAGGAAGACTTGTTAAGCTAACTTTGATGAAGTAGAAAAGGCACAAATTCTAAGCTGGTAATGTTTTCAAAGATTTTTCTTTCTGTCTTTCTGCCAGGGGTGGAAAGCAAATATTAGTTTTAGTTTGTAAGAAGCAGTGTATTAGATACAGTATGTTTATTAACCTGAGATACATCCGTATTGTACCCAAGATTGTTTCAGTTTATTGTCTGACATGGTGTTAGGATTTTCTTCCAGGTGTAAACTGGAAGAAAACTATATTCTATATAAAACTGTAAACTATATTCAATATTCACTGTATTTTAAAAGGAGCCTACATTTACAAAGCCTGGAAAAACCTGGAAAACATCATAACAACTTCTGAGCCTCCCTCCCTGATCACTCTGCCAGAGGAAATTGCCGCTGCGAGTGTGGTGAATGGGATTTCTTTAATGAAAGTTGACTTGGATGCCCAGATGTGCTGAAAAAGCGGTGTATCGTGACTGCAAGTCTCCTATTAATGTTAAACTCCCCCCTGATTGTGGTTTGTCGTAGGTCAAGTGAGCCAAAGCCGACAGTCTTGTTAAAGTCCGAGCTGGCTGAAAGTTACAGCCAACAAAAAGTTTTATATCATCCTATTAAACAAAAACACATCATCTGAAAAAATATACAAGAAATCCCATATATTCTTCTCTTCAAAAATCTTATTCCCTCCAACTTTTACACCACACTTGTTTCCTTCCCACAAAATTGAAGAAATCCTTTTCCAGCAGGTCCACAGGTTCGAATTATCTCTGTGGATTCAAGCCAAACAAATCACTTCAGTTCTCCGCAGACGCCTCGTCTAATATTCACACATGACTTTATCAGAACCTCTGTAGCTTAGTGGACAATTGTTTGTGTGTACATGTCCTCCCAGACATTACTCTTATCTTATCTGTCGATGCCAGCCAGCGACTTGGTGCTCCTCGCAAAAGGAGCTCCGAGCTAACATATCTCTGTTTGTGTGAAACGTTGGCATTTATTACCGCTAGCCTGGAATCTGCACACAACAGATACAGCCAATAAACATATCAGCCATCGTTTCAGCCCTGGACCGGCTTTGCAGATTTATTGTGAGACGAACTGTTTGTGGTGTTGAAGGCACACAGGGCCTTGTTAGGGGTGCTCTAATAGTCTGTTTACCCTGGCCCTGTTTTAAACAGACCAATATTTATGTGAAATAAAAGTAATGTAAGCTGAGCTATTCATAAAAAAACATGTCCTGTCTTTTCCAAGTCTTGAACCAATCAGGGATTTCTCATTTGGATTTGCTATCACTGATGGAGTCCTGGCGTCCAGTCTAACCAGACTGGTACCTGTTATTTAAGAAAATAAACATTATTTTTATGGTTTTTTAGGGTTATGTGAAGACAAAGTTAGGCTGTGTAAGCTTTTTCTGTTTCTTATGGTTAACTTCCCCTATAAATTTTGACGTAGAGGGAGGCATGGAGCAAATAGTTAGGCAAAGGAGTCAAAACAGCGACTGATACAAGGACTGAAGCCTTTAAACTGCCAGTCCATCGTACCTCAATCTCTTTGTTTTGAGTTTATTGGTTCACAGTTGTTGACAAAATGATAAAACATGGAAATGAAACATGGAGAAGGCTTTAGAACAAGTGGGACGGACTAACATGGAAGCATGTTAGCATCCATTTAGCTCGTTGCAACAGTTTACTGAGTAAAGTCAGAAAGCAGCCGACAAATGTGATGATTCTAACTAAACATGAAATAATGACATGGAGGGTCATTTTGTTTAACAATGTTTTTATGTAATTAGTTTTGATTGGCGAGTCTCCAGAGTAGAAACTGAAGTTGATAGAGTGTAGCTAACTTTTTTTTTGCAACTTTTAGCAGCAGCTTAATTATTTTTATAATGACGTTTCCCTTAGTGTGAACATTCCACGTTCCTGTTTCCACGAAATCAAGCCCATTTTAAGTTTATGCATTTTAATACTGTTTCTGATGCATTTTGATCGTGGGGTGGGAAAAAGTTAATGCTAGTATTTTGTTGCATTTTGAGTCAATAGCAATTTTAAAAACATTGTTTAGAATCTAGGTGATTTAAACCTTCTTTGCTTGATTGCTTTTACTCTTTGACTTAAATGTTAACGTCATGTGTTAAATTTCAACACCCACAACTTTTAACTTACAAGAGCATCACTTATCACGACAGACCAAATGACTTATTATTAGAGTAAGACTTTGCAGCTAAAATATGTTTTAAAAGTTGAAAAAAATAGCATGTCAATTCAAAGTTTTCCAAACTTTGCAACCCAAAAACCTCTTAAAATTTGCTTCTATGTCCCTTAATGAGTCCTAAAAAATAGCTCAAACTGTAACCAAGATAGTAAGAATCTAAAAAATCAATGACACAAAGATCATCAGCCTTACAGGAATCTCCATGACTACAGATACATGGATACAACCAACTTGGTTTCTCCTGCTTCAAATGCACTAAATATCCTGATTTAGATGAAACTCAAAACCAGGATACAAATAATCATTTATATATAAGCATGTACATTTGCTCGATGGTTTTACAAGTTAGCCTTACTGATGCAGGGGGCGATGGGAGAGCGGCTCTGCTGGTAGCCTTTGGCACAGCGATTGCAGGTGATTCCTGTCACTCCGTCCTTGCAGGGGCATTGGCCTGTTGTCTGGTTACAGGTCTTCCCTGCAGCTCCAACCGGATGGCAATCACATGCTGTGGAGGGGGAGGAAGTGAGGAGAAAAATGTCACAAAAAAGTCAGCTAAATTAACCCAAGCAGGAGGTTATCCAATTATAATTTCTGCTCAAGCCACTGTCAGACATGTCCCTGTACCCAAGAAAAGATATTTCAATTTGAAAAATGGAAACATATTTCACATAAACCAGTGTAAAAACAAAACAAATATCAGCTTTCAAATGACTCCAAACTGTGGTCGCTCCTGTCCTTTGCTGACTTTACAAATTCCATACGATGAAAAGTGATCTGAAACCCAGAAAGAAACATTCACATTATGGTGCAGGCTGCGTGTTTCTTCCAGACCGTCACAGATGGGAGCTGGGCCTCGAACCAGCATGAAAACCTCATTCAAATTAAACTCTGTCCCTCCACCCATAATGAGCACAGGACTCTTCATTAGAGCTGCTCTGGAAGGCATGAACCAGGGTTAATAACTTTATTAATACTGTATTTCATTTTCTCCGCAAGGTACACCTCTATAAGACAAAATGAATGTGTGAGTGTGAGTGTGTGTGTGCGTGCCTGTGTGTGTGTTTCTGGAGAGCTTTGTTTGTGTCCTCAGCAGTGTTGTGATCAGACAGTCTGTGTGCTCTTCAGATTGGAGTTTCCAATGTAAAGCCCTTGGCAAAGAGTTCCCTGCAAATAACTGCCTGAATAATGTTTCCCATTAATGGAGGAGTGGAGCGCACTTCAAAGTCTGTTAAAGCTGTTTGGGGAAGTTAAATGTGAGAAATTCGCTCTGTGTGTGTGTGTGTATGTGCGTGTGTGTGTGCTGCCAAACGTTTACCATAAAGCCAGTGTTTGAAGTGCTCGCCCAGCCTCCCCATTAGCTCTGCATGTGTTATAGGCACCAGCAGAGTCACTTGAAATTCAGCTTGAAGTGGTTCAGCAGAGGTTGGAGATGAAATTTATGGAGCTCGGTGGACATAACAAGACGCTTATTAACTTTGTTTTTTTCAGATAAGCTATTACTCCTTTGTTTTTCATCCACCCGCCTTATGTCATAAAATCTTAAGAGTGCACGTGTGAAATAAACTCAAAGAGTGAAAGTTTAGGGATTCACATCGTTTCCACTGAGGATTCAAACCGAGTACACAAAGTTAGTTAGTTTACGTAAACAACACATGCGTGTAAATATCTTTGTTACACAGCTCTCTATCAAAATTATGATAACAAATATATGTATAATGCGTTATAATCACGTTATAGCAATAATAATAACACATTATAAAGCATTTTATCATGACTAACTAGGTCAGGTATTAGTGAGTTTTAAACAGTTATAACACATTATAATACCTGACCTTGTAAGTCATGATAAAATGCTTTATAATGTCTTATTATTATTGCTATAAAGCATTATGATCATTTATGAGTGTTTATAACTCTAGTTATACAGTGCTATAACGTGATTATAATGCACTGTACATATATTTATAATGCGTTATAGAGGCGTCAAATAAAGTGTTAGCAAAATGATTTATAAAATCGACACAAAAGGTATAAAGACAGGAAAGCTGTTAGCAATGTGTGTGTTTGTGTGTGTTTGTACTGCATGTGTGTGTAAGAGGAATGTAAAAAAACAAGCTGAGAATTGAAGTTGTTCAATTTATACTAAAATAAGTCCACCAATAAAGTCTACTTATTCTGACATGTTATAATAAGTGTCATGAGTTCTGATAGTAGTTAAAACTGGTTAACATTTTATAAGCTTACATTAGAGAACTTTAGACCAATGACACATGAAAACTTCTATCTCCTGCTGCAGCTTAGCAAAGTTTCACAAATATCGGCTCTGAATGAAGTTTTCCCCACACATTCACAACACCAAGTTATTTTCATAGAGTAATTTTGCCAGATATTCAAATGCTTTTATATTTTACCTGTACAAAATCACCATCCTCTGATTTACATATGAAGCATACAGAGCATCATAAAACTGACTGCAACTTTATAACCTTGCAGCAGCAAACACTGGTGAGGAGCACTCTGAAACATTTGGTTCCCAGCCTTTAGTGGACACAGGCCCTTATTCTTCACATAGTGACTGTAATTGAAAAGAGGAAAAGGCAGAAACTGCTGATTAAATCTCCAAGGTGGAGAGATTTAAGGCAGACTAATGGTATGTATTGTATAACAGCAGGCTTAAAAGCGCCCCATGTTCAGCCACGGTCCAACAGCCTCTGCAGGCGGGCGACAAATTGGACATATTAATTAATTGGCAGCAGCAGTGGGGGTCCTGCAGGGCTGAACAGTTACTGGGGGGGCTTCAGGGGAGTTTCGATGCACTGAAGCATGTACCTGCTTCATCTCTGTGGACTCTGCTGCGCCTGGTTTAAGGCTTAGACTGCCAAACATATGAGGGGACTGAGGAAAGAAAACAAACTGTTAGGGACTGGGGGGGGCGGGGGTGTGCACTGTGGTTCTCCAAGAGCCGTGTTTACACTGCGCTCGATGAGGGGTGAAGTTGTTAATCTGGGAAATAAAGCATGAGGCATTCGACGCTGCCACTAGAGATGTATGCAGACATTTTTCACTAAACCTCAAACTTTTTATTAGCTAATCGTTGAGTGGACATTTTGTTGAGAACTGAGCGTTGTTTGAAGGGAGGGGAGGGGGGCGGGGGGGTGAGGAACAAGGAATGAGAGCAGGTTTCCTCCCGGCCGTGTTGGCACAGAGCTGTATTTCCTGTCCAACAACAGCAGAGTGGGATGGTTGGCTGATTTGAACAATAAATACAGAGGTTTCTAACTGATGTCACATCGCTCTGGTTTTGTCACCTGAGGAGAAAGGCAGCAATCAGACTATTTGGGTTTGATCCCAGAGCACCCTGAGCATGCTGCAGGGGAGGAAAGAGAGGGGGATTTCAAATTGCACATAACCAAGCCCGATTTTTTTCTAAAAACTTAGCAAAGATCTGTAGATGTTACATCACTGAGCAAAATGAAAATGAATCTTATCCAAGTCTAACCCTCTAAACTTAATCTCCACGCACAGATTTAGAATAAAAGTGCATAAAATGGAGAAGCACTGCTTGAGGTGGTGTCTTTTCTGATTGCAGCCTGAGGCATGGGACAAAATTTGGGATTGGAAGTTTTGGTTCAAAGTATGAGGATTCTTGTCCTCTTGTTTTGCTTTTTCTAACGGCATCACAGGAGAATTAGGGACTGAAAAACAAAAATGAAAATGCCTGTGCACCGACAGTGACAACAACAGTAAGTCCTGTTTTATCATGCAAAACTAGCCAACAAGACGTGTGTGTTTTCAAGGAAGGTGATGTGGTGTCAGATTGATGCACTGAATCTGATTTATATGATGACTTTTAATCATTATATAATACAGCTTCCACTTATATGACCCCGTGTAAAATGTTGATAAAGACTAAATTTAGTGGTTTGCAAATCATTTTAAGCCTATATTTGATTGAAAAATAATGTCATACAAAATCGTTTTTTTAATTTTTATTTTTTTTTAATCTGATGCCAAAATCATGAGAGGGACAGAAAATGTCACAAAAGTTGTGTCATGTTAGTGACATGTTTGGGTATAAAATAGGCATTCAAGAGAGGCGGAGTCTCTCAGAATTAAAGATGGTAAGAGGTGCACCACTCTGTGAGAGACTGTGTTAGCACCAGTTTGGAACCTAAAATGGCATTTCTGGACTTTGTCTTATATGTACAGTATATATGATTGAAAGATTCAGAGGATCAGGAAACAGCTATGAAGGGGTCAAGTCAGGTTATTCAGGCCCTTGGGTAGCACTGCATCAATACAAAACATGACTGTAGTGAAAATTTGTGCATTGGCTCAAATCATCTCAAAAGAACATTGTCTGTGAACGCAGTTTGTTGCTGAATCCCTGAAGGCAGGTTAAACTACTCCCTGCAAAGAGGAAACTGTGTAGATATTTGATCCAGAAATGCTGGTGACCTCTCTGGGCTTGAGTCCAATGATAGTGGGCAGGGACAAAGAAGAAAGCTTCCCTCCTGTTCGAAGAATCTAAGTTTGACATTCCTTTTTAAAAATCACAAATACTACACCCCCCACTGTAAAGAGGAGAAGGACCACCTGGCTTGTTATCAGTTCGAGAGCCAACATCCTAGATGGTTTGAAGATGCATAAGCTTTCACATCTGGCATGGCTGAACAATGATTACAGGTTTCATAGCAAAACATATGCTGCCAACCAAACAACGCTTTCTTCAGGGAAGACCCGGCATATTTCTGCACATATTACATCAACATGACTTTGCAGAAGAAGAGTTCGGGTGCCAGACAGGCCTGCCTGCATTATGGCTTCTCATCAATTTCAGTAAAACCAATTAGATATTGGTTTTAGATGATTTTTAACTACCTGAGCCTGTTTTTTTATTCATCTGCATTTTATAGAACGTATTATTTAGAACAAGGGTTATATTTCACCTGCATTCAAGAGAAAATAATGGTATCCAAACATTTTTACAAACTTCATGAAAGTTTTCACATCTGTCTTTTTAGTGTTTCCATACCTGTCCCACACAGAGGCAGACAGATATATGAACAGCATCTAGAGGATATTTAAGCTAAAGTGACTGAGTGACTGAAGTTTGTTTGCTCAGGGTCTCAGATCTCCTCTCCTCTCCCCGAGGTGTTGCGAGACAGAAGGAGCTCAGCTTTTGTCTCCTCTCGCATTAATCCTTGGCTGCTCCGTCTAAAACCTGACGTATGTGCTCACACCTGCGTGTGTGTTGTTCTTTTTCTGCCTCTGCACGATTAGCTCGTTGTTTCCACTGCTGTGCCGTTCAGATCAGCTCACACCTCTGCTCTGTTTGTTATGTTTGTCTCGTCAGGGATCTACAGAGAACCCAAACAGCTCTGGAGCTCCACGGGTCAACTCAGAGACACTAAGACAGGTGGGCGCCTTTCTCCAAAAACTTCCAGAGGAATTCCTTTAATACCTGAAGTGTTAGAGTGACAAGGAGGGAAGAAACACACAACTCCTTCACTGAGGCGTAAAAGCAGTTCTAATTCTACTGTATCTGAAGACAGCATGGGTCTCAAACGTCAGCACAGATCCTAACTGTAGATGAAGTCAACTATGGAAACACTGTACAGGTAAGACAACACCCCACCTCCCTCACGTCTTCTTACCTTTGCACGCCCTGCGGTGAGAGATGGACTTGGTCATGTCTCTGTAGAAGCCCTCTTTGCAGTAGTGGCAGTGGCGTCCTGCCGTGTTGTGTCGGCAGTTGAGACAAACGCCGCCGCTCCTCCGGCCCGACAGCTTGTAGAGCTCCATGTTGAAACGACAGCGGCGGGCGTGAAGGTTACAGTGGCATGCTGGGTAACAAGACAGAGAGAGAGAGAAATTTAATATTTTGCCTTTTAGATTAGCAATAACCCCGGGATTCAAATTTAAACAAATAAAATAGTTTTAATTACAACCTTCATTTATTGAACACTTGAAATTTCCAGCTGAAAAAGTGTATAAGAAAGACAACAAAGAATTCTAGGCAGGCAAAAAAGTCCTCATGATTTAAACAAAAATAGATAGAAACAAAGTGTAGTCAAAAAAAGGAAAAAGGAGATATTGTTCAAGACTTCAAATAGACAAAAAAGTGCTGTTGGGTAACGTTCAAGAAAAACCATGTCGAGGTTTTGCAATAAAAGTGTCTTACATCACAACTTTAAAAATATTAGCTTTTTATTTGCCGCATAAAATTGAGACCTGGGGAAACACATTCACGTAAAGGCAACACGAAGTCTGCTTTCTCATAGTGAGAGGAGAGAGAGAGGCCGTAGAAACAGATGGTGCAGCACAGCTCGGCCTGCTTCAGTCCGTCCTGAGAATAATGGAGCCTCTAAAAGAAAACGTCCTGGTTCAGGCTCTGTTTCTTGGCCACCTGCTTGTGAATTTAACCTCTGACCCCTGGTGATGTCAGGCAGGAAAACTTTCTTCCGCTCTCCCACACATCTGAGAGACTGCTGATTTATTGTCATTGCTATTTTCACTCTTTAATATTGACCCCAGGTCCACATTTCTCACGCACACTCACTGCCAAGATATCAGGCTTTTATCGAGGTTCTTGCCTCTGCAGCTCTGAACCAGTCCAGTATATGTTCTCTTTACAGTCATGAAATAACAATCCCCTCCTCTGAAGTCTCTTCAAGCTCCTGTGTGGAACCTTGTCTGTGTTAATTTGGCATTGCTCATGGACAAACTTACTTTTTATCTCTTTGCTGATCTTACTCTCTCTATATTTGAACGATGTGTTTTGATATAAAAATCTCCATCTGCTTTCTTTAAGCTGTCAAAAGTTTCAGTCATTATGAAAATTTACTTTGAGAAAAGTACAAACAGGCTTTTCAGAATCATTTGATTGACACCTACCCACTCGCAGTGGTGACAGTCATCAATATGACCATATAGAAGCTGTCAGTGTTTTTGCTAATAGACTTGTTAGCTTTCATTGATCAGAGAGAGGTATGACTGTGAGTTTTAGTCCATCATGACTATTGAATATGCCTAACAGTAAGAATTCAATCTCATCTTTTGAGTAAAAATGATGTTTTCATTTTCAAAATGACACAAAGACTTCAACTTTTAATCAGACAAAGTCTGACATTTTTCTTTGAAATTAATCCTCAAAACCCAGGTTTTAGTTTTGAAACATGACAGGAGTTTCTCTGACTTAGTTTACCTTTATATTCATTCCTTCTTTTTCTCTTTCCTTCCTTTCGCTCTTTCTGTTTTTCTCCATTTTTTCTTTCCTACCTTCCCTTTCATTCATGTTTGATCCTTCTTTCTTTCTTTCATCCATCTCTCTGTCATTTGTTTTTTGTTTTTCCTTCCTTCCTTTTTCCTTCTTCCTTTCTTTGTTTCATCCTTCTTTGTTTCTCTTATTTTCCTTCCTTCCTTCCTTCCTTCCTTCCTTCCTTCCTTCCTTCCTTCCTTCATTTTCCTTTCTATTATGTCATTTTTGCCCTGCTTCCTTTTCCTTCCTCCCTCCTCCCTTCCTTCCTTCCATTTTACTTTCTTTGTCATTTTTGCCCTGCTTTTTTTATTTTCTGTTCTCCTTTTTACTTCCAATCTATCTTTCCTTGTCTTTCTCACTGTCATTCCTTCATTCTTATTGTTTATTATTTTGTCTTTCGAATCGTTGTTTTTCTTTCCTTTTTGTTTGAGAGACTTTTCCATCTCATCCCCCTCCTCTGATTTCAGATGAGGCATTTCTGTTTTTTGATCAGTTTTTTTACTCAGGTCTTATTGCAATAACGGACGACCTGTCTGTTTTTTATTTGGTTTTCCTCTGAAAGGTGATGGCGCTATAAGATATAATTGTATGTATATTTCTGCACATTTCTTTAAGTATCCCTGTTTCGTAAAAAAAAAAAAAAAAAATGAAAATCTGTCTTGAAATGCAAAGTTATATAAATCATGCTTAAGTTTGTGCACTGTGTAGACATGGAAGTCTTCAGTGATTTCTAGACCGAAACACTCTCTTGCTCACCCCGTCTGTCACTTTACTGATGGCATGGCGGCCTTTGAGGATAAGACGCTCCTGAGATGCACGATAAGATTATACCATCAAAAACATGATTTAAAAGGATTTATTGCATTTAACTCATCACAATTTTAAAAATATCTTATATGACAGTCCTGTTTTTAAGACGGCTATTTCCTTGTTTTCAGGCAAAATTAGGTATGCATGTGAGCACCGTCACACTTCCTCACATTTCAGTAATCTCTCCCTCAATCCGCCCGTCTAAGTGTTATTACAGAGAGATGAAGACGATAAGACCCTCACATATGCTCCACCTTCATCAGTGGGCTGAATCACGTACAAACACACTCACACCTGCCGTAAGGGACCGAGCTGGCAGGTGGCGTGGATTCAGAAACACACGCTCTGAATCAGGGGCCCACACACTAACACACATAAACACACACACACAAATGCACACGCAGAGGTGTTTGGCAGCTGTCACGGGCTTATCTACCACACTTCCCTCCCCGGGGACGATCAAACATACACTACACCAAGCTTTAAACACACACACACACACACACACACACACACACTCTCTATCTCGCTCTCTCTCTCTCTCTCTCACTCTCTGCTCTCTTATCCCAGATGTTATCTCCACTTAAGAGCAGAGTGACGGAAAATGTGACAGGCTTTTTTCATGAATAGGAAATAGATCACTCCTGATGCTGGTACTTTAGTTTCATCTTCATAAATATTCAATCCAATGTGTTTATTTCAACGCTGCAGCCATCACTTCAAAAATCACATTACTTCAAAAATAGATGGACAAAATCATTTCATGTGTTTGAAGATGAAGTCAGTAAAAGGTAAACAAAGCACTTTAGTCTGTGTGTGCGTGTGTGATTATCATGGGATTAATAAACTGTATCTCCACAGCTGTCTGCAGGCTCTTGTAATGAGCACTGTGCTATCTCATCCACACATCCTGGCTCTGCTCACACACTCTCTGCAGGAGGTGTCCAGCAGGGACAAAAACCCAAGTGCTGATAAGACACGCTCAGAGCAACAGGATCCAAACACCCAATCCGACATCTGTCACACATTAACCAAATAACAGAATACATGAATGAGCCAGGAAAAGGCTAGGCCCATGATACTTCCAAATACAGGTAATATGTTTGGAGTGATGATATAAAGTTACACAGTTATAAGTTAGTTATTTATGTATATAACAGCCACAGCTCGTAGCTAGACAACATGGATTCTTCTTGCGAGATGAATTCAGACTAAATATTTCCACTGACATTAGTGTTTGATAAGATGAGCAAGATGTCTGCTGTCACATATCTGTTCACATTTCTGTCCACATTCAGCTTTCTTTCTAATTTATTTGCAGTTAACTCTCCTTTAAACATAAATTCATTTTCATTTTTCTCCTGAGGGAGTGTTTTTTTCATGCGATTATTTCGGACGTCAATATTTTTTTTCGAACTTGTATCCTGTCAATACAAGCGTTCACATCAGTGATGTTATCCTGTCCTGCGATATTGCGGCTTTTATTTTTTGTATCACAGTCGATTTTTCTAAAGTTTTGCGTACTGTGTGTTCACTTCTGACCAATCAGATTTCGTGTTGTTGCTGATTCACAGGTATATCCAACATGGCCGACCGGTTGATTGTTTACATGTTGGAGAACAGAGTGCTTTTTGATAAAAGACACAAATATTACAAAGATAACAACCTGAAGGACAACTTATGAAGAGTCATAGCGGGGGATCTCTCATATGACGATGGTTTGTGTGCTTTAACAGTTTGTAAATGTCTTTGTTTTAACTTTCATCTGTGCTAAGTAACTTTAGCTCGTAAGCTAACCTGTTCAGATACAACATACCGTATGTATTTTCACTGTCTCAAACTCAATCGCGTTGTTGTCACAGCACCATTAGGTCTCGGTTGTTACCTTACGTTTATGGATTATAGTTTAATGTGCTTATCTGGTACTGGCCCCGACTCAGTACATGCTATCATGACAGACAGACATCTCAACACTAGTGTCTAATCAGGACTGAAAAACAGTCAGTTTGGTGTTGTGTCAGTCTTCTCGCTTCCACCCGGGACGCGTCTCTCCCCTGCAGGAAAGTCGCAAATCGCATCGCACTTGTATCGCATGTGTACAGTCAGGCGCGTCAAAATTCGCCTCCAAATATTTTGTAATTTCGTGTCAAATATTTGCATCGTTCTCGGTGTGTAAGGACCTGTAGTTTGTTTGAAATGAATGAAAAGAGTTGAAACATTTACACTTTTTTCAAACATCGGCACATTAATGAAAATAAACAGTATGTAAGAATACAGTCAAGTCGACACAAATACAGAAAAATTTTTATGTATTTAAGAGTTGTTCCAATTTTTACCCTTAAAACCACTGTATTGCGTTCACAGGACTGTGTGGAATAAGGTGTCATTTCTGTTCTGCTTTCATTGGGTTTGAAGGGCCTCCTCACAGCTATGTTATTCCCGTCTATTTCTGTTTGAGTGCCTCCCATCAGGCTTTAGTGAAGGAAGCGCTTGTGGTGGGTGTGCATATTGCAGGAAAATTACACATCCCACATTTTGATGGAGGCGGTTTTTCGCTCCGTCTGCAGAGGAGAGCACACTTCAGAAACAATCAAACGTCTGTGAACACGCTGCACTGTGATGAAGTTTGATTTCTGTTGATTGGAAGAACTCCCGCGTTTCAACAACAGAAATTTACAAATCCCATCAACATGTGTCAGGTTTTTCAACGCACAGTGTGTGCCTGTGTGTGTGTGTGTAAGCGAAGGTTAAGTCAGGGTTTGTGTGTGATGTACGTTGAAAACATGTGCCACCTCTACAGAAATGCAGAAAGATGGAATTCCAGCCTGTGTGTTGTTTATTTAGGATCAATTACCCTCTCAGTGAGTGTAATCCCGCTCAGTCACTCATAACTGATGAGGTTTTCCAGATCAAACAGAGTCTAAAACAGCCCGTGATCTCAGGAAAAGACAACAATCAGCCCGCTAACAGATTACAGAGACATCGTTTTTGACAACTGTTGGTTTAGCAAGGGGATGTTTTAGAGGGACACACTACGGCTGTCAATTTATACTGTTACTGGCAATAAGCTTCTTTTTGAAAAATGAACTATTAATCATAGCTGCACGGGGCCCTTGCATCTTAACCTGCGTTGACGCCTGTGGTAACTACGAGATCTGATAGAGCTGTTGACTGCTACAGCTGAAACTATGCACAATGGTGCTCATACCTTGAACCCGAAGTATATGTAGAACCATTTATAGTAGAGTTAAATGTTTGTTTTCTGTAGGTGGCCCTATAACCATGGCCAAAATGTAAGTGTAAACAAATTGAGGCTAAAACTATTTTCACACCCATAAAATTTACAGTAGATCCAATACAGTAAGTTAATGTTAGTAGCATACACTCACCGGCCACTTTATTAGGTACACCATGCTAGTAACGGGTTGGACCCCCTTTTGCCTTCAGAACTGCCTCAATTCTTTGTGGCATAGATTCAACAAGGTGCTGGAAGCATTCCTCAGAGAGCTTGGTCCATATTGACATGATGGCATCACACAGTTGCCGCAGATTTGTCGGCTGCACATCCATGATGCGAATCTCCCGTTCCACCACATCCCAAAGATGCTCTATTGGATTGAGATCTGGTGACTGTGGAGGCCATTTGAGTACAGTGAACTCATTGTCATGTTCAAGAAACCAGGCTGAGATGATTCCAGCTTTATGACATGGCGCATTATCCTGCTGAAAGTAGCCATCAGAAGTTGGGTACATTGTGGTCATAAAGGGATGGACATGGTCAGCAACAATACTCAGGTAGGCTGTGGCGTTGCAACGATGCTCAATTGGTACCAAGGGGCCCAAAGAGTGCCAAGAAAATATTCCCCACACCATGACACCACCACCACCAGCCTGAACCGTTGATACAAGGCAGGATGGATCCATGCTTTCATGTTGTTGACGCCAAATTCTGACCCTACCATCCGAATGTCGCAGCAGAAATCGAGACTCATCAGACCAGGCAATGTTTTTCCAATCTTCTATTGTCCAATTTCGATGAGCTTGTGCAAATTGTAGCCTCAGTTTCCTGTTCTTAGCTGAAAGGAGTGGCACCCGGCGTGGTCTTCTGCTGCTGTAGCCCATCTGCCTCGAAGTTCGACGTACTGTGCGTTCAGAGATGCTCTTCTGCCTACCTTGGTTGTAACAGGTGGTTATTTGAGTCATTGTTGCCTTTCTATCAGCTCGAACCAGTCTGGCCATTCTCCTCTGACCTCTGGCATCAACAAGGCATTTCCGCCCACAGAACTGCCGCTCACTGGATATTTTTTCTTTTTCGGACCATTCTCTGTAAACCCTAGAGATGGTTATGCGTGAAAATCCCAGTAGATCAGCAGTTTCTGAAATACTCAGACCAGCCCTTCTGGCACCAACAACCATGCCACGTTCAAAGTCACTCAAATCACCTTTCTTCCCCATACTGATGCTCGGTTTGAACTGCAGGAGATTGTCTTGACCATGTCTACATGCCTAAATGCACTAAGTTGCCGCCATGTGATTGGCTGATTAGAAATTAAGTGTTAACGAGCAGTTGGACAGGTGTACCTAATAAAGTGGCCGGTGAGTGTATATAACCACAGGGGGTGCTATGAATAAAGCAGAAAAATCTGCATATACATGTGTTAAGGGGGAAGATCTTGATTAAGTATATATATATAAATTTAGCAAGACCGCTAAAAACGCCAAAATCAGACATTTGACTTAGATTTATGGACTTCCTGTTAAGTTTAGAAGATAAGTCCAAGAGGTTTTTTTTGTATGTCTTGGCATCATACGTACGTCTAGCAAGCTCCATGCATATGGTTGAATCGACTCGAGCATTTTATGGGCATTTTATGCCCTGGGCCACATCCGGCCCTTTGGATGTCCCTGCCCTTTGTGAGGTCCATCAATCAAATCATCAACATGCTATACAAGTGTGTTGCTTTTATTTTGAAAACCTAGCCATTGTTTTATTTCCGTTTGGATGCACATGCGTACATCCTAGATCTGCATCTGTGAACAGAGACAAGTTTTATTGGCAAAATATACGTAGGCACCTTATAGTCGCCAAGTCTGCTTATTATAAACGACTTTAGGCTTGTTTCTCTCAGAAGTCACTTGTAAAATTCTTGAGTCGCGGGTGTGCTTTTTTGGGCTTGTTTTTAACTAGTAGTTGCTTATTTGGGCTTGCTTTTCTGTGTGTGTGATCCCTCCTGATTTGAATTTGAAGTTATTGTTGGTTCGGCCCTCCAACACAGTTCAGGTTTCTCATGTGGCCCCGTGTAAAAATTAATTGCCCACCCCTAGACTAGAGGGGCTTTGTCTAATAGGTGTCGGGGATGCTATTAAGCTAGCGATACGTTTAATCACATAAAGATTCTAACTTTTTGCCAGGCCTGAATTTTGTGTTAAGTTTCACGAATTTTTTGGACATGTAAAGGATACCAAATATGCAACCATTAAGGCTGAAGAAAGAGAGAAATAGTAATCCTTAGGGTTCCAGAATACCTATAACCGCCTGGTTCATAGCAAGGAGGGGTCGATGTTGCCTCATCTGTTATCATTTCAAAAACTTTACACAGTGGCTTTTACAGCTTGAGTTTGATGTTATCCTAAGACTCATCCTCCCCTGTCCTCCACCACCATCATAAGACAGGGGAGGCTTCATGCTCTACGGGACATGTGTGAACAAGCAACTTTGGTATTTTTCTAGGAACTTATAGGAGCGCATGTGTGAAAGAGGCTGCAGTGCACACTGTTGGAGTTACAGCAAACACACTTGATTCTGAAAGCTCTCAAAGTGTGTAGAGATTACACAATGCTTGTATAACACCTGAACTGTATGTGGGTGATGTTGAGGAGTGTCATGGAGTTTGTTATCATCTATAGAGTTGGTATTCACTTCTTTATTTTGCTGTATTTAAAAGAATAACCGTTGGTATTTTGACATCACAGGATCGTGGCAAACATGGTTCAATACAAGCTCATGACTTGTGTTTTCTGTTAATTACTACTATACATTATACCTGTATTTCTCAGAATCCTGTTAGTCCAAACCCAGGGATGAGGAAATTCCACCCCGCAAGAAAATGTCCATTCACAAAATATATGTGCCACCATGGTAGGCTGGGTTACAGCGGTGGTGTTAATGTATTGGCAAGACATATCAAGGCGCTTTTAAAGTCTTAAGCTGAAGAAACAGCTTGGCTGAAGAACACCTGTGGCTGAAACATCTATATTACGCTATACGTCTCTATGCCTGGACTAAATAAGTTAGAAAGTGTTTGGTTTACTGTTGGTAGATTTTGTACAGATTTGTTGTTGGTGCAACTTTAAGGGAGTTTTTGTTTAGAGTTTGCTTTCATTTTGCTTTTAAAACTGGTTATTACTACCTGATGATGTTCATTTTTACTCTTAGTCCTACACTAAAAAATATGAGCATAAAGAACTAAAGGAAGCTAATCAAAGGACGCTTTGTAGTCATAGTGACACATACTACATCACATCACAGAGAGATAATGTTTCCTTCCAGTGAGTTTCAGCATATATGGAGCATAATATCAATTTTTTGGGTGCATGTATATAAAAGGAAAATTCTGCTTTTGCTTTTATTACACTAAAGAAATTGTCGTTTTTCTCTCTGTAACCTCTCGCTGTGCCAGTAAAATGTGTGTAACATGCCTGAATGTGGTGAACCAAAATGCAGTCTGAAAGCTTTGCCTGTCAGAACTCAAAACCTCGACCAAAACCTCGAAAACCACTTTGAACTATAGCTAACTGTCTTGGAGCATTCTGAGCCTCCACTCTAGAGAAATACATGGCTGAAAGGGTATGTCTTTAAAATGTATGGCCTACTTCTGTAACTGCAATATAATCAGGGTCATAGATGTATACCTTAAATGAAGCTGAGCAAAAAAACCTATACTGTGCCTTATGTTGAGGACATGTGTTTCCTATGCTGTAGTTCTCGTGTGGAATTTCTCTGTTTACACTCTTTAATGGTCACCTCAGTTGCCCGTACATTGTTTTCCACTCTTGTGATTTTATTACAGAGAAATTGTATAACAGTGAAAAAAAAAAAACTGTCGCCTTGGTGTTGCATTAAGAAATGATCAGAACATGAGGGCCTAATGTGAGACTGATTTCAAGACCATCTGATCTGGATGGACGGTTAAACAAAACTTGCAGGAACATGTAGAGTCAGTGTCAGTGACGTGGTTTTAATGAGACACATATTAGAGGTCAAAGGATGTTTGAAAAAAACAGAATTTACCACACCTGTCTTTGTGCTAAGAGTGAAGGTTTCTATCACATTTTTTCTTAGATTTGTTTCAGATTTCCTTTGTTTTTCCCTCTATGAGAAGAGCAAGTGACCATCAAGAATTTCAAAACATCAAACTATGGTTCTGTTTTTCTTTTTCAGCTGTGAGTAAAGGGAGGGTAAATATCCCTAAACCTCTGAAGCTTGTTAATCAAAAGTTGGGACATGGTGTAAAAAGTTGACAGAAACAGATTTTTGATGGTTTGCAAATTAAACAATGATTTGCAAGGACATAATGTTAGTATTTTATGAAAAATATATGTTTATGCTAGCAACAAGTTAAAAAAAAAGTTCAGATTAACAAAAGATCACTTTCAACATTAACGTGTCAACTCGTGATGAATCTTGAGACTGTAACACCTTCATTATTTTACTTCATCAGTTACACGAAACAAATGATGGAGCTTTACACAAATACCACATCCTTTACCAAAACACTTAATTTAGTTGTCTGCATCCTGTCTAATGAAACTTTTTACCAGCGCCCTCTAAACCAGTAGCAGACGCGTCTTGTTCTAACTGTTGATCAAAAGTTGTGTGTATGTTTGTGTTTGTGTGTTCTCGATGTGACACTCAGTCTGCAGAGAGTGTGGGAATGAGTCTCTCCCCTGACTTGCCCGCCTTGTCTTGCTGTACTGCATACGGTGATGTCATGGGAGGCGTTCCCTTTCCTTTTATGAGCGCGGCTCTGTGATCTCTGGTGGAGATCAATTAGCTGAGCAATCAGCCCGCCCCGCGCTTTGTGTGACTAACTGCTCATAAACCGTTTCGTTGCCTGGTGAACGGGGGAATTCACTGCCTCAACATAAACAGCCACCCAAGAAAGCCTGGACGGAGTACTGCAGCCGGCCGCCTCTCAGTGCTGCATACTGTGTGTTGTTGGGTAATGCAATATGACATCATCCCACGCAATGCGCCATTAGCTAAGTCGTTTAAGATTAGCTGGTAATAAGATGTGTGGATTTTTTTTTTCTTTTGGTAATGAGCTGTTAGTGTGGACTCTGCTGAGAACAGTAGTTCTCTTTTACAGATGTTTACAGTCACTGCGTTTACATGCACAGCTTAATCCGACTAAGCTCATAATTCGTTTTTTCACCAAATCAAACTTCTCTCCTTGTCTGTGTATACATGCAGCTGAGAAAATTGAATTATTGACATGAACGTGTCCTCCTCCCCAAAACTAGGGGGCGATATGGGTCTTTCCAGCTGCACTGTTTCCAACCCCATACAACTGTCAACAACAACAACAGGTCCGTGCCAGACGTCAGAAGTGGCTACAACTGCTGTTTTTGACGTACATGATGTACGCTCTACTTTTTCTGCAGATGAGGTGCATGCTACTTCTTTTCTCTGGTGATTTTGTTCCGAGGTTATGAGGTTGTGGCCCACACACACATGCAATGTCCGATCATACTCCGACTATGCTGGTTAAATGGAGTTCTCAATCTCCAAGTATAGTCGGACTAAGGTGTTTACATGCACTTCAGTTGTCCGGTCTTAATCTGAGTGAGTGTCATGTAAACGTACTGAATGTCAGGTTGATCCGTGATGACCTTTGCGACGTATCTGGGAATATCAGTCGGGGATCATGTCACTTTGACAGGGGTTGGGATTTCATTCTGATGTAACGACCAATTAACTGTTAATTATCAAGTTTAGTACTTGGTGAAAAAAAAATCAACGCCTCCACTCTGAATTGAGTTTTGGGGATTCCTCCATGAGTTTAAAACTGGTGTCATTTATTCTGATATAAACAGGCTTAACTCTGTAGTGGAAATCACTGCATGGGTTTCATATCATTTCCAATAACCTTTATCAGCAGACATAGTTTGTTACTGCATCCCAAATTTAGGTCACAACTCTACATTGCAAAAAATGAATCAAACCTAAGCTTCATAGGAGATTGTGTAGTGTCCATGATTTCAAAATAAAATATATGAACAATGCTTTGTCAGCCCATAGGACTTTTTTCACCTTCACTTCAGTTCATTTTAGATGCACTTGAGGCTATTTCAGAATAGAGGCAACTGCCCACATGCAGTCCTAGCTTTGTTGACCTGTGCAAACTTTTTCAAACGTTTTCATCTCTGTCACTGACAAACTTTCCCAAACATGTTGCAAATTTACATGAACCCTGAATTAATGACCTCTGTTTAAAAGGGGAAAAAGTTGCCGATATTGTGTAATCCTGTAATCAGTTGTGTCCACAGGTTTTATTCCAAGTTTGAAGCAGCTGCTGCTTGATGGCGCCAACAAAAACACGTCCTCTCTTATGAATAATAATGCATAATGGCCGGCATATCTCAGCCCATTTATCCTCTTATTGCAGAGTTGGGAGCGGTACAAGGGAGGTGGAAGTGGTACTGCTGGATCAGTTTGCTAGAAACAAGGCCATGTAATTGCATTAATCTCACCAAGGGTCTTTGTTGCATGGCACTTATACATGTAGTTGGTCTTTACGTCTCTTAATTATAGCAGAAACTGGCTGGATTCAAATAAGCTTTTTTTGTGACATCCACTGAGAGTGAGAAGCTGAAATGCTGTCATAATATCATATTACCGTATTTCATATTGTTTGTTGTACTAATGTTGGAAATCTGACTCATTGTTATCATTTAACTACCTTCACATTTACCAGTGACGAACTTGTTGGGAAACAGTTAGAATCAGAGCCATATTTCCAGTTAAAAACACATTTATAATCCATTACGTATTGCAATCCTGCTCTAGATTCAAACTATAAAGGTCATAAAGAGTGAGCCTTTCTCAAAATCAGTTAGAAACTCCTTACTGTGTCTTTAATGCTTTAATGGAACAATCCATCAGCCAGATCTGTGACTGAGTCCCTTATCTAATTCTGGGACTGGAGGAAACAAGACAGCATAATTAAAGCAGAAAGGCTTGGTGGAGCGGGTTGGCAGCAGCGAGGGGTGTTGCTTGGCATATACTTCCTCTTATGTCTGCATGTGTGTGTGTGTGGGAGGTGTGTGTGTGTTGTATGTATGTTTGTGCATAAACAAACATACGACTGCATCAACAATCACACTCGTCTGCTGTGGCTGTAGTTATTCTCTAGGGTAATAATCTTATAACGCTTTAATGATATTATAACTGATTATTAATTCTGATGTGTCTGTGTGTTTGTGTTTGAGGCCTTGTGTATTTTCATTGACGGGCTGGAGTGCTCTCCCAGTGTAGGTGTGGAAATGGGTTGACTGGAGTGCTGCTCCTTTCCTTCCTCCAGTTTATTTCCTCCAGTTTATGGGAGAGGTGATGAAAAGGTCCAGAGTCATTAAGCTCGATAAGCAAAATCTGTCCCCTTTGTTTTCTCTCTAAAGGAAGTCTCGCCTGTATGTAGTCAGATGGATACAGAGAGGTTTTAAGCGGTAGTTTTAATCTAGACTTTCCACTTTTGTAACCCACTGCAGTCCCCTGCCTTCGCCCGAAGATGCTGAGATAGGCTCCAGCCCCCCCATGACCCCTAGCAGGAATAAGCGGTAGAAAATGGATGGATGGATGAATTCGCACACATCTATTTTTAGTCACAAATGCGAGTGAAATGGTCGCACTGTCGAACCCTGCCAGTACTTGCACTTCAATAGTCAAGCAGGTATCTGATATCCAATTCAATATCCAATATGTTTATCTTTTAGCAACTACAACTATCCAATACTCAAAGCCAACAACATGTATGCAAAAGTTGCTGCTAGCCAAATTGTCAATTCTCTGTTAAAGATATGAATTCCACACTTTTCACTAAGTGTTATCTTCAAAACAAATATTTTCACTACTTTCCAACACTTTAAACCAACTTTAGGAGTTGTATCCAAGGTACTATAAAACTATTTGTGTTATCAAACATTTTAGCTGTTACCTAAAAGTTAAACTAACATTATTTTTTGTTGTACCATTTTAGCTAGATTTCTAGATGTTAAGTAGCACCCTTGGCTAACTATTTTGACAATTTTTTCTGACATTTATTGACAAACATAGTTTTAAGGTGTCTAATTTGCATTTTTTGATGTCATAAAATTTGCATGTAATGATGTGTGAGGCCTTTATCTGTCTATAACCAGGACATCTATGAGGCAGCAGTTTCTTTGACGGTATAATTTCCAGCATCCTTAGCCGTTTCTGTCACTTGTTAAAGCTTACTCATAGTTTAAGTTGGGAAAGAAGGTGCTATGATGGATGACAGGTATGGTATAAAATTTGTGAGTCGTGCGGTCTCTAGTGGCACCAAGATGTTTCTTTACCAATTCTATCCCTTGAACCAAACCGTCTCAGATATCGTAAAATCCTAGCTCCTCTTGTCGTATGAGTAATTGGGATGAAAGAGATTTTGGTTTTGTGTTGACACAGTTTGGAGACATGTGAAAACCACTCACTTTCTGCTATCTGTAATCACCACCTTGAGGCTGACCTGAATAGTTTTGTCAAAGTTGGTAGCTTGTATTTACAGTAAACCTGAATGCAACATAATTGAGCTTCTGGTTAGAGGGTTTGTTCTCCAGACTAAACCTGTATGAAATGTCTAAACACGGCCAGGTTTTTGTGTAACTCTGCCGACCGGTGTTAGGCTGAGGTCCAAATCCTCCCCACAGTGCAGGGACGTTATTTTAACACTCTGGCACGTGCACTGTCTACTGTGTTTCCCTGTGTGGAGGGAAAAGTTGGTAGCTTGTATTTACAGTAAACCTGAATGCAACATAATTGAGCTTCTGGTTAGAGGGTTTGTTCTCCAGACTAAACCTGTATGAAACAAACCAAAACTCTATATCAGAAATATCTGTACTGTGTGTTTTGAGTTTGAACCAAAACATTAACGCTTTATCTCACTGAACAGGAGATTTTGGATTTGACATGGAGTCGTCACATTTGGAGGGTCACATTTTTTAGGTCACATTTCGATATAATGACGATACGTATTCTTCTTTTTATTACTGTACTGTGACTATATTATTCAATATTATTGTTAATATTTGTCATTACATATTTATATATGGCTAGGAGAAGCACATTATTTTATGCACCTTCATACGTATTCTTGCATATAAGTTCATACATTTCCATAGATTATAGAATAGTTCCTTGAAATCATTTCTTGTTTGTTGAAACAGTGATACATTAAATTCTCCATCTTTTAACCACGTGTGTAACCACATGTTTCTTTAAAGAAAAAGTTGTAAATAGTATATATATATATATATATATATATATATATATATATATACATATATATATATATATATACAGTATATGTATGCACATATTTTTTTACTTAAGTATTATTTAGTCATTAGTTGCACAATACTGTTGCAGAGGGTGCTGAATTTGTGCAGCCCTTTAATTCAAAACAGAGTCCCCAAAAAGGATAATAAAATTAACAGTAGTGTATCAAATGGTTTCAAATTATGATATTATGTTACATTTTATGATATCAGTATATCTTACTTTATCATATTATATAATACTGTAATGTAATGTAATCTAAAACATTTGATAGTGTATATTGTATTGTATCTTATAGTTTTGTATCGTATCATATCATGTCCGATCCTTTCCAATAGTACCCTATTCTATCATATCTAACTGTAACTTACTGTATCCTCTTGTATGGTATTGTATATAACCTTATTAATGTGTCCTACCTTCAAGTATCACACCGTACGCTATTTCATTACATTGTATTGTATTATAACCTTTTGTATTATAATATTGTTTTGCTTTATAAAAATGTTCTAACATTTTTTATCATACCGTATATAATACTGTAATGTAATGTAATCTAAAATTTGATACTGTATATTGTATTGTATCTTATAGTTTTGTATCATATCATGTCCAATCCTATCCAATAGTACCCTATTCTACCATATCTAACTGTAACTTACTGTATCCTCTTGTATGGTATTGTACTTAACATCAAACCCTCTTATTTTATAGCTTACTATAGTTGAGTTTATCATTGTACTTACTTTTTTATACACTATATCCAGATTTGAGTTTATTTGACCAAAAGATGCAGAAATAAGAGCAACTAAAAGGCTCAACTATGGAGCAAATAAATAACAAACTCTGTGCAACACATTGCTTTTCTGCTCTGTATTCAAAATATGATTATTTGCATCGTCCCCATCAGATGAAATTACATTCAAATGGTGTAAGTAAAGTAAGTGTTCAATATGAAAGTGACATCAGCTGGCTTCAGGAAACAGGACCCGCCTTCATGCTGTGGGTACTCAGTTTAGGAAGGAAACGCTGAGGGAATTATTGGTTAATGATTGTTTTCTTGGCAGCACTGAGGGGTGGCTGTAAAGCTTTTCTTGCTACTGTGTTCATTTTTATCCCAAAGTTTGTTCTGGTTGCTAGGTGGCTCTCAGGACATAGTGCAGAGCTGAAGAGGAAAAGGCTTGGTTCTTCCTGAAGGACACCGACCAACAGCTGGTGAGCTCAGCAGGAACACGGTGAACTTTAAACCACAGTGTGAGTAAAATAAATGTTAAAAAACCAGCCTGCCACTCAGTTCCTGAACCACTTTATCCACTTAATGAGAAACAGCATCAAACCCTGCTTAGCACTCTGTTTTAAAGGGGCAGTCCACTTTTTATATCAAGAAATCTCGAGAGGAGGAGTGAATGTGCAGTTCAGTAAAGCACTGCATCACTACAAAAAATTTGCTACTAAATGCAATCCACTTGCATGTAATCGATAACTTCTGTCAATGTTAGAATTATATTTAACCTGTGCCATGAGCATATGATGAGGGTAACTTCCACTTAGACAGATTCTCATAATCCTTCTTTGATTTTCCTATCACTGTGATTCACGTGCACTGCAGGTACAGACCCCTGAAAGTAAACACGCTGTGGTCTCATTAGTTTAGAAGTCTATGTGTGCCCCTGACATCAAGGAGCACCAAGGGGAGCAGAAAAACCCTGTTGACTAAAATTTGTTCAATGAAAAAAAAATAATAATAAAAATAATAATAACAATAATAATAATAATAATTTTAAAAAATAGCAATTAAAAATGTTGAAACAAAATCAAAATAAATATATAAATAAAAAGTAAAAAAATAATAAAAAAAAAACTGTTGACAACATTTATGCAGGTTTCTGTCAGTGGCGATTGCTCTAAGACTGCAAGGGAAGCTCGGCTTCCCTTAAAATGTCGCCCCCCAAAAAATTTGCTACTAAATGCAATCCACTTGCATGTAATCGATAATTTCTGTCAATGTTAGAATTATATTTAACCTGTGCCATGAGCATATGATGAGGGTAACTTCCACTCAGCGAAACTAGACGCTCATTGGATAAATGCTGGGCTTTGTCCCGCCCATGACTAAAATTTTTTCAATGAAAAAAAAAAATATATATAATAATAATAATAATAATAATAATTAAAAAAAAATTTACCAAGTTATTCATTCAGTTGTTCTTAACTGCTCCGGAGACTTTACCGATCCTCAGCGACTTTTGTCTTTGTTAAAAACGACTGCCCTTGTGTTTGGCGACTCTGTTCTGTTACATACTAATAAACAAATACAATTTTGATGCAGGCCAGAAAAATGAGCTTTGACAATATTTATGCAGGTTTCTGTGACAGTAGCAATTTCACAATTTGCGTGTATGTTTATATTCAATGGTCAGGTTATGCCTAACAGTCAGTTTCTCTATGTGTTCAAACTGTGTTAGAGGGATTTCAGATTTTTAGGTTATTTGACTGCAACTTAACTTTTAAACATATCACAACTGCAATGTCCACACAATACATCCATCAGCCCACTGTGGTAATCAACTGTTTGTTATGCTGTGCTACAAACAGATACAGGAGAGGCTCTTTTGTAAGTAATCACTCATCCAGTGTTTGCTTTAGTAAGACAGCAGGTGCTGCTAAATCCACCAAGATGCCTTGCAAACCCCTTTTTCTATTTATTAAGCTTCTCAGTAGCTGCTTTTACATAGAGCAAATTATTCTGGTTAGAAATGGTTTAAAAGGCTTAACTACATTTAATCAAGAACTGGAGCAGACTTGATATCCCTAATCATGATGTATGCTTCTTTACTTACAGAACATGGCCCATTTAAAGTCAAACTGGTCAACAGCAGAGAGTTTGTTTTTAGCAGAAACACTTGAAAAACTTATTGTAATGCAACGAGGCAGAAACGTACGCAATAACGACCTTAAGAAAAGTTTCAAGAAATCCTGTAAAGCTGGGATAGATTGAAGCATGGAGCAACTTAAAATAGAAGAAAAATGCTGAGGACAGGTACTACAAGGCTAAAACCCACAATATTAAAAGTGGGTGTGACTCCACCTGCTTTACATTTTAGGATAGAATAGATGTAGTGATGGAAGGATCATCTCTGGCAAACAACAGCCACGTTTACATGGGCAAAATTTCTTGATCTGAATAAAATTTTGGGGGATTGGATAATCTGAATCCACTGTTTATATGAGTGCAAAATCAAATAATCCGATCATGACGTGTGTACACATGCACCAAGTTTTATTCAGATTAGAAGCATTTGGACATGCACAGAGTTGTCTGGTTTCGCTAAAATACCACAGAAGAAGAAGTGTATTTACGCCGTTGCCGTCAACAAACCAACAAACGCGGTAGTGGCTCTCTCCATCCAATTCAGGATTTTCCACCTGTTAAATGTTGTCTCTAGATGGCGCCCTTGAGTACTTATTTTACTGTTCTGTCAAAGGTTGCACTAAAACAACCGCAGAAGAAGAGTTGTATTTACGCCAGTGAGTTTTAATAATGAAACCTCCTGTACTGACCTCAATAAATAAGCCAAAGGCTAAAGAGTGAAGATTGAGTCAGGTAAGAGAGTCACGATGGCAATAAGTGTTCATATGAACGCGTTTCGGAAGAACGATCAGCATAAACCACCCCTCGATCGGAATACAATCTCTTTCCGATTGAGCTGAACTGGATCAGAATCTTTCCACTGACATGTTTGCATGACACATTTGCATTCCAATCAGGCATTTATCCCAATTATTTGTGCGCATGTAAATGCAGCTAACGTGGGTTAGAGGTGGAATAACAGCTTTTTGGCACGTGTCCCACAGCAGACCCAATTAAATCACCTGCTATGTAAACATTAGAACTAATATATTCAGTAACAATACTTTTAATCAGAATGATGATATATGGATCATGTGAACATGCCTAGAGTTACAGGTCGATGACTGAGATCTGTTTTTTTTTCACCCTTGATCATTAAAACCTGCTGTAACAGAGCATGACGGTGTGGTCTGTGACTCCTCTGAGGTCATCCTTTTTCCCCGCCTGAGTGGGAACCAGATACCGCCGTTATCTCTGACTCTCTATCATGAGAAAGTCAGGTTCACTATCTGTGTAAATAAACCACACGGCACATATTCACACACATACACATGGAGACATGCTGAAATGTTCCATGTTACCCTCGTTCAGTTCCCCGTCCGAGCAGCTGAAGTTTTCCTGCGAGTAGAAAGCAGAGGAAACAGACCGAGTGATGGTCTCTGAGCCCATCAGGAGAGGAAGGAAGTGACTTTCTACTGTTTGCTCCGAGTGTGTGAAGGAGATGCGACCTGGACGAGAGATGAGAGGAGGGTGGGAACAAGGGGTCAGCTGTGTCTACATGCCCAGTCTGAACGAGAGAGTAGTGGAAGACTGGAATTGTGGGAAGTAGACAGCAGGGGAGGGTATGTAGCAATATGTTGTGGCTGGGAGTTGAACCAGCAACCACTTGGACGTGGACTGTAGCCTGTTGGCCAAGTGGCGCCCCACAAATTCTGCATTTTAAGTAGAAGATGTCAGTAAAAAGAGGGAACCAGCCCGCTCCAAACTGTGACTAAAGTCCTTGAAACTTTAGGAAAGTCCCCCTCAGACTTACTGTCGGTGACATTCGGATAAGATCAGGACTTTATTCAGCTGTAATTGATCCACTTTTTTGGTTGTTGCTTTTGTCTGTAAATAAAAAGACCCCTGTGTCGACGGCACAGCAGGGAGGATGCCACCAGCCAAAGGAGCTTATGCCTCACTGCTGAGTTTCTTAATGCTTTTTTAAGGGAGAGGAGGGGGAGTGGTTGAGGGAGTAAGTTCAGGAAAGTGACACTGAGGAAGTGTGCGGTGTGTGGGCGTACACACAGCGCTGTCACTGAGCTGGCTGTGTCGGGTGGCAGAGCAGCGGGGGAGCCCGCCGGGGGTCTGAAGCCGAGCTGCGGAGTGTGTCACTCCTCTGGCCCATTAATCATTCCCAGCCTGCCCTGCTTCAGCGCCTCAAAGGGGCTCGATGCGCACGCACTAGGTGGTCCTGATGCCACCCTGAGAGCCCCCACAGTCGGCTCCATGTAGACAGACGGTGGACACAAAGAGTCGAACATCCACACAGACGCACAAACATGCACGTCTATTTCATCCTGGCTCAGTGAACAATTCGGCGCCCCTTGAACAAACACAAATAAACAGGCAGGAAAACAAACAATTTGATCCGTCCCAGCCTCTTAGGATCAACCCTCTACAATATTCAGGTTGTCTGTTCTGTTTAAAGGCGCACAGAGAGTCAGATCTGAGTCCTAGGAATAAAAAAAGGTCACAGCTGGAAATCAGTGGTGATGCACAGGTATGCTCTGAAACTGTACCTAATAATGTCATAGTTCAGGGTAAATATCTGTTAGAAATCTACAGAAAATGTAGATTTAATCTCAACCCTGAAAGGTATCTCAAGTATTAGGTCCTCACTTTGATTTTCTCTTGTCCGTGTTTCTCTCTTGTATCTAGTTTAGCGAGGGTGACCATGTTCTGACTTCCCAAAAAGAGGACACGACTATGCGGGGGCGGAGTCACACAAAGTGAATTTTGAGAGTTTTTCAGGTCGTATCAAGTGTCTTTTACGCGCTTCTAACTCAGTAAGTCCACCTGACACAAACTCGAAACTTATGTACAAAGCCGCAGACATTTGAAGGATTTTCTAAACTTCCCTGGACAAAGCCTGACAAACCTGGACAGCCCTCAAAAAAGAGGACATATTCGGGTAAAAGAGGACATATGGTCACCCTAGTTTAGCTCAGTATTTTATGTCTTTATGTTGTGTTGTTGTTGGCAACTTCAACTGATAACAGGAGACAACAGCACACTTAGAAGCACTAAGAGTACAGCTTTTTTACTGTTGATGCCAGTAACAACCATCATGGATTTTAAGCTCAAAGAAGCTGAAGTTCTTTTGAGTTTCCAGGTAGTAATTCCCAAATTTGAGGCGACATTCTCGATGATGTTTCCGACAGGCATCTTGGAATTATTGAACGACACACTGTGTTTTCAGCAATAACATGGAGGACAAAACAATCTGTCTTATCTCTTTGTTTGGGTCTTGAACATGTCTCACATTAATTCTCTAAGAGAGTAACTTCCTCTTAAATAATCTGGCACGACTGTATCCTGAACCTTTAATTTGGTAGAAAAATGGTGAAATGTCTTTGAAGGAATTTCATTTAAAGGATGTTTTGCATTTTGTCAACTAAAGGATAAAAAGTCACTGCCCTCATGAATACGCATCAGAAGTGGGAGTTGATAAAAACAAATTGTCAATATTTCTATCACTGAAGGCCTGGAATATAATTTGACAATGGTTGTCATGAGACTCTGTCGTCCAATGTTAAGCTGTGTTTAATAAATTGTACTCAGTTTTGACTTTCTTTATTCAAATGTCGAGACCAGTCACCAAATTGGAATAAAAATCCCATTCCATGTAATTCCAGTCACATCTTAAGTAATGTGCTGATGAATGCACACACCATGTGTCATAAAGCAAACTGAGTTATCATCAGTCTGTCACATGTTAAACATAACACTGTTCTCTGCATATGTTCCATACAGCCCGACATTCACACCATGATATCCCACAGCCCATGCATGACTGATCTGTACATTAAATCACAGTTAACACACTCCTCTTAAAACGTTCCCTCACCTTTCCAAACCTCCATCCACAAAACAAGAGAACTAGATTTGTCAGTTTGCCCTTAAAAGCCTGAGTGAAACCTTTCTGGCTCAAACCGACATGTCTGTCTTGAATTATGAGCTCAACAAAACAAAATCCTCCAAACATGCAGCCTTTACCCAGAGGACACTGGATTGTAGCTGAGCATGGATTTTGTTGGAGATCCCCCAAATGCATCTCTTTGTTTTATGGTTTGGTTGTATACAGAGAGGCCTCTTACCAAAGTCACATAGGCTTATGTTGCAAGAAAGACCGGAGGCGACTTTCAGTAAAGGCCAATTTCAGAAGTATTGTTCTCTATTTGTAATCGTGACAAGAGTTGAACGAGGTTTAGGATCGGGCCCAAAACAAAAGTTGCTTTAAGAATCACAAAAATGTGACTCTTGTGACTCTTCTCTGACAATGCAAGTTTCCTCATACAAAGCTCCTATCATAGCTTTTTAACCTCATAGAGTCCTATTACAGCTTTAGAAAATTGCATTTGCAGAATGCAGACCTGTAAAGTGACAAAGGGAATGAAGGCTGATTCCTGAAACATTAATTAAACATAGAATATTACCTTGTGCTTTGAAAGAGTATAAATCAGCCAACAGGCTCTACAAATTAGCTTTCTAATGTTCTGTTCATGGTTCCTGTCTATTTGTACGTGGTGATTTGCAAATACAACCAATTAGTTCGATATTATTTTCTTCTGGGTTCTTCCAAAGACTTTAAAATTGTAATTACTTGTGTACTATCTCATTGGTCGAGCCGTTCAAATCCACTTCTCCAATACCTCCGAGTTCCACTCAGGCATGTTCTAACACGTTCCTGATGACTGGGACTCTTCCACCCGTTTAACCGACTCTCTGCTCCTGGAGGGATTTTCATGGTTATTGAATTTTTATGATGCCAAAAAGTTCCTGAATGTCTTCTAATCTGCAACACACCTGTTTTTCTTAAACCCTTCATATTGCTTGTCTTTTTTTATTACATTTTTTCCAGTTTGCCTATTTCATCAAACTGCTGTTACCTGTAAGATTTAATGTGCCGTAGAGCCCCATTCTGCCCTGCCTAAAATGTTGATTAAAACAGACTTAAACGTTCACCAAACATCTTAGAGCTATTTTTAATTAAGAATAGAGCAGGCATTTCAAATGTTAAACTCAGAAACTTTAAATGTTTTCTAAAATATACAGGCTGATGCCACTTGTGTCAGGAAAAGTCGGGCCAGGACATTGTCTGGCTGGCATCATATGTTGCTCCAAAACCTATAAACCTATATATAAACCTATATAAACCTAATCAGCATTAACCATGCCTTTACAAATGTGAGAGCTACCTATGACAGGAACACTCATGCATCCCCATACCATCATGAAGGCCATTCAACTGTGGGCTGATAACAAGTCAAATGGTCCCTCTTATCCTTGAAGTTGAAAGTTTGGTGTCCATGATTTCCAAAAAGAACGTCAAGCTTTAATTTTCAAAGTTTAGTTTTTTAACTATGTGACAGTTTCTGGAGCATACTTAGATATGGTATCCTGTTTGCATGGTGAAGTTTTAGCAGATGTTACAGGTTGTTTTGTGTATTAAGTGTTGGATGATTGTGGACTCTGTTTTGAGTTTTGCAGTGATTTCCATTACATGGTCATGTCTGATTTCAATGAAGCACCACCTGGAGACCCAGTAATGATGGCAAGTCAGTATTGGTTTCAGCTTTGCCCCTTTTGTACTGACATTTCTTCAAATTTTCTTTCAAATTTGTACTTTAGATGCTAAAATCTCAGACCTCTTTGCAAATTTAAACTGAGGAACATGATTCTGAAATTGTTGAACCCATTAATGAACCTCTTCCCATCTTTACTTACATCTCTACCAACTCTTAATAGACTTAGCCCCTCTGGCATATATGGTCATGTTACAGACCTGTTGTTCATTAACCTAATCACTGGTGGTATTTTTCTTTTCAGAGTTACACAGTTTTGTCAGAGTCAAAAAGTTGGCATTGCAAAACTCTTGCAGTATTTTGTTGCCCCTGTTCATCTTCTATGAAAGATATTGCCGCCATTAGATTTAAAATAAGCATAAATTGACATGAGTGACATTAAACATGTTGTCAATATTTTCTACATGATTTTAAACCACCAGTTTTTGCCAGATCTTACACAGCCTCTCAGCTCTTTTAAATGGCGGTTATCTTTCAGTCAGATCTTATTCAAACTGTCTCTAAAGCACATCTGAAGGTTGTTGTGTTGTTTGGAGTTGTTGTGGACGCTGGGCTGTTTTCCCTGCTATCTCCGGGAATACAAACAAACAAACTAAACAAGAGCAAGACGCCTGCAATCACATTGTTTTTTTGTTTTGTTTTTTCATTTGATTGTTTTCAGAAATGTTTATTTTCCAAATTCTTTTGTTTTTTTCGTGCTCAGGTTCCTCTCTAGTTTGACTTTGCTGAAGCTAAAGTGAGAGGTCAAAGCGGTATTACTCTGTCTTTCTGAGTTTTGGTAACAGAGATACTTTATGGTCAAAGTAACTGTATTGAAGCCTTAAGTGTTTAGAGCATCACATTGCAAAAGCAGCCTGTTTTAATCACCGTATTTAACCAATATGTCAAGGAAATCAAATATGAGACTCATCACACAGAAGTCAACAAAACAAAAACATCCTCAGAAATCGTCTTTCCTCCAGCTATTTCTGAGTAAACTGGAGGAGAATTAAAAAACCTCAAGTATGGCTCAGCTTACAAAGGAAATGGAAATCGCTGACTGTCCCCTGATGTTGGCAGGAGGTGATTGACCAGACAATGAGGAAGAGAGAGAGAGTGAGACAGAGAGTGAGAGTGGAGGAGCCCACATACCGGAGGACGAGTCAGAGTATCTATGACATCATTCTTGAGAGAAATTCCTCTCCACGGCCACATGGGTTGCTGCCGTGGAGCTGAAATGAGACACAGATGGTGAACAGGCCCTGACTGGTCCAATCTGGCATCCCACGGAGAGTGTCAATGGTCTCAATCAGCCACATGGACAACAACTGGTCCAGCACTGAGACGTTAACAGCCTACATCCCGTGAAGTGTCATTTGATTCAAATCATTACAGCTTCATTCAACCAGAGGAGGAAAGCTGACCATGAATGTTGCTTGGTTCTTCAAAACATGCCAGTGTTTCCTCTGAGTCTTAGCGGCCAGATGGTTTAATAGAAAAGTAGTTGAAAAAATTGGCGCAGGATAAATTAATGTAATAGTCAGCTAAAAGTAACTGATGAACACTTAAAATCACTCGCAAATACAAATGGTGAAGCAGCCAAAAAAAAAATGTTCAAAAATGTTGAAATAGTTTGATAAAAATAAGATTTAAGTTTTATGGATAAATGGATCAAAATAGGTCAACAGACAAAATAGCTATTGTTGAAATATTTAGCCAAAAGAGAGGAAGAGGTGAAAGGTTTTTGACAACAGCAAAACAATTGTTGGCAAAAAATTAAAGATAAATTATTGAAATTATTAGTGCTAGGCTTAAATGTGAGGTTAGAATTTTAAGTTTTGGAAAATTGAAAAAACTTCATGTGGAAAAAAGTTGAAAAATCAGATGTGGTCAAAAATCTGCTAGCCTTACAATAAATTACGTAGCATTAAGTTAAGTTGAATTATGTCTGTTTCAGTTATGTTAAGTTACATTATGTTATGTTGTGTTACATTATGATATGTTACTTTTCATAAAGTTACGTTAAGCTGCGTTAACGTAACATTGAGTTACGTTACATCAAGTTACATTACCTTAGCTTACATCATGTTGAGTTAGGTGACATTTTATAATGCCACATAGTTTTACGTTACATTACATAATGTTGCATCATGTTCAATACACTGTGATACGATAGGTTACATTTTGTTTTTTGTTTTGCTATGTAAATTATGTTGGCAACATTATGTGACATTTCCTTATGTAGGCATATGTGAGGTTATATATGTAAGTGGTGTTGTAAAAATATATTCGAGGAAGTTCTGGTTAACTTTTGATTTATATAAGCAGCTACATCCATTGTTGAAAAATGAAGCTAATGCAAAAAAACTGCAGTTTCTCAAGTGTCCACTTGAAGTGGGCTACAAAAACCAAGGCATATTCCTATATTAAAATGTCCAACTTTAAAGCAAAAATAAATATGGTTTTTACTTTTATTCATATACAGGCAAAGGTAGGTACATAAGAAAATCATTTAAAGGAGTCCTACTTAAATTTGATAGTGAAGGGAAAGACATTTCTGAGACTGCATCCATTTTTCATACCAAGGTTCTTTCCAAGAGGTGAAAGGACCAATGAAAACTTGATAAACTAGTCTTAACATTGACTCAATTTGAGAACACTTTGAAAAATCTGGATGGAAACCCTTCAAGAAATGTACAGTATTATTAACACAGAGACCCCCTCTTTGAATTGTGCTGTGAAATCTTCTCCACCATATTAATCTGAAACCAGCTGGTTCCTTTAAAAAGCAATCATATTCTGTGCTCTATTTTTAGAGAGAGCACCAGCATGAGCTGCACAGACTGGGACCAGAGCCAGCGGCCAATTGATACAATCATATCCTAATTCAGCTAACCCGTGGGTGGCAGACATGTCCGATCTCTCCACAACAACAATCTGTGCAGGTGTGATTACCGCCGAAACACTGACAGCTGAGAATAACAAACTAATCACTGATAAACTATACAAAACATTCAGTTTGCTTACAGGACAGGCATTCAGAGGCGACATTTTACTCTGCAAACACAACAGGTTGTAAGGAATCAAGACTGATGGAGCATCTAAATTACAAAGCAGAACTCTGGACGGCAAAGCGACAGCAACAACAGAGTCAAAATTTACAAAAGTACTAAATTACATATACGTGTAACTGAGGCTACCATTTTCAACTTGTTTCAAAATCCACTTGGCAAGCCGAAGTTTCCCACACTTCCCTTCACAGCCCATCAGTCAGGCCGGAGAGGAGCGGGGGCCTGACTGTCAGGGGTCAGTGCTACGCCGAACACGCAGAGAATATGAAGCAGCTGCCTGAGACAGGAGAGCCTCAAGTGTCACCATATGTCTATGTGTGTGTGTGTGTGTGTGTGTTTCCCAACTTCATTCATACCATCACATAAATTACAGGTCGTGGTCAAACATTATCGTGCATTAATGTATCAAAAAAAGTGCAGAGGTTGCCGGTTCCACGGTTTTCGCTTATGTTTTAGGAAAGTAACTTTATATACATACTCATCTTGAAGCGCTTGGTCAACAAAGGCTCCGAATTATTAAAAGTCTCACAAATTAATGCAAAACAGAAAGTTATGTGCAGAAATATCAGCAGCAGTCATTACAGTCCCTGGGAACAGAAATGAGGCAAAGACACCCGTTGATTTTTTCCTTCAGTGGCTGTTTGAGAGCTTGTTTTGAATCTCATTGTGTATCTCTGTAGGTTGTTGTTGGTCACACAGTGTTTTACTTCTTATTTGGTTTCTCCAAATTGTTCCTTTTTTTGTTGGAGCCACTTGAATCTTAAGTTGGATCTCCTAAAGGATCTTTGGTTATTTGGGTCATTAAGTGTACAGTCTATCTGAAATAGTTTTATATTCTGGTGAGCGTCTCATCTTGTCACCTTGAGGATGTGGATCATTAGTTGTAGATCAAGCTAAATCCAAGTCGGTAGCTACTAAACTAGTTGTAACTGACTGCAACTACGTCAACATCCTGAAAGACAAAGGTCTAAAAGAAATCCTCCCATTGGCACTTTGAGATCAGTCATGAGTCTTACACTAATAAGTATAATAGTTTCATGCAAATAGGACCTGTAAAACAGAGAAGGCGACCAAACTGAACTCCCAAAGAGTGCAAGTGCTGTTACATTCATGAAAATAACTGCGTTTCAGTGCAAAATTATCTGACACTGGTAAGAATTGGTTTCTACTGGAAATAAAAAAAAAATCAATTTTTTTAACAGCTCAAATAATTTTTCCTTTCGTTTCTCATCTTGTGTTTTGCCTTTCTTGGACAAATTTTGCATCTTTGTGGCTGTTTCATATCTTTTTACATGTTTTATTCTGTCTTGTTTGTGTTGTTTTGCAACTTTTTACTCTAGTTTTATTTACATTTAGAAGTCACGGTAAATGTGCTAATCCATCCATGGACCTCTTTTTAGAAACCCTTTCTGGCTCTGATGGAGGCCAGTGCCACCCCTGGCCACCCTTCCAGTCCGGCCCTGTTTTTATGGACAAACTTAAAACATTTCCACTCGACAGGAATGTAAAAACTGCTGCTGCCAACACAAACGCCCGCTCACAAAAATGATGGCAACCCTGCACACAGAGTCATGGGAAACTGGCTTTGTCTTACTTCCTCAATGTGACACCAACAACTCTCCCAGAACCACACCTTTCTGTCTCTCACTCTCTCACTCTCTCTCTCACTCTCTCTATGTAATCCAATGTGATGTCCGACAGCAGGGAGGAGAAATCCAGACAGATCATTAGCACCATCCACTCCGCATCCCCACTGCCAGACCATATGGACTCTCCGCTCCAGTTAAAGCAGCCCCTCCTCTGGCTCCATCTCTTTCATGCTGAGGTGTCGGACCAGCCCTGATTATTATTTCCTTTTTGGAAAACTGTCTGCGGTTTTATCTGATGACTCTGGGATGAAGATAGATGAGCCTGTCGGTCAGTGAGATCGATGCACCAAGTGACAACCTGAAGATACATGAGGATGGTGGCTTTTCAGGGGTGTAAATGAGGCAGGAGTGAAAACTTGTTCACTTGTTTTGTGTGGATCAGCAGACCATGACACTCTCTGAACTTGTCACTTTTCCAGGTTTGTTCCTCTGCAGCTCAGAGGTCTTGAACTGTGAAAATAAGCCCCCCACGCTCAGTTCAAAATAAGCACCACAGTGAATAAACTCCCTCGGTGCTGCTAGTAGAATAAAAACCTCAGACCTGGCTTCAGCTGATCTGGCGCTTTGTCCCCCTCTCTGAATACTTTAAAGTGGCAGTTTATACTCTACGTGCCAAAAATGTCAATAAAACCGCCCTAATCGGCCCTGCGATCTGTAATAGCACCTGCTTCTGGAAACACAACACGCCCCTGCAGTCTGCCCCTGCAGCTGCAGCGTTTCCTTCCTTTTCTAAAGTCGGAAACAAAAAGGTGGAAACGCAATTACGCATTTTGGACAAGCGCATTTATTTGATTGGAATGACTCTATGACCTCTCCTTTCTGCTCCAAGTGGATAAAATCAGGAGAATACACCGTCTCTGATAGAAAGGAGAAACACTCCATTAAGTCATGTTTTAGAGCAGAGAATTTCTATAGGGGAGACCGGGGTCAGTTGTCTCACAGGTTGATTGTCCCGTGTTGTTGCTTATTACAGCCAAACAGGGTCAAAGTCATTTTACATGTTGTTTTTTATATTAAATCTTTCAGGATGATTAGCCAGTTTGCAGTCAAACACTTATTAAAAGTGAACATGAATAGCTTTGAGTTGAGCCTAGTTCCAGCTACCGAGCTAAAGCTGTGTCGTAACAAGTGCAAAATCTTTGTCAGGAGGTCAACTGGGCCTGGGTGCAACTTACTTAACATAAGCTGGGCTAATAGCTTTAAAAAGTTTGTTGTAATATGCAAGCTAAGTTGTCGTTGAAAACTAGGACATCTCTAACAATTTTATAGGACTTTTTTTTTGTTTGTTTTGTTATTTTTTGCCAAATCAGACTAAAGAGAAAGTTGGAACATCAAACATCAGTGCAACAGTCTACACTGCCTCAAATGGTTTTGACCACCTATATGATTTTCTAACAATACATAAGTTGTCGACAAATAGTTCAACAGCCGGTATCGATAACTAAAAGGCAGTTTGGCCAGTGATTGACATGAAATGATGATATCTGTTGTTGTTTTTGTTGTTTTGTTTGTTTGTTTTTTTTCTGTTTGTTTTATGTATTGGATAAAATCCAATTTTGTATAGTACTAACACCAAAAATGTCATACACATTATGATCTCACATGGTTATTTGTTTAGCCAGTAATATGTTTTAGATGGAATTTTAATTAATTCATATTGTAAAAATAACATGAGGTTATGGTGTAATTTCACAACATAGTGGATTTTCATATCAGGACCAATAATAAACTTATGATACTATAACTAATAAAAGAATGAATATCAAATAAGCTAATAATTGTATTTGATATTATCTTATTTAGAGAGTGATTATATTGTTACACTGGTGAGACTGCCTGCAGTGTCTGCAGACATTATTTGTTATTTATCTAATCCGCCTGAAAGTGTATAATTGAAACACAGACATGGATAAAGGCAACTATGTGTGTTACAGAGATGTGGCCATTTCTGAAACTAATTTGGTGTCTTTAGTAAAAGTAATAAGTTGCACATTTTTTCCACATCCAACCCCAGTCTCCTGTACACTTAGTTTGAGCATTAAAGGCCTGCACAGATTCATTTATGCATTTATATCTAAAGAGAAGTGCCGGTTAAACTCAAGAAATAAAGTCAACAAATTCAACCTCTTGTTCAAACTTTTGTCACTAATTCAGGCCAAAACTGCCTTGAATTTAATCACATAGGATGAGACTATTTTTTTTAGTAAATAATCTTGCTTTTTCCGTGCTGTGGGCGCTGTGATTTTATATTAAACTTGAGGACACGTGAAACAGTGTAAAAAATATCAGCAAGAAAACAGGCTGATTTTCAATAGCTGATAGATTTGATAAAGATTAAAACCCTTTTTTCCAAGTTTCAAATACTTTATTTTTTATATAATTTGTTTAAATAATTTCAGGTTTTCTGTCTCTGTTTGAGAAGTTCGGTTTGAGGCCTGCCATTCTCCCTCTCAATGCGTAAAGCATTACCAAAGAAACAACACACCTTTTAGGGTCATATCTTTGTTGTCAAACATTACTTTCAAGCAAAGTCAATCAGAATTTTCTCATTTTCGCCAAAGACTACTCGACTTAAAATCGTCTGTTCGCACATTTTTCCACAGAGGATTTCCTTGTTTTTTTCTGTTCTTGTTGACTTTCCTTTTCCACACCAACAGCACCTTTGTGACTCAATTTTGAGCTTGCAAACTCTTTTCCAGAGAGACAAGAAGTGTGTGTTTATAACTACCAGACAGAAAAATAATGATAAAAACAGCAAAGTAACACTCCACCATTTATCGTCTTTTTAACCCAATAAAGAAGTCATCGAAATGATCTTTTTAACCAGAACATTCAGCGTAAATGATTCAAAATTATTGCGAAAGGCAGTATTTAAAAGCTTGATTATTTTTATAGTGTAGGACATAATGGAGGGGGGTCTTACCGACACACTCGTTGGCCTCTCGTGCCGTGGCGCGCTGCCACGGTCGGTCATAGTGGAAAGGTTTGCACCTGTCGCACTCCGGCCCCGCCGTGTTGTGTTTGCACTCGCACACCAGGTTCCCCTCTCGATCTTTGACGCACTTCGACGCGTGCCCGTTACACTTGCACCGACCCCCGACCTGCAGGTCCGACACGGCGTAAAAGTAGGAGTCTCGCGCCAGCTCGGAGTCGTCCTCGTTCTCGTCCCCGAAGGTGTGCAGCCGGCTGAAGATCACCTTGATATCTGTGGCTGTGACCCAGTCCTGCAGCACCGGGGAGTTGTCGAAGTCGTGCGCGGAGGGTCTCCCGTCCAGGGTGCTGAAGGCGATGAGGCCGCCGGTCAGAGGGTGCATGTCGGTGTGGGAGTCCGTGCAGATCGCCTCCTGCTCGTTCTGTTTGGTGATCACAGCTTTGTTCTGTCGGTTGTACATTTTCTTACACTGCGTGGAGTAAAACTGAAACGGCACCCACGACTTGCCATAGTCCATTGACTTGTAGATCGCCATGGATTCAGGTCTGGGTGAGCAGAACTGCAGGCTCACGTAGGTCACCTCAAACTTTTTCCCGAGCGACAAGGTGAGCGTGACGTTCTGCGGGTGCTGCAGGTAGTTCTCCGAGTGCCAGCAAGTCAGGTTGTGCGGGTTGTTCAGGTCCGTTAAATACGCAGGAGGATGAGACTTCTTAGGATCCCCGGCGTCGCACGTGTGACAGTCCCGGGTCCTTTCCTCTCCCTTCTCGGTCACCACGCAGTACCTGGCGGTGGGGGTGCCACAGGTGCTGGACACGCGCACGTCCTTGCCAAAAGCGGAGTTCACGAAGTCCGGGATGCATCTGCGCGGGTTGCCGTTCTCGTCGTAACACGGGTCCGGAGGGGAGGACTGAGCCGCGAACATGCTGAGCCCGTAACCCCCGAACACCCCCTCCGTCAGGGCTGAAACTGCCACCAAGGTGACCCAAACCTCCAGGATCCTTTGCATTGTAATCCGAGCTCCACAGGGACTGAGCCGCTGAAATGAAGGAGACAAAGTCAGTAATCTCTCAAACATGTACAAATCAACACAAACATCATCTATGGTTGAATTTAGGCAAACTTGGACGCATGTAACATACTAAATGTGCAGAAAAATCCTTACGAGGCAAAGCAAACTCCACCCAGGACTCCAAATAAAACTGCTCAGAATAAAAGAGAACAACTCCTTAGAAATTTGAAGCACTAACTAAACCTTTAGACACCAAAAACTCCCTCTACACTACTTCAGCCTCTCTGATTGTGAAATCCCTGAATAAAAATAAGAAATGGCAAAAGCCCAGCTGCCTGTGTGTGTCCACTCAGTCACACCTCTGCCCACCTCTATCTCTGTCTGTCCCATTCCTCTCTGTTATAATAGAAGAAAAGGGGGTCCACTCAATCACAGGAGACGGAGCCTTTTTCATTAGAGGAGGAAAACATGTGGAGGGAGAGCGAGGGCGACATCTGCTGGTGAGTAATGTGCACCTACACGGTCAGAAAACCCTGTTTTTGACCCTCCTCCTGTGTTAGGGTCTGCACTGTTGTTGATTTTAAATGCTTAAAAGAACCACTTAAATTAACTTTTGTGCATCAAGACTTTTTAACTTTTTCAGAAACCTCTATTTCAATAAAATGAAAATAAAAAAATTAATTGACTAAATGATTAAATGCTCTTATTAAAATTATGTCACTTGTTGTGTTAGGGTCGCTGTTGACCCGGTTAGATCAATATCTAATTATTAGAGCAAAAACTACAATCATATATTCACTGTCAGGCACCACACTGACAGTCAGATCCTCTTCCAATCATGTGAGATATAGGAAATTCTCATTTTTCCATGTTTTCCCTGCACAAAAACTACTTTGGACATGTCCAAACATGTGAGATCAATTCAGTATAGATGTCTGTGTCAGGGGTAGACTGACATAGAAAGACCCAGCGGCCCACTACAAAAATTGAATGATAGAGAATTGTTTTTACTGTAATTTACAGCTGATTTAAGACACGGGTCAAAACTGACCCTTAACATGGTGGGTGTGTAGTAAAAGTGAACACAGGAGGAAGGTTAACTATTTAAAAACCTTTATTTACTGGACTTTTTAATCCAAGGTTACAAACCCAGTTCCAAGAAGTTAGGATGTTGTGCAAAATGTTCAGAAACACAGTTTGACAGTTTGCAAATCAATCTCATGCTATACCTAATCAAAAAAGTGCAGAGACAAATGTCAAACATCTAAGCTTAATATTTTTATTTTTTTGTCAAAACTATTTTCACATGTAAGAATAGATGCTGGTAAAACATTTTAAATTATTTGAGAGGGGGACATGTTTTACAATTGTGTAGCATCTTCTTCCTATCCCTCTGTAAGTGTTAGGGGACTAAGGAGATCAGTTTCTGATATTGTTGCTGAAAACAATCCAGGGGGTCTCTCTTATCATCAGAGTGTAGGATGCAGTTTCCATGATTTCCAAAATGAATGTCAAATTTTGACAGGACTTTACCTCAGACTATCTTAAATGGTGCTTTTATAGTGCTTTTATATCACGTTTGCTCTTTTGCATACAGTTTTAACATGCAGGTGAGGATGTAGCAGTTTTTGAAAATGAGTTTGAGCACATGCAGTGATTTCCACTACAGAGTTATGCCTGGTTTTTTTTTCTGTGCCACCTGAGAGCCTAAAGATCATGGCCATCCTGTATCAGTTTATACAAGGTTTTCTCTAGATTTTCCAAATCTTTTGTCAACATTTTGTCTCGTAGTTGATAAAATCCACAAATCCTTTGCAATTTTATATTGAAGGACATGATTATTTGATGTGTACATTCATTTTTATGATGACATGTACTGCTGACCCCTTGACCAAGTAACTTTTAAATCTGGATCTCAGTGGGTTACTACCTGGTAAAATAATGGTTAAAAATAGAGTTAGGCCTCCGTGCTCTCTGTAAACATTAATGAGGCAGTTTATGAGCTATTCTTAGTTAGCAGAGGGAGCTCTCAACCACTACTTTTGGTTAATTAATGACTGTTGCTATGGAGTTTTGGCCTATCATAGTCCAGTATATTTTTTAAAATCAGTGGGGTCATTGGAACAAAAGAGAACCCAGTATGGATCCTTGTGGGACACCGTTTTTCTAATTATTGAAAGTAAAGGTTAAACTGTATTCCTATGTTCAGCCCAATGAAAAGCTTTTGAGTTATCACTCTCTACTTTGTTAAATAGACAACAGTGTGCATTTTTCAATAAGAAAAAAAACTAACAGGTAAAATAGTAGTCACTGATCCATTTCTTTTCAATGCACCATCGCATGAACGGTGCTATGTTAGCGTTTCAAGCGAAGAAAACAAACGTCGGGGGGAGTCTCTAAAATTTCAACACTTTATTAGGCAAAATGAAACAAATACACTTGATATTACACTCCTCCTTCAACATTAGCACATTGTCTTTTGCAAACCTCCTCATTACACAGATTCATGCATTTCCTGTTTTGTAGCACATGCTCTCCTGACTCTGCAGTCTGACGGTCTGTTTTTAAAACCACCAGCACAGAAGAATGTAGACTCTGTATTGTTTTCCTTTGCTGGCACGTCTCTGCTCTGACCTGGGATGATTTAGGACACAAATCACTGCAGATAGAGGTACGTTTTATGTCATTTGCTGCAATTAATTTCTCAATTTTCAAAATCTCTGTCAATGTGTTAAAATTTATCATGAAGCCTTAAGTCTCATGCTTGTCTCAGTTTAGTTAGAGGTACAATTTTATATGTTTTACAACTTTTTATACTCAAGTTTTTGTAGAAACAAGCTGCAGTTATGCAACTTCCATCAGATCTAACTGTTGTTCAAGCTCTGCAGATTTCCAGTTCCCCATCTATAAAACTAGATCACTGACTTGATGAAATGAGGTAATTAACCCCATCAATACGAACATGTGCTTTATAAGTGTAGCCTTCATTTAAGCGATTTTAAAGTAAAAAGGAGCAGCAGAGATTGGTGCTTTGTCATTAATAAGTTTGCATGGCAGGACTGGAAAATATAAGGCGTCACTATACAATAGAAGAACACCTGCTTCCTTAGTTGATATGACTGCCTGCAGGAGCTGGATGTGCCAAACACAGAAAAGCTGCCTGTTTTCCTGCTGCACTTTTGCACATGGTTGAATAGCTGCATGTAGTTATTCCATGATCAGAAGTCTGTAAGTTTAAACACGGTGTGCAGTTAGAGTTGTGTGGTAAATTGGTGACTGTTTCTTTTGTATTGATCTACCAAGAGTCCCATTTTGCTGCCCTGAGGCGCAGTTTCTCCATGATGCATCCATTTAAATGAAATAATCCACATTATGTTGCAGCTAATTGGAGCACAGAGAGTATATGCATATGGATGTTGTGATTTGACTTTTGGTTAAAACATCGTCTGTGCGCCTGTCCAGTTCAAGAAAGACCTTAAAGGAAACAAGAGGACGGAAAAGGCTTTTTCCTGTCATGATGGACACAGGTGAACAATGTCATTCCGTCGTGTCACTAACAGCGGTCACAGTGACAAATCTATCACAGCTGGGCATATAATAATAACAGCTTCCATATCCTGGAGGGAAAATGAACCTCCTGGGAGTGATCCTAGCTTTAAAAGCAATCGGTGCTGCAGGGATAAACATATTTTTATGGCTTTAATCACCTCAATGAAGCTATCTTTTTATTTTCTAAATGGAGATTGTGGTTTTGCCACAAAGGCTTCTGGCGGAGGAGCCCTTGTGGGTGAAACTTTAAACTGCACACATCATTTTTAATCTTAGGTCCTCTTACTCTCGTGTGGTTAGGTCATTTTATTGTCTGTGTTTTGAGTGTTCATTTTTTACTCTTATGTATGCTTTTGCTACTAAAACATTATTATCCCTCTTCATAATTGTTCTTTTTACTGCGTGGCCCCTGCGGTTTTATGTTTGTTGTCAAATGCTTCTGCACCCTGACTACGGTTGCTATGCGATGAGTTGTGAGTCAATACCAGAAATTTCAGGTTTCTTCCCAAACTGTTGTACTTACTTTCGATGTAAAAGTACTTTGTTTATTCTTTAACCTCTACTATGAGACTCTTACGTGCCACATCTTTGTCGGTTGACTCTCGCTGGGGTTAAAGAGGAACATGCCCTCTTGTAAGACTCAACACCATGCCACTTTTGAGTCACGTAAAATCTGGTGTCAGCAGCAGATTTTAAGAATGAAAAAAGAGAAGTTGTGGCTACTGCTCTCTACCAGCTCATCTCCGGTCCTCTCTAACAGTCTGTGACTCATGGTTTTGGTAGGAAGTGACAGACTGTAATTTCTTCTCTGGCATCTCTGCTCTGGACATCAGTGTTCAGTCTTCTACTCAGTTGACCGTTTCTGTAAGAGAACAATAATGCTTATAAAGTGTTTGCAGGAACAATAACAGGAAGCTTGGACGGCTGAAGAGACACAATATATCGGTCTACCGGAATACAATAAAAGGGTGTAAGTCTGGCTGTTATTTCTGGGACTTCCTGTGGGTTTATCTGCTCTTGTTTCTCTGGGTGTCATGATACTTCTGCAGAAGAGGACACAGGACATGGAGCAGAGCGTGTGCACGGAGGATCGTATCGAGCACATCCTTGAGCGATGCCTCTCTGATCTGGGCCTGAACACTCCTGACAAACAGATCTGGAACGGTAAGACCACACGTTCATGTAAATGCCAACTAGATATAGGAACAATGCCGAGAATATGACATGGGTTAGTTATGTATGAGTGATTAATAAGAGAGAATCTGTTCTTCATCATCCTGATACACTGCTGTCGAAACTTCTCCATATTATTCAGTGAGGATGGCTTAGAGCTAATGCAAGAGATTTTTACGGTCAGATCTACAACCCTGTTCCAGTACAGTCAGGACATCATATGAAATGTTGATAAAAGCAGAAATGGATGGTTTTCATATCACTTCAATTCTAAATTTAATCAAAGAAAACGTTGAAACAAAAAAAAAAATCATTATTTTGTGTAAAAAAATATGTCTAAATTTTTTTGATTAAATGCCAGAAAACTGTGAACATTTGGAAAATCCAAGGAGATCAGCATGTGGAGTTTTGAAAGTGATTTTTCATTCAGCTGCTCAACAGCTCAGGCTCTCCTTTGTTGTATTTTTGGGTTTCATGACGTGCTGAAACTTTTCAGGAGCAGGCAGGCTGCTGTTAAGCATGTTGGACTCTTCCACTACAGAGTCATGCGGATAAAATGTGGAGTGATATAATGAATATTATTTGTTAGTCTTTCGTCTGTCTTGCGTAAAATTTTTGATGCTGCTTTCTTGACATGGGCTTCCTTAGAAAAGAGATTTGGTTAGAGGGTCGGTTTAGATAAGAACAGTATAAAACTGTCTGGATGGCAGCATGTTTCTCCTAAACTTGTAAATACTGACCAGCATTCATGCTGATTTCACGGATAGGCTCTTATGTTAAAAAATTAACCTCAATAAATGGAAGTTGTTCCTACAGGGATTATTTTATGAACCCAAATTTTGTTTCTCCCTGCTCCAAATTAAAAAAAAAAGCATTTAGTTTTCCTAAAACAATCAAATTCGTCACATTTATCATTTGTTATGAATTAGTAGTTCTATTCCTGATCAAATTTTGTGTTAAACTGATTTGCAAACCATCAAATTATATTTTGATAAGCATTTTCTTACATGTCCAAACTCTCTCAGAATTGGGGTTGTATACTGAGAGTACTCTAAAAGTGCAGCAAGAGGAAAACAGCAGACTTTTTATGGTGTTTTTTTTTTTTTTCCTGTAGTATTGCATTTGTTTTGTTCAGAAAATTTGTGCTGCCAGCACAGAAAATGGGAAAGAATTTGTTAAAAGCTCCATAGAGCGCAGATTCATTGCTTTATTGATATTTTGTCCCAATAATGTTGTAAAATCACCAACATACTCCTATAGATAACCATCAGAGAACATAATGTTCATCCTGTAGAGACAAATGAGAATTGAAAGTGAAGACAAACAGAATGAGGAGTGACAGACTGTGGGCAGAGTGTCACATTTGTTCACGTGAGGTCGAGTCTGAAATAATATTTACAAAATCAGATTATGAACTCGTCAATAAGAAAAAAGGGGTTTCATCACTGTTCTTCTTGTGTTCAGGGACTTTCTGCATATTACTTTTTAGCATTCGTGTGTTTACTAAAGATCATCAGAGTGAAACCAAAAAGGAGAAGTAAGTTTGGTTCACTTTGTGTGTCCTTGTCTGTCTGACTAGCGGGGTTATGTATAAACAACTGGTGTTTGGAGGAACTTGTGAAGAGAGATCCCCGCAACTTCCTCATACTCCTTCAGAAAATACTGCAGAAAACAAAAGAGGTAAAGAGCTAACAACCAAAGTTATTTTCCTAGAGTGTTTAGTGTAATAAAGTGAATGACAGAGTGTCTGTCTTTACCTGTTACAGGTGCTGGAGCAGTGCCAGTATGAAATGGTCGCTCCTCTCACTCTCTTGTTCTCCTCAAGTCTACTAAAAGTGAGTAGGGGTCGTTTCAAATCAGTACAGGAACAAACCTTTTCTATTTCCCTTTTCCATATAAATTGCACAATCCAAGTGATTCACATTTAACCTGATAAGTTTTTTGGGGGGGTTGTTTTTGTTTTTTCATACAGGCTCCGTATGTTTCTGCAGACTGTGGTGTGCTGCAGGAGGCCTACCTGCTGTTCCACAGTTTTCTGTCTTGGCCTGAGCCCTGCTGCTCCGCCAGTAAACACCTGCTGAACATCATCCAGCAGGAACTCAGAGCACCAGGTAGGACAGAAGACCTTATGCACTGTAGAGAAAAACCCTGGCATCACTAAATACACGCTGAGCAATAAACGGCTATTAGACGTCTAGTTTTTTTTTTTACCTAATTTTAATCGTCTAGATTCTGTTTATTTTTAGACAGAATGTAGACGTTGCACTTTAACACTTTATTCGATAATTATTTCTGATCTCCAAGTACTAAACCAAAATAACTATGATAGCCATTGAGCAATATACAGTGCAGTATAGATAGATAGATAGATAGATAGATAGATAGATAGATAGATAGATAGATAGATAGATAGATAGATAGATAGATAGATAGATAGATAGTACACTAACAAAGACAACAACAACAAGTGCACCTCTGCAGACCAGTCAAGTGGAGTAAAATCAGTTAAAACCGGTATAAAAAGTGCAATAAATGCAGTTGTGCTAGCAGTGCAATATGTATATAGTGTTGAGGTGCACGGGTCCTCAATTCAGGTTTTGTTAAACAGTCTGATGGCTGTTGGAAGAGAGGACCAGCCCAGATTCAGACTTGATCTAAACTTAGACGTCTAAAAACCTTTCATTTTTAGACCTGTGGTAGCCTGATTTTAGACCAGTCATCTAGGCTACATTTAGACGTCTATTTGACCTCTTTTAGACCAAAAAATGCTCAGTGGGTAGGTGGTTAGCTTTACAATACAATACTTTACAATACCTTACAATACTTACAATATCCACTTTCAAACTGTTTTTATCACCCCAAGAAATCTCAATTTGAATCTCTCAGACATGTTTCTAAATTAATTAACAAAGATATGCTTGACATAATGCTATAGGGATATAAAGGGTTAATGAAATAATGGGAAACACAGCTGTGCATTTCTGAATGTAATCGTGTGGCCAAAGGGGGGCTGTGTTAAACTCATGATGAACTGAACTGTCTTATTCTTGTTTTAGGTATTTCATTTCAAAGGCTAATACGGTCAGAGCAGGGTATTTCCCCTGAGGTCCACTGCTCCAAAACCATGTAAGTTCAATTGGATTTGGGTGATTGCTGAAATGACTGCCGTATTAAACGAGCATGGTTAATATTTCACACTTCCTTCTGGCACTTTAGAAACTACATCTTTAATTTAGGGTGAAGACTGAGACATTATTCTTTGTATTTTCACATCCTCTCTTAACTTGATGCATTTGGTCTGTGGTTTTATTTCACAAGAACTCTCCTGTTGGTGAGCCCAGATGAGGACGTCCCACAGGAGGTCAAGTCTGTCTCAGAGCAGCTGAGTAGAACCCACAATTCCAGCAGAGACGTCACCATCCTCCTCATCCTGCAAGGCTTTCAAGCAGTCCTGGGCCCAAAAACCCTCAACCTGCAGGCTCTCCATGATGCCCTACAGGTGACTGAACAATGTCTGGGCACACAGTTCCTCCTCAGTTTTCTGTTGTTTCTAAGACTTGTTATTTTCCATCAGAAAAAGCAAGGAGAGGCGCTGCAGAGGCTTTGGGAGACGGTGACTGACAGCATGGAGAGAGCAGCCTCTACAGCAGACCTGAGCGCAGCCAGACGAGATCTACTCCACAGCATGGAGAGGCTCAAAGACGGCCTCGCTGTTCCTGATAACAAATGCAAAGACACTGGTAATGGAGATGTAAACATTAAGTTCTGTGGACACAGGAGAAACTCAGATAAAATGCATGATGATACAGTATATTACTAGTTTTAGTTTAACCTGCTCTGTGCCACTACAGAAACATGGTGCTAGATGGCAGCCTCTGTGGAAGAGGACCCACTTGTTACAAACATGAAAAGCTCACTTTAAAGGGATATTCTGGCGTAAAATTAATTGAGGGCCAAACACACCGTAACTAAAAAGTTAGACTACCCCTGTAAAGATCAATGTTGCCGACTGCTTGCTTCTCTAGTTATTCCAACTTTAGTAACGACCACATGATAGCAATATGCAGCGGTCTATGGAACCACACACAAGCCTCAACCAAAACACCACTCTTTAGCCACAAATAATGCTTAACACAACATCTAACTTCATCAACAGTACATATAGGGTCCCAGCCATAGTACTAGCCATCAAACATCTTTGTAACTTTGCATAATTTCTTTAGCAAAGAGACGAAACACAACTCACCTACTCTCTTCCAGCAGCCGATTGTTTGTAGCAAGACCTTAGGCCAGTCCATTACGAACTGCAGTGGGGTGACACAGCTCAAGGAAGAACATTTATGGTCATTACTTTATCATTTCCTTGAAGTAATAATCATAGTGGTTCTTTTGCCTTGGCGTCTCATGATCATGATAAGTCTGTTCTCTAAATGCTGCTAATTGCTGTGATCTACCTTTAAGAAGTCAAAATATTTTATTTTTCTTAGTATGTAATGGCAGCAACTGAGCAATTCAAGAGCAAAATGTCAAAAAATATATATCTAAAGCATCAACATCATTGCAAAATACAGTTTTATATAACGCTCTTGCATGTTTTCTTGTTATTAGAACAATTCTGATTCCAAACTTACTCAAAACTTTAAAGACAGACTGCAGATTTTACCAGGATAAAAACAAGATTATCCATTTTTTTGATAAAATAATTGAAGATTTGATCCAGTCTAGTAGCTGTTTTACTTACAGTACCAGGTTCAGATCATAAAGAGCATATTTTTGTGTTGAGTTTTCCCTCTGAATCTGTTGTTTAACATTATTCTCCGACAGCTAATGCTCTCATGACCTCAATATCACCTCCTTCTTTTAGGGTCTGCTGAGACGTTCACGCTGCCTCTCCCTAAATGTCACACCTGCTCCTGGGAAAACAACAACTTTGGTAACTAATCCACTCTCTGAACACCTCCATCACTCACTTAAAATCTGTCTTTGACTCTTTTTGATTGTTTTTCTCCTAAATTTTTATTCAGATATTCTGCATCACATCCTTGCCATCGAGTCTGACCTGGATTCACCTCCAGACTGCTTCATACAGGATGAGGAGGACAACAACAACAACAACACAAGTGTGGATGAGGAAGACGACTCGGACACGACCAGAATCGAGCAAGAGTTTCTAAACAACCGCAACTCTTCTGCATCCTCTTCTTCCAGAGACTCGGGTAACTTCCTGTCCTCCAGCTGGTCTGCGTTCTCCACGCCGTCTTGTTCATCGGGGGTGGAGAGTGACTTCAGTGAGGACACTCCACAAGACGACACAGAGGAGAGACAAGACAACAGACCGAGGCTGAGAAAGAAACCTAAAAAGAAGTCCAGATCCATTTTAGGTGTTGAGCGCTTCAGCTCGCTTTTCAGGGCCCCTCGTAGCCCGAGTATTTGTCGCAGAGCTCAGAGTATGGGTTTTCACGGTGACTTTACCAAAGACCTTCAAAGAAACGGATCACAGCTCAAACACTCAAGGTCTTTGTCCAGAAAAGTCCATCCCCTGCAGATGTCTGCCGTTCCCTCTGATGAACTGTCTCCTCAGAAACACGTGTGCATGCGCAGGAGGCCAATCCTGAGCTGCGATGAAGGTGATGTGGACGAGGTGCCCACTCTGGTGAAAGTGGTCGTGTTTGGAGGAGATAAAGACGCAGGCAGGCTGGCGAGGGCGTACAGCGACCTGCAGCAACGAGAGAGTAAATGTCCAAGACTCACAAAGACGTGCAAACTGCAGTTTTACTTTGTCCCCACCAAAAGAAGAACAATAGGACGCACAGGAGGACACTCTACGGGTGAAGGACAGACTGTAAGTTCAACCAAAGCTGCACGTTTTACTGTCATATCACACATCTATCTAAAAACACTCATGCAGTAAGTTATACAGTACATGTGCAGTACAATGGAGCTGTCTGTGTGATCATTTTTAGCATTTGACACATTGTCTTGTTTAGTTTTAACATCGGCTAGAAATGCAAATCATCAGAATATGCTTCATCAATATTTGTAATTACTGAAGTACATAACTCAACTAAAAGACACGGTATATTTGAAAAGAGATATCCTGCCCAGGTTTTGTTTTGTCACCCTAATCCATCATTCTTTTACTATAATTTATTGATTTTAACAATCAGGGGTTGGAGCTGCTTGTCTGGAGCACTTTTCCAAAAGCTCAGGGGTCAAATTTTTAATTGAAGAGACGCTTTCTGAAAAGCTTGAGAGCTAAAAAGTCAAAGCAGAGTCAGATAGGAAATGAATTCAACTGATGTAAAGGAAATTATACTCTTTATGTTTTTCTCCTGTAGGAGTGTAATGGCAGCACACAGGAGGACAGTACGACGGATATAGCTCAGCTGTTAGGCAGGATCGACCCTTGGTATGAAAGGAACGTCCTCAACCTGCTCAGTCTGTCCTCTGAAGTCCTCTGTCAGGTATCCTCGACTCTAACACCCTCATCTGTCTCTCTCTTTGCTGAAGGTGCTTTTGGTGTTTCTGCTCTTTCATCCAGGTCCAAGTAACAGCTTCATCTTACCCTAGAGTATTTTTTGAGCCTGGAAGATGATAAAAATGACTTGTTGGTGTAATTTCTGCTTGATAAGACTCAGTTTTGTCCTTTTTGTGAACATTTTATAACACTCTCTACAGCCAGGACCCCTTGCAGAATAGATTTTAATTCCCTGTGAAATAAAGCTTGATTATGTGTTTTTTTTCCATGAATCAGACCGCCTGCAAAGAAGCTGATGAGTCAGTGAATTGCACAGAGAGGCTCCCCCTGCTGGCTGACCTGGTGCTTTATTACTGCAGACATGCAGAGCAGCAAGTTCTGGTGCAGCTCTACCAAGCTGAGGTGAGATAAAACCACACACACACACACACACACACACACGCACACACACACACACACACACACACACACACACACACACACACACACAAACGTGAATAGTAATGTTTCTGTTTCCTTGCGTTCAGCTGACTCTGGTTGGAGGAGAGAGGAGGAGGGAGGTGTTTATTCACTCTCTGGAGCTCGGACACACTGCAGGAACAAGAGCAGTGAAGGCCATGGGTGAATCACACACACAAACACACACAACTACCACCCAGTGGGGAAAAAAAGTAAAAAATATCAATAATCAAAGCATCACTAGGAATTACACCATGGTCTAGGTGAATACTTGATACTTGATTCTGATTGGCTGCTTGGTTTGAATTAAATGTGATTTTTGGTCAGCTTTTGGAAAAATTTCTTGGAAGCTACTTTTGATGTGTCTAAAATAAATAAAGATCAATTCAAATCAAGACTTTGCATTTTAGATACAGTCTGATACTTTTCACCAAACACATCAACATAGAACTTAACCAGAATTTCATCTGTTGACAAGATTAAATGCACACTCTCCAGTCAGTCAGGATACAGTATTCAGTAGTTTGAACTCTAACCTGTGTTTGATTAATTTGTAGGTTCTGCCAGCAAGAGATTTGGAATTGATGGAGACCGAGAGGCTGTGCCTTTAACTCTCAAAGTTGGCTACAACAAGGTATTGTCAACATCTTTAATGTCTGTTTATAACATACGATCATTTTAGCTGTGTTACTTTGGTGTTGACACTTACCAGCTACTGTTGTGGGGTTTTAAGTTCGCTGTCTATAACATCTGTCCATGCTGCACCTGATTACAGGTGGCTGTAAGTGGGCGGAGCCAGTGGACCCAGACAGAGATGGTTTGCACGTCACTTAATCTTCACAAAGCCTGCAGAAAACCTGAGCAGCTAGGTGAGTGGCAAGCAATCCCACCCCCATGCAACCAACTTCTATGGCAGCTAAAGAAGGGTGGGGGTCTCAGAGGGTGTAGAGGGGAGGCTGTGGGACTTCTACTGGGAAGGGTCAGGACCAAGTTCAAGAGGAGACTCTTCCAAGAGATCAAGATTCTCACTCAGATTAAGTTGCCATAGTTTCCTGTGCACAAAACAATATGACAATATGACAAGCACAGAAATTATGCTGACATCTAGTGTTTCAACTGAGTATTGCAGGGCAACAAGTGCACAAAAGGGTTAGAGTGCCAAAGTAAAAATCTTTAAATTAGATGTTGTGGAGGTTTATTTGTGTTCACTGTTAAGTCTTTATCTCATGTGTTCAGATTCAAGATTAGAAAGCCTGCAGCTGACAATGACAGAGGTCCTGAAGAGGCAGAGCTCCAAGTCCAAAAAGGGCTACAACCAGGTGAAGACTGATCTTACATTTGATTCATTTAAAGGGTAATCTCCCCTTACAAGTCTTTTCTGCCTTCTTGCAGCACATCTCCATCTCAGAAGTGAAGGTGGATAAGGTGCAGGTGAGCTGTGTAGAAAACGGGACAACCTTCGCTGTGTGTTTGGATCAGGATGAGAAAAAGTTCATCCAAAGTGTCACCAGGTACAGACGAACAAGTCATTCACTATTTTACAAGAAGCTTAGTTTCCATATACTGTTACAGCACCCAGTGTAACCCTTCATTCTCTGATTCTGCAGGTGTGAGGTGTCTCTCTGCTGTAAACCAGGAAGCGGTTCAGACTGGAGGTCTTACAAACCCTCACCGGGCCAAGTCCAGCCTCTGCACCCGTCCTACTGCTCACTGCTCTGCCTCCCCATCACCTCCTTCTCCTCCTCTTATCCCTGATACACATTCAACTGTACCCTAAACAATACAGGCAAAATGACTTTACCACACAACTCCATTTTCCCCAAACTGGTAGACATACAACTGTATTTGGTTAAAATTTAGACTCATTCCCCTTAAATTTATGTTTTTATCCTAGAATATTCAAGACTTTTTGCAGTCATATTCACAAAAACACATTTTCTTTTCATCAATAATGTGGCCTTAATGTTCTTTTAGAGTTTAAAACTTCCAAAAAAGTTAACAATAAACTATGATTTTCCTCAAAAATACAGCTTTTACACCTTATAAATAAAAGAAAACTCTCAGAAGTATGTATAAATGTGAGCGTGGACTGATAATGAGATTTTTGGAGACTTTACTGTATCAGGCTGTCATGAATTTTACTCATCAGGACTGTTTATTTTCTGCTGACAGAAGCATTAAACTGATTACTTGATGACTACTAAGTACGATCTGTTCTATTTGAAATGTTTAATGTAATAAGCTATTTATTTTAAAGTTAAAGAAAAGAAATTATGTTTGATATATATGTAATCATTTTATGATGTAAAATTTACATAAATGCAATAAAGTTATGTTTCAATCAGCTCTGTTTTTCAATCATTTGTTTTTCAGTCATCTGTCAGAATAGGAAGGGGAAATTAGAAATTATTGTAAAATTTTGACCCTCGCTGCTCCAGTCTGCCTGCAGCGCACATACACCTCCACCCCGCTAGGGGGCGCTGCAGTCACTCACTCGCCTGCTGTTGTAAAGGTAAGCAGTTGAATGCGCTCACGTCCAGACGGTAACAGGTGTGTTTGGCTTTAAACACCAAACAAGTTTGGGATATTTAAAGGAATTTAAAGACGGAAAATGATCGATAGACAAGTTTAAAGTGTCTTTTTACCCGCTCGATGTGAAAAGGTAAATATTTCCCGTCGTCTTTTATTCTTATCTTTCCAACTTGGCGTGACGTGGACATCCTGATGAGCTGCAGGGACAGACCCGTGCATCCAGCCTGACAGGTGAGCAGACCCCCACCTTACTCAGTTTTACCCTAGTAGCTTCTTGTTTCCACCAGAAATAGAAAAGATTTCACATTTTTGACGTTTATTTTAAAGCTGAAATGTTGAGTTTATATCTTCATCTTTTTCTCTGGAGCTGAAATTCCGTTAAATATCTCACTTCCATTTGATAAAAACAGAAGTTAAGATACTTTGACTTTTTTAATGTGACATACAATAGAAAAATACTTAAAACCTCTTTGGCCTGAATGATGCAACACTTTGACAGAGTGTGTTTGAGTTTGTGTGTATGCAAATAAAGAGGGGGGTTCGCTATTGGAGATTAAGATGCTTTAAAAATTATTTATTTGTTATAAAAAACCACTTAACAATGTTATTTTTATGGGCTTTTACATGCGTTTATCGTCGAAATTTCCCAAATTATTTTAAGGTTTTAAGGTTAAGTAAACATGACCCTGCACTGCCCGCACAGAAACACAAATGATGTTGTCAAACCGTGCTGTCAGCCCCCATAACAGGAAAAAATGAGTGTATTTAGTGGAAATAAAGGGACAGTATACAACTTTCTAATTACAGAATTTCACTTAGCCATTACCATTATTATTATTATTATTATCATTGTTATTTTTATTATTATTATCATTATATTATAAGCTTTATTTATTGGGATAAATTCAATTTTCAAAGTAGCTCTTATTTTGTTTAGGAAAACAGTTTTGTATTGTTTCCCTGCAAATGAGATATGAATGAACAAAGCAGTTAACATCTTTATAATTTGACAACTATGAATAAATAATTCATTTTTCAATAAGAAACATCATAAGCAGTACTGAAAATTATCTGAAGCATGACGTGTTTTGTTGTCATGATTTCTTTGTTGTTCACCTTTGTTAGTCATTTACTTCTGAGTCAAGATAAATGAAGACCAAATAGTGGGCTGTCGCAATTCATGATGGCAGACTGCTCCTAAAAAATAGTAAAAGTAAAACTCCAGTCCATACGAAATGGGATTCTGAGTAATAATGTTAATAACAACTGAATTTGGTGGTTTTCAATTCAGTGAAATCCTGGATATGACATACCAAATTTTAAAACAATAAAAAAAAAATTTGCTTCATAGAAAATTTGTACATATAAATTAGAATTTGATGCCAGGAACACTTTTCTAAACTGTTTGGACAGGGGCGTGTTTGCCTCCATGTTGTATCACCTCATCTTTAAACAACACTATGTAAACGTTTGGGAACGGAGGAGATCAGTTCCTGGAATTCAATTCCTGTAAAAGCATCAGTGGTTCAGGGTCTCCTTTGTCATGTTTAACCGTTCATTATGCACCTGAATGTATTTCAACATTCTCTAAACTTCCCCTTTTGCATGAAAGAAGCTTTTGAGTAGAATTTATTTTCATATTTTCGTTCCTATTTATCGATTGATGGTGTAAATAATGCAGTCTGTGTGAGATTCTTTCATCTGCACACAAAAGCTTTTAAGGACAGCGGTATTGATTTTATTTCCTCATGTTTCTCCCTCTCTCAGTGTTGAATCAGCTGCTCGATGTGAATCAGCAGAATCAGAAGCTTCCACCATGAGGAGGAACAAGCAGATTGACATCCAGCGCGCCCTGGCTCTGTCCGGCGCCCTGAACTTCCTGTGCTCCTGCGCCCGAGCCTGGCTGCTCCCTTTCCTCACCCTCTACTTCAGACAGCTCGGTATGACTCCAGCCATGACCGGAGTCATCATGGGAACCAAGTACTTCATAACACTGGTGTGGAGCCCTGTGGGGAGTCTGCTGGCCAAACACTACAACAAGAGGCGGGTCCTGCTGACGTGCTCTCTCCTGTGCTCTGCGGTGATGCCTCTGACTCTGCTCCTCATCCCTCATACAGGTGTGCATGATCAGATTGACACCTGCAACACGACTGATGTCAGCACGAGTCCAACGCAGAGTTTTACGAGTGGCGTCATCAAACTGACCACGACATCTACTAGAACTGAAGCTAAAAGCACCTCATTTGTTGGTCTTCAACCTAATGTGACAGTTTCTGCTCATATATCTGCTCCTGCTGTGGACAAAACTTCACTTAAGAAGCCCACGGTTGAAAAATCCCACACTCTGAAGCAACAAGTGAACACATCATCAGAAGAGAACACCAGTAATGAAGAGAAAAAGGTCAGCAGCTCCCCTACAAACCAAACCAGCAGCTCCAGTTCACCTCCAGTGAACCAGAAAAAGAAGACAAGAAAGTTCCGTCGAGAAGTGGAGACAAACAGCGGCCATTTTGAATTCCTGGGCAGCCTAAAGGTCATGGACCCTCAGCACCAGCTCTTCTTCCTGGTTCTGATCACCGTGTCCATGTGGGAGTCTGCGTCTGCGCCCCTTGAGTGGACGGCAGATGATGGATTGTACGAGTACCTCGACTTTGCAGATGCTTCAGATCGCTACAGCAGCACAGGGGTGTGGGGACTAGTGGGAGCGGCGTGTGGTGTCGGAGGAGCGGGGCTACTGGTCAACCTGCTGCGTTGTGTCATAGCCAATCAGACTGCAAGGAGTGCGGTACATTTCTACTGTAACACCATTGTGGTTGCTCTGGCTCTCCCTGTGGCGATTTTCCTTCCTCTCCACCTGAATAAGAAGCGAGACAAAGCGAACGGGCTCCTCAAAGCAGCGCAGCTGGTCCGAGCATCCCCTCGTGCTCTTCTCTGCGCTGCAACCACCCTGTTTGTCGGCGCAGCATGCTCAGCGGTGGATAACTTTCTGCTGTGGCAGATGCAGGATCATGGCAGCAACAAGCTCCACATGGGGCTTTCCCTTGCGCTTGCTCTGCTCTCACAGGCCGCCTTCCCTTTTCTGGCGACCCGGGTCTCCAGATTCCTCACCCCTGGGAGGGTCCTAATCGTGGGAGCTGCGACTCTCGGACTGCAGTGCATCTATTACTCCTTCCTCTGGGGACCCTGGGCCGCACTACCTGCTCAGGTGTTCAGCTGCGTCAGCACAGGAGCCATCTGGTGGGCCGTGCAAGTGCAGTGCGAGGACATTGCCACGCCAGGGAGCGAGAGGAGCGTGCAGAGGATCTATACCTCATTCTCACTGAACCTTGGTGGGGGATTAGGGAGCTTCGCTGGGGGGTTCGTGGTGCAGAGGTTCGGGCTAACATGGCTCTTTAGAGGGGTGGCGTTGTGTTTGATTCTCTGGTGTGTGTGTCTGCCTCTGCTGCAGTGGAAAGCTCCTCGCCAACGCAGGATCAACTACTCACGGCTTCTGGCGGCAGATGCTAGTGAAGGAAGTGACTCTGACTCTGAGCAGGAGAGAGACTGGCTGGATAAAGCGATGGAAGACGACAGGAGCAATAACAACCACGGACGGAGGATGAACCAGTGAAAAATGAAGATTGAAGGGAACAGAGAAGACTTTCACAGAGTCAAATCCTGGAATGATTTTCAGTGGTTAAAGCTCCACTTAAGAATGTTCAGTTTGTGCCAAGTTTGGCGCCCCCTGTGGACAAAGTAGTCATTGCTTATACTGTCGTGCTTAAATCTCATCCTGATGACTTTGACAGTCAAATATCCAATGTATTGTAAAAACTGTGTGGAAATTGAGAAAACGTGGCTGTTTCCTTGGCTGCTTGGCTGATACTAAACCCCTCACCCCCATGAGATGTTAATAGTTACACCATAAGAAGTGTCAATCTTGTTCCTGATGGTCTTGTTTGCTTTTGTATGTCAAAAAAAAAGTGTCAATCTGAATTTCAATCTGCTTTATAAAAGTTAAAGAACTCCTCACAGCTTTAAACCTGACAGATATCATCAGCTAACATGGATCTATTACAAATATACATCGATATCTGACTTTGTCTCTCCACTCTGTGCCTTTTTTAATAAAAACTACAGTAAACAGTTCTTGGGGTCATTTCAAAAAGGCCTCTTGATGTAAAGTATCTTGTCCAGCATACCGTGGTCCACCTCACAGTCGATAAACCGCTCTGCACAGTTCATCTAAAACTAATACGAGTATCAATATTGGCGTCTTTTCCAACTTTAAATGCAGGTCCAAGTGTTTGTGCATGCACCTGTAAGTGCACGAATTGAAATCAAGCAACTTGACTGTCGTTCAGAAGTAACAAATCAGACAAGTGCAATGTCCTGAAAGAGTAAGGTTGACAAAATATTTGATACTTTTTAGTATAATGTGCTTTAAAATGACAGAAAGAGAGCAGATCTACGGTCATATTTCTAATCTAATACTGCTGCAACAAAAGAGAGAGAATAAGAAGGAGCCATGTGCACTGGTCACATGGGTCAGTCTCTGCTATTAGTTTTGTAATGTGACTTATTCTCCACCAGGTTACTGACACGTCACTCTTTATCATCGTAAAACAGAGCTGGTAATTCCCCTCTCTGCCAGCTCTCATTAAAAACCAAAGAGACGAGTTTGATTCCTCATTACTGCTCAAAACGTCATCAGAATTAAACGCCGCAGCATCCCCGCTGCTGTTTATCAGTCTGCAGGTGAAGAGTCGGCTGTAATGATGGACTTTGTCTCTGAGCCACCTGAGCCTTGTGAATTTACATAAGCAATCATTCCTGTATGAAGCAAACAAAGACCAGGAGGATTATGGGTGGGCAGAAGACGGACTCGGTGCCATCCGGCTTGTTCAGCAGCTTAGACATGATGACAACAGAAGCAGCGAGGCGGGGAGTGTAAACAGGAGGAGTATGCACAAGGTGTAGCTAAACTAAACTGGCAGGCTGTGTCACCACACCCGGACTTCTCATCTTCAAAATACTGTTACCTTGTCTTCTGCTGATTCACCTGATTCTGAACCCTGTGTCATTTAATCCTGCGCCTTAGAGAAGACAGTGCATCAGCTGAAAACACTCATATTCTGACAGTTATATCTCAGGAGTAACAGCATGACAGGCCACAGACTGAAGCCGTAACTGTTTATCTTCTCAGGGTTTTATTAAAAGCAGAAACATTTGCATAGGTCTCCTCCTCAATAAAACAAGATAGAGCCACTCAGTAGGCAAAAGATGTCAAGAGGGGGCTGTGAGCTGAGCTGACACCTGCTTTTTAAAGTTGAGGCTTTTTTTAAGAGAGGAAAGTCCGCTTTAAAGTCTCATTCGCATTCAAAAGATGGCTAGTGCTCAAATAAGAGAATACAGAGCTACAGAAACTGCTGGGCTGGCCACGCCTGGACAGTAGATGGCGCTATAACTTTATTATGCAACACCCGTGCCTGCACAGGTTGATGTTCTTCAGCCGAGCTGTAAAATACACAAGAAGACCAGTGGAAACAGCAGAACCTCTTAGCTGGAGAAGTGTTAATAAACTCAGTAAAGACAGTAGCACAAACACAGCTCAGTGATTTTTCATGGGGCTATGGAGTCACAAGTTTACTAGATCTGGGTATTGCCAGTTCACACAATAACAGAAGAGAGGTGGGTGCAATTCATCGGCGTGTGGATGCATCGCGATGCTTCACGTGACGATTCGGTATCGATTAAGTAACGTCGATGCTAAAATAAGTAAATAAATAAATAAATACGTCGATGCTTTGCCGCGAAGCCGGAACAAAAAAAAACACATAACCGGAACCTTAACGCGCGCTCCACCCGGACTATTTAGTGAGTGGGACCACAACAAACAGAACACATTAGTTTCTTTGCAAAATGGCAACAACTTCAGCAGCCTTCAAAGAGCGGCCGATTCTCTCGCCACTGCAACCGTGTGGAAGTACTTTGTATTTTATGAAAGAGCAAACAAGACGACTGAAAAGATTTTCAAAGCAAAGATAAAACACCACAAACATGAGGCAGCACCCTTTGAGACAGCCTCTTGTGGTCATTTTAGGAACTGCATTTTTTGGCACATACGTATCAACTTAATTTCTCAGCACTAGGAGCTGCTTCTTGGTGGCTGAAGGGTTAATATATAAACAGCTATTTCTGTGTGGGACTCTGTTACCTGCTGACAGATGCGAGACTGACTCCCCAAACATCTGCTGGAGCTCTGGGTCTCCCTGGAGATCCTTTGAACCCCTCTGAACAGCTGAGCTCAATCATGTGAGTTGAAACATTCAGGACGAAAGACAGCTCAGTACTCTTGGGGGAGAGAGCTGTTGTCATGGTTGTAGTCCAATAGAGCATTCAAGAAAGATGTTTGTGCTTTGAACACTTTGTGTATTTTAGATAGCGTTATAGAGGGACAGATAAGCTTATTGTAAATGCTTAATCCTCAAAAATGCATTCACTTTTATCCAATCAATCCAATATGTAATATGCTCTGAATCTCATAAGGCTACAGGTGGTGGTGCAAGTCCTCTCAAACCTTTGTGCAATGTTGAACAGCTGAAGGATGTCCTGCAGAATAAGCCTGAGCTGCTGTGCAACACTGAGTGGAACAATCACCATGAGCTATAAAAGGGATTTTCCAGCGTAAAATTAATTTAGGGTCAAAGTTAAACACACCATAACAGTTAGAGTTAGACACCCCCTCTAGAGATGAATGTTGCCGGCTGCTTGCTTCTCTAGTTATACCAACTTTAGTAATGACCGCACGATAGCAATACACAGCGGTCTGAGGAGCCATAAATGAACCTCAACCGAAATGCCACTCTATAGCCACAAATAATGCTCAGAACAGCACCTAACTTCATCAACAGTATTTATAGGGTCCCAGCCATAGAACTAGCCACACAAAATGTATCTTAAAATGAGTTGAGGCTGAAACCATCATCAAATCTGTCAAATTTGGGGCATATTTAAAGTTAATTAAAAGTGGTATTTTGTAATTCCACTGAGTGATGCTATAATTTTATTGGGAAAATCAGCAAATAGATGTGATCAATCATAGATGTTGATCATGTGTATGACTAGGGCAGATCGAACACTGTATTAAGGATTATTAATGACTTTCTGTTTCAGAGCACGACATTTAAGCCAAACAAGCTAGCAGGGACACAGCATTTGAGGTTCACAAAATCTTTTAATAACTTTTACCAGTTTTGATAGTGTCAACAATTCACTGACCAACATGCAGATGGCTAAACAAACCTTAGGATAAGCTTAGGATATTGCGTGTATGTTGTCTTTCACTTGTCATGATCTTTTTCTGCAACACACAAAAAAAAAATGTTAAAAGGATTTTGATTTCTTTTCTGTCTCTGTTAAAAGTGTTATCTTTTAGGTTTCCTTGTTATCAGCCCTCTTGTTACAAAGCTGTTTCTGCATGTCATATCGCTGCTCTCCCATCAGGTGGCGCCTCTCTTCAGAAACAGCTGCTCCTTCGCTCTGACCCACCTCCATGAGTCTGTTCAGCATCTGTTGGCAGCTCTCCTCACACGGTACAGCAGCACTGCGTGGACTCGGTTGATGATCTCTGGTTTGGCAGTATTTATTTTGCATTTTGAAAGAAGAATGTCTGAACTTGTTCCTACAAAAATGGATAAAGAGATGAAACCCTCTCTGCAGTATGGCTCTTTGGAGAAAACACAGGTGGAAGAAGAGGTGGAGAAATCAGGTGAGTTTTCAGATGTTTAAATTGAACTGGGAGCATGGTGCAGACTCTTATGGTCCACAGGTTCAAGATAATCAGACTGATAAACCAAATATTTCATTTAAAACACAAGTTATCTGCGCTCTGGTCAAGTTATTTTTCATAAAACGCTTTTGACTGTGAAGTTTTAATATGAGAAGCATCTTTTATGCAGTAGAAAACACAAATTTTAGTAAAGCTTTCACTTTTCTGCGAAGTACTTCAATTGACAGATATTTAATCATAATAATTTTCAAATTTCAAAAGTTTCCATGAAACCTCTTAAAAATTCTGATATGTAGACCCAGAAATAGACCAACAGTTTGTTTTTTTGTTGTTGTTTTTTTTAGGTATTATTTCTTCTAATTTCTGCAGTCAGTGTGGTTTTATTCTTCCATATCATCTCTGTATTGTTTTTTATTTTACACTTCAAACTGTGATGGTTAAGGTAAGAAAAAAATAGTTGACAGATGAAGCAAAATATACAATAATCCAGGCATAATAGGTGATGTTTTCCCCCCACAGTTTCAGCATATTTTTTTTTTCCTCTACAAGTCCAAAACACACCTGGCTGTGCTGGATGAATCATCAGAGGTCCATTCAAGGCTCCATGTTTTCTAAAAATAGATCTTTAAAATTCCTTTTATTGAAGCATTTTTTAGTGTTTGTATATTAAGAGTCCAAACTCCTGTCCAGTTCTGGGACTAAAGGTACTGCATTGGTATTATACTGAGTGAAATGTTGGACTCTTATTATTGCATTTGGTGGATTTCTGATATTTTCAATCCTATTTTGGACCTGGTTGATTCTCATCCTGATAGCAGGTCTACTGTTTTTTTTTAACTGGAAGGAAAACAAAGTCTCTCCTGTACAAGGATTTACTTGACACCTTTATTGTGATGGTATGTCATCCAGACAGACTTAAATCAGACAACATTTGATTTACCATAAATGATAAGTATAGTATATATTGCTGCTTTATTTCAAGTTGACAGGTTTTCACTGGCATCTACACTTTTCAGAATTCCATGATTCTGTTCAGGATGACAGCTCTTTAGATGCTCATTTTAAGCTCAGAGTGTTTAAAGTGTTGTTTTACTCCTCCTTGCCTCAGCTGTGCTTCATAAGCATTAAATATAGCAGTGCTGTCTGTTTCCAACACTTGAAGATAATTCCATACAGATGATGTGTTGCAGCTGGGGATGCAATGATTGGAGATTTTGATGGGACTTTTATAGCCTGAGAAATAATTACAGTGTCACTATAATCAGAATGCATTCGCCAATTCCATGACATTACTGATGTTCAAAATCACATGATAGCGATTATGGTGTTTTATTTATGGCTACTTTTGAAACAGAAATAACACTTTCATAAAACAATACATGTAATACAGTATTACCTTTTACATTGACTTCATGCTGCCACACATCACTGGTTGAGCATGATCCTTATACTGTAGTTATGATCCAGGTTTGATCCCTTTCCCATTCATCACTCTCTTCCCATTTCCTGCTCCCTCCAATGCCCTGTCCTCTCAAAATAAATCCAAAAACTCTGAAAATAAATCTTTAATATTTCCTTGTTGAATTCACCAACAATCCTCTGTATACAGACATTAATGGACCGAAATAAGTATATGCGGCATCTTATCCTTGTATACCACAAAATAATATCACAGAGTATTTAAAACAATTACAAATACTTCTTAAAATGGTTACTGACCTTTATAAAATTACTAGTCTGATGACTGAAACCCTTTTATCAGCCCTGTAGTTGTCTGTGAACTGACATTTTGAGTCGAGCATAAAACAAATCTAGAAGAAAACTGTAAAGTTTTGTTGGGGGATAAAATGAGTATATTTGTTTTAGAGTAATCGTTTAAGAAAAAAATTATTTTAGCGACTTTTTTTTCCTTAATGATAGTGAATCTTGTGGCGTTCCTCAGGGCTCAATCATGGGCCCTCTGTTGTTTCTTTGTGTACATTTTTTGTTGTGTTTAGTGCATGGAATTAAAAAATAGACACAATTACCTATTCATTAAGTTCTATTTCTATGATGTTCTGCATACAACACATAATTGCTTTTAACTTTGAGTTTTGAACCTGCCTAAGTTTAGCCTGTTTTGGTTTATCTACGCACAAAAAGACTCAAGTAGATTTAAAAGCCAAGAACCATTTAAACTTTATTTTGGAGCCTTTTCAAGAGTTTGCAAACAACAGGAATACTGCTCCACCCCCTCCCACTGTTAATTAATGTGTTTTAATTCATCAGCATGTGGTAACACACATGCTGATGAATTAAGTTGTGAGATCACCAGATATGTGCAGTGCTTTGGGGAGGTTGAGTGTTTGTGCGGCCGTGATATCCCCAGTGATTCAGTGTGGATGATTGTAATGTCTGTTCACACAAGGTCAGGTAATTAAAAGCCGATCTGAGCTCTGCTGGATGACTCATCGCTCCACTGGGTGAGGAGTGGGAGGCTGCAGGGTGGGAAGGGGGGGTAATACAGCTGTTCAGTGAAGCTTGAGGAGTTACTGGTGAGGGGAAGTCTCCTCTGAGCTCTGAACAGACCAGCAAAGGATGCTGAAATTGATCTAAGGATGTGTTAATGTTCAAGCTAAACGAGTGTTATTCATAAATTGAGGATATTTCAGTATCTGTTGACATTTAAAAATTTGGCTTAAAGAGTAAGTTGATCATCTCAAAAGTACAGCAGAGGATCAGATCTTTAAAATGAGTAAGTCTACAAAGAAAGAGGTGAAGAAATCTCACAAGATTGGTAAATCAGCTCTTGATTTGTATCCTGATCCAGTTTGTATTTTTACAAAAATTTACAGCTGTGCTCGCTCTGCTACAGCTAGCCACACTCCCAAACCAATTTGCAGACTCTGTGATCCTACCCAAGTAAAAGTACACGTCTAAAGAAAATTTGCTTTATTTGGAAAGATGAGACCAACTTTATGACCAGGATTATAGCCTGTATATGCTTCACACATGTAAAGTGCTTAAAAAGGGCTTTCTGACGTCAAAGCAAAAGGCTAAAACTTCCCAAATACTGTATACTTACATCAAGAACAACCCAAACACAAATAAGACAGTAGCACTTCAACTGTTTATCTTTCTGGTATTTTGTGTGTCATGTGTGCACCTTAGAGCTGACCTGTTTGCGTTTGTGATTATTGTCGTAAACCTGCTAACACAGGCTCTGTCTGTGTGTTAAGCTGTAGGTTATCACCCTTACTTTAGCTAGTTTGTACTTGAGCTGTCAACTTTTAACCTCCTTACTTTGATGAAAGTTTGTTTATCAGATTTGCACATTGCAGATGACCTTTTCAACGTGTTTTTGCACTCTTTAAATTTTCAGTATTTTCCAGTTTGTATTGGAAATGCAGCAAGTTCTCACATATATTAACATTATGTTTTCCTTTTGCTGCATCAGATACTTCCACAAACTTCAGTGCGGATCATAAATCAAAGATATTCATTTTTAGAGCTGTAGCTCTGTATATGCCATTTGGTGAACAGTATACTATTGATGTTATATGGAAAAGATTCACTCCAAAAATGCAGCAGAATTATTTAATTTCCAAATATACTATAAGCCTATTATAACAGATTAGTTCCACATAAAAAATGAATGGAAAATCTACTCACGCTAAACTAAAGCTTGGCTATAATGGTTGGAAACAGCCACTGAAATGTTACTATATGAGAAAAATGTCTTTATGTTTACCTGGAATCACCATGATTTTTTGTTTTTACTCTGTCTCACCTTTTGTTTCATGTCTGTGGCTCTATAAGACGTGTAACAATTATAATTTTGCGACCCTGATAAAAGTGTTTTGTTCTTCTCTACTGCATTTCAGCAGATGTCATTTCCATGGCTGACTCCACCATCACCGTCGAAGACATTGAGGGAGAGCTCAGCAAAATCGAGCGGATACGAGACATCCTGGTACGCAGGGAGTCCGAGCTCAGATACATGTAAGAACAGCTGATTCTCTTCATTATTTACAGCTCAAATGTCAGACCTGACTCTCATGAACTCAAGTAATTCCTGGGAAAAAAAGCTGAATAAGTGGAAGAAACTGTTTAGCCTACCCATTCTATTAACTAAAGCATTTTTGTTTAATTTTGGTGTTGATGGTCTCCAAACTAAACGGCAGATTTCATTTGAAGTGAAGTATTTTTACACTGTGTCATCAAAACTGAAAGATTTGGGTTCTTTTACGTATGATCACAGGCCTAAAAGATGACACAAATCTGATCGATGTCGATCACTTTTTTCAGCACGGCAGTCGTTACTCACTGAGCACTTTTTGGTCTGAAAGAGGTCTAATGGACGTCTAAATGTAGCCTAGACCAGTGGTTCTCAAGTCCAGTCCTTGAGTCCCTCTGTCCTGCATGTTTTGGATGTTTCCCTGCTCCAACACACCTGATTCAAATGATCAGCTCGTTATCAAGCTCTGTAATGGCTTAATAACGAGCTAATCATTTGAATCAGGTGTGTTGGAGCAGGGAAACATCCAAAACATGCAGGACTGTGGGCCTCGAGGACTGGACTTGAGAACCACTGGCCTGGACGACTGGTCTAAAATCAGGCTACCACAGGTCTAAAGATGACAGTTTTTTAGACGTCTAAATTTAGACCAAGTTTAGACTAGCCGGCTAACAGAGCTGTATCTATACTACACTGTATATTACTCAACAGCTATCACAATTATTTTGGTTAAGTACTTGGAGATCAGTTATGCAAATTCCAGTTGCTCTTTGAAATAAATAGTTATTGAATAATGAGTTAAAATGCAATGTCTGAATTCTGTCTAAAAATATACAAAATCTAGACGGTTAAAATTAGGTCTAAAAAAACTAGACATCTAATAGCTATCTATTGCTCAGCTGGTAGCTTGTTCGTGCTCATGATCGCTCCATCTTCTCTCTGGTTGTGCTCACACACAAATACAAACACCTGCCTCCTCCTGCTCCTCTCCCTGCTCTCCTCTCTCCACCTGTGGCTGCCCACACTCTGCTCATCATATATTCTCAAGGTAAATGATATAATGGGGGCAACACAGCAGGTGGCACAATATTGTTTGGTCTCCATTATCATATTTTATGACCTTGGGGAGCTATAATTGTAATCAAATCAGCTAGCTCTGGTGAGTATTGCATCATTGTGAGTTGGATAAAGTGAGGGAACATATTTACAGCAACTTAATACTCTCTACTCCTTTAATTGAGCAAAGCGGACAGAAAGCATGTGCCAGCCTCTGTTAATGCGTGCACACGGCTGCTGTATCGGGATCTAAATCCACTGAGATACTTTTAATAAGCCCTGTGGAAAAACTGATGATGAACCGTGACTGTCAGCCGTCATCACTGAGAGCAGCCGAGTGCATGATGGCAGGAAGAGTGTGGAGGAAAACAGCAGGACTGTTTTTAACTTGAACACACAAAAACGCATCTTTTCTTCAGACCTCAAGAAGATTCTTTTCTTCTCTCTGTCTCATCCTTCCTTTAATTATTCCTCTCTGTTCTCACCGAGTCTTTCCTCATTATTTTGACACATGAGGGTGGAGGAGTTGGAGCTCGCTCTGATAAAAAAAGAGACTCGCTCTGTGTGGTGTGGACAAATGATGAAACAAAGACACATGAAGGCAACTTTGTCCGAAGTTCAGAGTGACCAACAAAGTCAGTCCGTCTGACAGTCAGTCTGAAAGAAATTGAATTTGAAATCATTACTTAAAAGATATATTACATAAAAGTGCTGCTTTGAGTTTGGATAGTTTTATTAGTTTGAAGGATTTTAAATCCAGGATTATGGATCCTTTGAATAGTGAGTGGGCATGTTTTACTGCTGAAGGCTGATCATTTATTGATATTTTGGTAACTTGTTATTGGCTGTTGTTTGTCTTGTTCCTCATGTGGAACTTTTTATGCTGCTGTCTTAGCCTGGACTCCCTGTGGAGAGAGAGGTTTTGTATCTGAAGAGGAATATTACAGGTTTAATCATTTTTTTGTGGTCGGTTTTCAAACTCTTGCTTCAGGCAGTCAGTGCTATTTCAATATTTCGGCTGAATGCAACATTGAGAAGAAAACTCATGCAAACTGCTTTGAAAGGAACCTCCTTCTGTCCAAATTTCAACTACAAACACAACTGAAACAAACAAGAGTAATGCATCTCAGTAAACTACAAGTGCAGAGTGTGCTTTGGTCTTTTTTCTTTGTGCCATCTTATGATGCAGAAGTCCACGCAGAGACACACACAAACCCTGATATTTAAAAATAATCAGTGAAATGAGATCTGATACTGTCAGCTGTGATTCATAAACAGGAGGTTGTGTTACTTCAGCTAATAAACACACAGACATCACTCTTATCTGAGCCCACACTCTGATTTCAGTCTTTCTTCTTCAGTTATCATAATTTCACTCTGATGTGTGAATGTAAACTCAGGGAGAGGAAATCACTCTGCTGCTGCTGTGTGAAAATATCCATCATTTCAAGACAACAAACTGTTATTTTGATGAGTTATTTTTAACATCAGTTGGTTTTGATGTCTAGTTTGGGTTTTTATACCAACACCGACTGATTTCCTGCAAAATGTGTTTTCATGCTGTTCATCTCTCAGGATGGATGATATCCAGCTGTGCAAGGAAATCACAAGACTGAAGACGGAGCTGCAGAAGCTGGTCTCAATTCCTGGTAAATTAAAAAGCTGTCACTGTCTAACTGTCTCACATTTATTCAATTTCATATAACTTGCAGACATTTAGCTCAGTGATATCTTCACTTTATGCAACATCCTTTTGTTGTGCGACTGAACAGACAAGAAAAAGACCAAAGAAGACCGGGACAAAGAGGAGGAGCTGCTGCAGCAGATCAACAAGCTGGTGGAGACCAGAGACTTCCTGGTGGATGATGTGGAGTTCGAAAGGCTGAGGTGAGGGGACGGAGAGAAGACCGGATAGGACTGAGTGGTGTTTCTTATGAGAGGGATGAGCAGATATGACAGTGTTATCTCTTTGAATTGGAGCTATGAGGTGTCACTGGAACAAAGATTTATTGAAGCAATATCACACAGGAAAGGAGAGTTGCTGGGGGCACTGGTTAAGCTCATGTCAAAGCCTGTGCCCTAAACAGAGGCAGTAACCCACATTGTCATCTCCCCACTCTAGGGTGACCACACGTCCTCTTTTACCCGGACATGTCCTCTTTTTTGGCGGCTGTCCGGGCTTGTCTGGCTTTGTTTGGGGAAGTTTATAAAATACTTCAAATGTCTGTGGTTTTGTACGAGAGTTTCGAGTTTGTGTCACATGGACATACTGAGTTAGAAGCACGTAAAAGACACTCGATCGTACCTGAGAAACTCTCAAAATTAACGTGGTGCGAGTTCGTGACTCCGCCCCCGTGTAGTCGTGTCCTCTTTTTAGGAAGTCAGAATATGCTCACCCTACCCTACTCTGTCTTACCCACATCCTGCCTCTCTTTACCCAAACTCAATATTTCCATAAAGATACACTGTTGTTTCAGATTAAGACTGGCAGCATGATCTTGCTCAAGTTGTCTGTGATCCATCTTACCACACAGGTTTTGAATCTGTCTTTTTTTCTCAGGTTAAAGCTCTTCATGATGGGAATTCAGGCAAATGCAAAAAGGGTGCTTGGCAAAGTAACTTTCTCTGCTTAAAAATTCACACACATTCATGACCAATTCTACTACTGAGCCACGGCTGCCTTGATTTTGTCATCAGGATACATTAACACTCATAAATAACCACCTGAGGTCCAGTTCAAACTCCTATCTTTTCCACATAAAGCTTTGCCTCCCTGTAGTCTGTTTCTCCACAGAATAATAACTGCAAGTGTACCATCACATGAGAGGCTGTTTTCATTTCTGTCTTAAATATGCAGAGAAGATTTATTGAGAATAGATCTGTGTTTACATGCAGCAGTGAATTCACAACATCTCTCTCCTTTGGATTTATCAGCCAAGCCCAGAGCTTTCTTATAATTCAACAACACAAAGCAAAATATGCAAAATCTGGGCTCCAACACTTTACTGTATGAAACCAAAGAAATGTTCTCCTTCACAGAGAAAGAGAGGAAGACAGAGAAATGGCCGCCTTCTTGGAGTCCAAATTTCCCAGGAAACTACCTTCAAAATGTGAGTCTGCATGAAAGTGTTGAGTGTAAGCTTATAATAAAAATCTCCAACGCTGATGAATTTCCTGTGTGAAATAATACAAATGATCAATAACTGAGTTCCCTTTTTTTAATCAGGTGCTTCAGTAGATCAATCAGTGTCCCTCAAATCCGTGCAGACATCAGCGCCATTAATCACAAAAACTGGATTCACACTAATGAAAGACTGCTGTGGCTATGCCTGCTCCATCATGTAACACAGTTACTGTTAATGAGAGGTGGTTTACCTGCCTCTACCTGAGTGTTTGCGTATGAGTGTGAGTGAATATTGTACGCCTGCTTAATTTAGAGGGATTATTAATCCCATTGGGCCCATTCAAACCATGTACTACATGCCTTAAGATGGTAAAAGTGTTTGGCTGAAGTGAAAACTGTGTTTACATGTCTTTCAGCAGAGAGCTGAATGGCTTACAGATGTACTTCAAGTTTCTGTCAAATAAAGGTAATTATTAGATACCTAAATGGCTGCTAGTAATCCATTTGTGTAATCATATGTGACAACATGTTTTTTCCACTTGCTGTGATGTGGCAGAGTATTCAACAACAACAGTGACACTATGGACAACCTCACCACATTCGTCATGTCAAATCAATCCACAGAGAGGAGTCCAGCAGCTCTCACCTTTGCCTGTTACACAAAAACGTGAGTTATAATCTCACTTTGGATTTTAGAGTGGAGTAATAATGACAGCCAACACGCACAGAAGTGAAAAGCAACCTGAGGAATGACTGGACCCAACTATCCCTAATAGGGGAAAAGTGAAACAACTACCAGTCCTGCAACCTGTGCAATGGCAGGGCTGGCCAGAGCATCTCTGAGCTGCCTGTCACTACAGAGGAACTTAAACCAAAAGAAACAGGAATATTCACAACATAAATGAGGTCACATGTGTACATAAACCAGTTTAGAGAAATAAAGTCATTTTTAAATCAATATCTAGTGTAAATTTGTCTCAGGTAGATAGATAATCGAGATGATGTGTATTAAGCAGGTTGTTATGCATGTTCAATTCTAATCTGCATAAAAATCTGCTCACCAAACATTATTTCATATTTATCACCAAGCTTTCTACATTACCACCTGGCTGGGTAAAATATTTGATTCTGATTGGTCACACCCCTTAAGACAGTTATTTTTCAAATGGTAAATGAAATGCTTGAAACAACTCGCAAACATGAATCAAGTTGGATCTAGTATATTTTTCAGAATTTCACTTGTTCATACATTTTTGTATAATTGTCAAGCACAAACCTTTAAAAAAGAAAAGAGAAACAGCGGGATGTTAAAACCATGGACTATATAACACAAGTAATATGGGTGTGTATTTGGCTTCCATGGCTTTTAGAATCAGCCTCTAGTGGACTCTCAAGAACACTGTAGTTTTTTTGCATTTCCAGAGGTTAACGGCTGAATTTGTCCCAGTTTACTAACACTACAATCCCTTTCAGCTTGTTACCACCAGGCTGTCTCTCAGTTGACCTGTATGTCACGTACAAAAACAGTCAACAAATGTGTCAGCTAAGGGCTAATGGGCTGTATGTCAACTTCACTGCTCTGTACCCTCTGTACATATGATACGACAGCTTTGTTTTTCTTGCTCTGTCAAGGTTTTGTTTACTGCCCAGCTTCCTATCAAGACATTTATGCTTGTCGACTTCAGGGTCAGAGCCTAGCATACAAAATATAGAAACCGACACTAACAGAAAAGCTACAGGAGGAAAAAAAACTATGCAGGTTCTGCTATTATTTTCTACATCTATTAATAATACCAACAGGAAAACATCAATATTAAGAGTTAATCAAGTGAAACGCTTTTAAAATCTCAGGAATTGATCTCACATAATCACCTGTTCACTATACATTATCTCCTGCAATAACAAACAAATGTAGTTACATATGACCCAATACAGATAGCATGCTGCTGCATGTAAGCACCATGACAACAGGGAGGTATTTGTGTATGCATATGTGTGTTCAGTGATTTTGTTGTTCGCTGCTGTTAAAACAGACTTTCAGTCCAGTAGCTCGAAGCCCGGCTGTCTCCACCTCACACTTACACACTCACAATAAAACACGGTGCAGCCTTAGATGAGTCATACAGATTCAGACTTAAAGATGGCAGCAGGAAGACCACTTTGCTGAGGATTGTATGTCAATAATACTCTGTTTCTGCAGGAATCATGAAGCCAAACAGGAGCTTTAGTGGACAAATACTGAATGTTTTCTTTCTTCGTTTTACATTTTGGTTTTATTAGGAGAGTATACATTTTCATTCAGCAGAGCACAGTGTCACCTGAAGTCTCTCCTTTAAGTCTTTTTTCCTGCTGTAATATGTTGTGTGTATGTGTGGGATCTGCTCTCATGGCAGCTGATAAAGTCTGTCACAGCTGGCTGCAGATTAACGGACCTGTGCACAGGCGAGAAACACTCTGCTCTGTGTTTAATTTGTCGGCTGTGAAGACTAATCAAACTGTTCTACACTCTGTGAATACAGACCAGATCCCGCCAACCCACTCTAATTGGATGTTAGTTAAAAAGCTGCTTGTTCTTGTGTGCAGCGTTGGCTGAGACGTGTCACAGTCCCTGGAAAGGTGATATCATGCTCTGCCAATTAAAGACTTTATGTTTCTTTCTTCCGCTTTAAAGCTTTGACTCCTTACAAAGTGTTAACTTCCCAGGCTCAGGCTCAGGAGAAAATCAATTTATGGCTCTGCTCATGGGTGAAGGCTGTATAGGCTTTCAGCAAATCCCTGAAAGATGCTGTAAATACCTTTAAAGAAGACCGTTTCAAAGCAAGGCAACATTTATGTTCGTCTATGTCTATAGATATGCTCAGTTAATATTCAAAAGTAAGTATAGCACTAAGATTATCAACACTGGTCACATTATGCTGCAAAGTAAGAGATAATGTATAGTGAACAGGTTTATTTAAGTGGATTAAAACCAATACAATACAAAAGCTTAAATTGATGCCCAAAGGGAAATTCATTAATTAGACTGTACATAAGAGTGTATAGAGTGGACGTCACCCGCCTCCTTACTGTGTGAAGCCTCTGCCAGAACAGCACCCCCTGGTGACTGGTTGCAGTATAAGTCATAAACCCCGCCTCCTCCAGCAAAATGAATGAAGCTGTGGACAAACTTTAAAAACTAAATACAAGTCATATTAACTTTTCTTACATGATGTTGACGTTTAGCTCATGTGCTGTTTTGTGTTGGCTCATGGGACTTTTTGCATTTACCATTCACTTTAGGGAGTATTATAATAGCTATTAGCTGTCAGAAGCTTTTTCAATCACTTGTCCTTGTCTCAAGTTTTGACTTTGGACAAGCTTTTGGTTCCTTTAAGAAACTCATAAAGAAGATATTCTGTACATTCCTATTCTGTGTTGATTTTTGAATAAAAAAGATATAACTGTGATCATTCATCGATGGTGGTTATAATCATAGATGAATTTGTGTGTGAGCTCACATACACCCTGACCACCCCAGCATCTGTTAGTGATCAAGCCAGGGGCACCCTGGTCAAAATAGTCCGGATACATCCCTGCTTTTTGAAACGTTTTTTCAAGATGAGCGTGTAGTATTTCAAATAAAAACACTGGATGAAAAGAAGAGAAGAACAAAAATCTATGCCTTGTCCGCTCAAAACTTGCATCTCCTTCAAATTGATAGAGTTTATAATGTAGGACAAAATAGTGGTCATATTTTATCAATTATTTCCAACTGATCATGCTGAATAGAATTAAACTATTTAGACAAAACCGGAGTGTATTTTGAATTAATATTTTTTACGAAGCAAAGCAAACAGGTAACTCTTGTTATAACTGCAGACACCAGCCTTCAAAAAAAATCTAATAATCTAGAGAATTATTAAAATAATTTAACCCCAGACCAAGCAAAACCTGGGTCATACATTGAGCACAGACAGTAAACCAAATAATAAACTATGTGAAGAAAACAGGTCTTTAAGGAAAACTTCAACTCTTGATCAACACATCTTGTCTTGTTCCAAAGGTCGCCATCTATGATTAAAAGCTGTCTTTATTTTTATGTGCTCCATGTCCACCCACATAACACACATACGGTTCCTTTTTAATGAGCAGCTCTGTCTCATGTCTGCTGGTGTAAACAGAGGAGCAGATCCTGCATCAGCAGTGACAGTGAAAAGTCGATCCTCTGTTTCTCACTGAGCTGTGAGTCACTGAGTCTGAGTCACACATTATGGCTTTTTATAACAATTCTGTATGTCACAAAGAGCAGTATTTCAGAGACAAAACTGACTGACATCTCCGGGAAACAGCAGAATTATCTTTGTGTTATGTGTGAATGATCTGAACGGGGTTGTCATTACTGTGTGACAAAGATGTACGAAGGTATACAGAGGTCTTTGAGCGCAGACAGGAGTTTGTCTGTGATTGTGTAGGAGACATGCTTCTCCTCCAAAAATATACACATGAGTAATAAATTAATTACAAATGGGTAACTGTCGTGGATTTAATTGACAAAAATTTGTTTGTATGTTCATATTGACCATTTCACTACTGAGTGACGGTGTCGTAGAGGATAAAGGCCCTTTCTTTCTTTCTTTCTTTTAGGGTCAATTCATTGTTATTTTTCAGATTTTAACTCAAAATTCAGACTTTGTCACAGAATTCGGTGATGAAGGTGAGACTATGAGATTATTTTAGAATTCTGACTTTTTAAAGGGTCCACTATTTCTTTTTTCTGAAAGTTTGACTCTTTCCTCAAAATTATAACTTATTTCAAAACAGTTGTGTTTTAAAAAAATTCAATATTTATCTAAAATTTAGACTTCGTTGTTGATGTCTGAGGTCCAAATCAGGATTCTGATTCTTAGACTTTGGGGTAAAAGATTACTTTACAAAATAAGGTAAAAAGTTCAATTTCTGAGTTCAATATCAAAATTCTGGGGTTAAAAAGGTCAGAGTTCAAAGAAAAAAATACCCAAAGGGAAATTCAAAAAGTCAGTTATTTGACACAAAGAGTACATTTTAAGCTACACTTTTTATTTCTCTATGTGGTATCCTATGAGTGCAATGCGGCAAACTGGTATTACAAACATGACATCCTACTCTCTGTGCTTGTACATCGCTTATTTCTTAAATACTCTGCTTTTTGTAAATAGCTTTACATATGAAGTGTTCTGATTCTGAACCTGATGATCATGTGAGATCTGAAATCAAACAGTGCCCCCTTGTGGTAGAAAAGTACACTATGTCAGAATAAAGACATTCCTGACAGTTGAGGTTACTAATGTATTTTAAGGCGTTCTTTATTTTTCAGACAATAGCTTTATTTATTTATTTTTTTTATGAGCAATGTTTTTCTTTACCTGCAGCATGAGCACCATCTGCGGGAGCCTGCAGGATCGCCATCTATGGACCAAGAGTCTTGACAGATGCTTTAACATCTTTTAATCTCCAAAGTAGCAGTTTAATCATTTTCAGTAATGATGGTTTGCTGTGTGATAAATAACAGGATGTTGCAAAATGCAAGAATGAGACAACCTTTGATTGTAAAAACTCTACAAAACAGTCTCCTATACTCCCAAACAATGACAGACTGTCGCTAAAAGGGGAGGTGGTGCAATCATCCAATCATACAGATAATCTTGTCTCAACTTATTTGAAACTATTGCTAGAATCATATTTAAAACAAGCAAATAGTAAAGATTCAAGATTTGTTTATTTGTCTTGTGCATGTTAAACAAGGTCAACAGTGCAGTGAAATGCCCTGAATGAGAGGAAATGCCCTGAATGGGAGGACCGCTCGACTAAAAGGGGTACAGATAAAACACACAATAATACTGAAGGAATGCAATGAAATAAGGATACAAAAATAAATGAATATATTTGTATATATAAATACATATATATATATATATATATACATATACACACAATTATATTTATATGTATATATTAAAGACAAAAGTATAAGAGAAATATTTACAAGTGAAAAAGGAGATATTTACAAAGTGAACAAGCGATGCAGTAGGTGTTGAGTGTGAATGTATGAAATGGAGGATAAGTCGGTGGGATAAATGAGGTATGAAAATTGCTGTATTGCACATGATTTATAATGTTGTACAAATCCTATAGTGCACGTGGTATTGCACATCACAGATGATATTGCACAGTTAAGTGGGTTGTTGCACAGAGTATTGTCTGGTGGTTCTATTTCCATAAATATATAAAAAAAAGTTTCTTTGCAGTATTTTTGATCAAATGTTGGTTTTAAGTGAGTTGCAAACCATCATATTCTGTTTAAAAAAATATTTTTAACTATGTGCTAATTATATTTAATTAGGTCTTTATTCTGGTTAAAATCTGGCCTATACCAGAATATAACATCAGTAACATAACATCATGTATAATACTGCAAAATTAGTGGTCAAACCTGAATATAAACAGAATAATAAACACATAACCAGAAATCAGCCTTACATCTTTTAACTTCACAGTGGGCTTATTGTTGGGATTTTTCCAGATGAATCGATATAAATCAATAACTCACTACCCTGGACTGTTTTCCTTTTAGCGCAGAGACACAGAGTACCAGAGTGTGGAGCACTTTCATAGCGCACCAACATCATTGCATCGACCTCGCTCATCATTGCAGGCTTCTTTCCCTTTAACGCATGACGCAGCAGCTCAACTGGTGCCCCACTTTGTGTGAGGAGCAGCAGCGGCAGCGGCAGTGAGTGTGCGGGAGCCTGCGGGATCTGTTGTTGCGTACGGCTCGGCTCGGGGACGTCGGTGCTTCTCTGGGCCCTCACCTGTCCTCGACATGGAGTTTTTACTGGGGAACCCGTTCAGCACGACGGTGGGACAGCGAATCGGTGAGCCAAAAAGCAGGATTAGACATTTGGTTGTGAAAAACAAACGCTCCAGTCAGGCTCAGACACCCTTACCGGAGACGTCTCGCCTCCGACACGCGCATTTCTCGCGAGCTTTATCTCCTTTTAGGACCTAAAGGGGTTATTAGTGCACGCGCCAACGACCATGCATTGGTATTATTGTAAAGTAATAAATTTGAGTGAAATTAACGAGTGATAGAGCTACAGGGTTGTGGTTTGACTGACGTGCACGCCATACAATGACCTGGCAGGGGCGGGACTTATTCTCCAAGATGTGCAATCTGATTGGTTGTCAGTGTGTCTGTTTATCCTGCCATTAGCTGGGAGGGACGATCAGTGACCGACATCCTCCTGACCTAAATTAGATTCAGCCTAATGACTGCTCATGTGTTAGAATTGACTGATGGAAAATATGCAGGATTCATTCAAACAAAAGGAGACACAGATTCAACAACAGCAAATAAAAAACCTTATTCATCATTCAGCTGTACGTTCAAATCAAATAGACAGCACACTTTCACATCCTCACCCATGTCTGTGGATTTCATATCACTTCTTAATTCTTTAAAATTATTTAAAATTAAAGGAGAAATTGATTTTTTCATAACAAAAGTTCCAAGTATACATGCTGTCCTTTTGACTGAATGTACACATTGTTCTTTGAAATGTTGAGCAATGTCATTCTAACAGTACCTTTTTGGTCATTAAAAAGCTTAATGATCTATTTTCTTATGAAAATATAACATGTCAACAAAGAGCAAAAGAGAAGAAGCTATGAATATAAGACTTACCTGCAACTTCGATTTCCCCCCCTAAAATCTCACACTGTAAACCAATTAATTGTCTAAACTTGCCAGAGCTATTTGTCTCTTAAGTTGTAATGCTATAGCTTTTTGTATTTTTCTGTCATTTTCTGTGTGTGAGACAGTGTGTTTTTTCCTTGTAAAAGACAAATATTGAATTTAGAGTCTTAATGCACAGCAAAAGCACAAAGTTATCAGCAGAATTTGCGTAAATAAAAATTTCAAGAGCCCCAAGATACATCCCTGTGGAATACCTCATGAAAACCACAGACATGATTTGTGAACTCAAGCTGCTTTTCACAATCAGTACACTATAGGTTTGCTTTAGCAACTACCTAATGCCATGTTTAGGAAGAAATTATTATTAATGATTACTATTATTGCATGATATATTGTTGAATGAAGAAATATTTTTGACTGGTCAACTGTAAAATGAATTGCAGATTAAACAGACTATGTCACCTAAAATGCATATTTTTAACTTGTAAGACCAACTACAATCTTGAACGTCACTGAAGAGGGCCCTAGATTTGATCCCTGAGGAACACCACAAAACAAAATACAACCTTAATTTTATGTGGACAAAAATAGCAGTGTAATTATCAACCAGTTTGTTTATAAGGACATGTACATGGTGTCCATGGTTAAAAAAAAAAGTCAGATTTGATTTGTAAGACTAGAGAGTAGTTTTTTCTTTCTTTCACTACATTAAAAGTGGACTTACAGTAGGCTCAGAGAAGTCACATGCATTTCTCGATCAGGTTTATAATTGTTATTTTTGCTGAGTGATACAGATGTATATGTTGATATTGTGGTGAATTGGGTTCTTGGATAATTATTTTTAAGGTATTTCAACCTGATTTCCACTACAGTTATGTCTGATTCTTTGATGCAATGCCACAGCCACCCAGAACCAGTTAATGGCCTTGTCCTTTTATACAGAGTTTCCTGATACTCTGTAAATGATGAGATCAACAATTTCATGTAAAAAAAATCTTAACTCTGAGAGACTCAGCTGCTCGGTAAAAGTCCATTTCATGTAACTAACCGATTGCAAATCTGTCATACCAAAAATAACTTGTTTGTGGTTTAGAGACATGATCAAAGTATTTTTTGATAACTTGAGTATTTTCTCAACTTCTTTAAGGTAAACTATAGGGTGTTAGAATCATGACAACTCCTAAGTCAGGTCTATATGATCTATTTTTGTCAGCGGTTTCTTCGAGTAAGTACTTAGTGGTGTATTTCTGTCATTTTTCACAGAGAAAGCAACCGGTTCCAGCCTGCCATCAGAGGACTGGGCCCTAAACATGGAAATCTGTGATATGATCAACAGCTCAGAGGAAGGGTGTGTGTGCATATCCATATGTGTGTGTGTGTGTTATCTGTCTGCCTGCATCAAGAACAAACTCGTTCTCTGGAGATTTCAGGCTTCTGATGGTTGAAAACTCTCTGGTTTCAGGCCCAGAGATGCAGTCAGAGCTATAAAGAAAAGGATTGTGGGAAACAAGAACTTCAAGGAGGTTATGTTGGCGCTCACGGTGAGTGTTTTTCTCCTCACCTCCCCGTACACCTCTTAACCTACTTTATCTTTCTTTACAGGACTGTCAAGTTGATGGCTTTGTTTCAAGTAATGGATAGATTAGTAAAATAAACCAGCATCAAACATTTTTAACCACAATCTTCACTTACCCTTATAAAACATATAGTAACAAAACATTTGTAAAACATATTTACAGATCCTACAAAAAGATGCAGAACATGATTCTGATCCTACATAAAATTGCAGGATCTGCTGGGATTTAAGTATGAAAAGTTTTTATGATTTAATTTGTGGTACAAGTGTATTTCAAGAGCAAAATCTTATCACTTCTCAGGCTTTGGATTATGCATGAAAAACAATGTGAAGAGCAAAAGCAGGAGGAACACAATTTACTCTAAGGACATCTTGTCTCCCACTGATGGTGGTGGTCCAGCAAGGATTTATTTACCTCTTCATACAGATGTTTGCATGAAAGTGAAGCTAACAGACTGTTCTTGATCAAACATTTACACTTGTGAGACAAATGAGCTTGACGCTGGGTTATTTAAGTTTATTAGCATTTACATTTCCTGACTACATTGAATGCATCAGAAATGATGGGTTTGGCCAAATACAAGAAATGTTTAATCATAAAGTAGATGGTGTTTTCCTTTAAATCTCAAGTTAAGGTTTTGAGATGGCTCCATAAAACATACCGCTTACAAAGGAAGTCAGATGAGGAGCTATATGCAGGTAGAGAGGAGGAGAAAAGACAAAGGAAGACTTATGGGTAGCAAGGTGAACAGAGCCTTATTGAGATAAGAATAGCTTTTGGTTTGTGCCAGGTTGGTGCCTCCTGTGGCCAAAGCAGTCTTTGCTTATCTTGTCCTTTATGAATTTGTGTACAAACTTTTGACAATAAATTATACCTGGCTGACTTTTGACTGTCAGATGTATCCCTGGTTGTGAATAATATGAGTGTAAATTTTGAAAATAGCGTCTGCTCCTTAAGCTGTTTGGCTGACACCTACCCCTGTGAACAAGTTTCAGCAATTATAATTCAGGATATGGAAGTTGTCGGTCTTGTTGCTGATGGTCTTGTTTGATTTGGGGTGTTATGAAAAGGCATCAGCATGGATTTCAGTCTTTTATATAGGTCCAAAAATTGCTCATAGGAGCTTTAAATCCAGTTTCTCTGACTTTTGCAAGTTTCCAAACTCCTCTCTCTTAGCTCAGGAATCTTCCCCCAGCTTTAAAAATCTCCAAATTTACTTTAAAAAACAATCTAGATCCTTAAGACACAAAAAAAAACTACAAGCCTTTTTCTAATCTATTCTCTCCAGGCCATTTTGGGGGGATTTTGTTTTCTGTCTTCTTTTCATTGTCCATTTGATCAAGAATAACACTAAAGAAAAATGTTAATCAGGCCTTGAAAAAACACAGAGCTGAGACTTGTTGAAGCATTAGAATGATATGTAGATAAAAATCGGTGGCAGTACTTATTCTTTCAGGTCTTCGTGCAGGACTACGTTTCATCCTGGTTCAGGTCTTATCATTTTAATAGACAGTTTTTGGTCAGAGACACATGACTTCAATTATGGGATTCCTCGGCAGGTATTCTTGGGCCTGCTTTACTCCTCTTGTAAATTCTACCCAGACTCATTTTCGCTTATCATCATGTCAGTTACCATTTCTATGATGACGATGCCCAAATGTTCATTTCTGTCAGGCCACATGACCAAATTACCCTGCAAATCCTCTCTGCTGGCCTGTCAAGACATCACTGTTTGATTAAGCAAAAAGTTTTTCTAGGTGAATGAAGACAAAACCATGGCTAGAGCTGAACTTTAAACCCCCCTGGGTGGTTTTAGCAAATGATTAGCAAATCAAATCAAATATCATAAACCTGGGAGTGATTTTAGATCCAGATTTATATCTAAACCTCATTTTTAACAGCATTGTTTCAAGTATGGGTCTGATATAAAGCAATGAATCACTTAGATTATTCGTACTTTCCTTTTAAATGCTCTAGGTTTTGTCTGTTTTTTGAGTCTTTTGCTGATTCTCTTGATTTTAGGTTCTTGAAACCTGTGTGAAAAACTGCGGCTACAGGTTTCACATCCTGGTTACGACTCGGGATTTTGTAGAAGGAGTTCTGGTGCGGTCGATCATCCCGAGAAACAACCCTCCATTAATCCTGCACGACAGAGTACTCAGCATCATACAGGTAAGAAATGCTGCAATACACGTTTGGCAACACTGTGGCAAAAGGAATCAGGGTGTTGCTTTGTTAAAATTCTTGTTGCTAAGGCTTTAGTCTGTTAATAATTTGTGGTTTTCTCTCATTAAGGCGTGGGCTGATGCATTCCGTAGCTCACCCGACCTGACAGGTGTGGTGTCAGTTTATGAAGATTTAAGGCGGAAAGGACTAGAGTTCCCTATGACAGAACTTGATGGTTATTCACCCGTCCAAGGGCCCCAAAAGGTACAAGCACACCTGCTGTGATCACTGCTGTTGTTTGGGTACTACCTTTTCTCCTTGGTCACGTTTTTCGGGTCTTTTCTTCACATTTGCTCACCAGACTTTGCCTGGGAATGGGTCTGCTGTCACTACTCTTCCTGCTAATCTCCTATCCTCCAAACCTCCAATCATCCCACCACACACTTCTGAGCTAAAACTGGCCCTAGAGGGATCCAATGCCTTTACTCCCAGCCAGGTGATAATGAATGCTCAAGTCCTGAAACTGCTGCACGATCCTGTTTATATCCTTTCTTCCTCCATGTTTGCTAAAGTGCTGTTTTTAGAACCTTATTTTAGATTCCAAATCAATGTTTGCTTTGCCAAGGAGCCATTATGTCTGTGTTGATTCAGACTACGTTATTGACATTACAGGTCAAAAAGCTCAAAGCAGAGCTGGGAGTGGTTCGAAGCAACCTGACGATGATGTCAGAGATGATGAGTCAGCTGGATCCTGTCACGGTAAAACAAGCTGACATGGAGCTGCTGGAGGTAAAAACCAAAAACACACTCAGGAAATGTCGATTCAAAAGTAAAATCCTTCCCGTTCGTTTACACTCAGTAACAGGGTGTTACCCTTAACTGATCTAGCATTGCATACATTTGTGCTGCATCTGTCCCCTCAACTCCCCCCACCCACACATTCTTTGTTTGGTTGTGTCATTAGCAGTTATACACAGTTTGTAAAGATATGCAAGAAAGGATAGTGAAGATTGTACCCAGACTCAGTGAAGAGAAGCTAATTGAAGAGCTGCTGGCAACGAACGATGAGATGAACACCACCTTCACTCGCTACCACAGGTTGACCACAGTCATTATTATAATACAAGCACATTTAGAAAAGAAGAGCAGCGCTTTTCTTCCATTTGGTGCTGATATTATTTTGTTCTCATGTTGACAGGTTTGAAAAAAGACTAACAAATGGTCAAAATACAACACAGAAGGTAAAGAACATAGGAATACATTTCCTTTTTGTAATTTTCCTTGAAGTTTTACAGTCATATTTATGCATCTTGGATATTAAATGTACTGTTTTTTATCCTTCAGAGCCACACATACGTCAACCTATCAGACCTGGATTTGACTGCAGAGTCTGGAGTCGCATCAATGTCCAATGAGAGCTCACTCAGCCACTCAAAATCAGACAGTTTGTCGAGTCAGATGGCAAGACTTAGTAAGTAGTCCAGTCTTTCTAAACTATTAAAAAAGCAACAATGCACTTACCTCTTTTCATTTTGTACGCTGTAACTTCTTTTTCTTTTTCTTGCAGGTACAAGTGAATCAGATGAAACAATATCACCGAAAATAAACATCCCACCTCAACAAACACAAAGGTACAGAAAGAAAAAAATTGCGTGACCTTAGAGGTAAAGAAACAGAAGCAGCAGTAACCATTTTAAGAGATTCCCATCAAATACTGGCTAAATTAAGCCTCTTCAAAAGCAAACAGAACATCAAGACAATTTTCTTGAAATAATGAACAAAATCTTTCACAGTGAGGATAAAAAAGACCTAAAATTTGAATGAGTAAATGCAAAGCTGATAAACTGATAAAATAGTTGGCTAACTGTTGTAAGAAAAAAAATAGCTAAAGCAGTTAGCAAGGCTATTATAAAACCAAGTCTTAAACAGAAAAAGGTAAATGTAAAATAAACAGAGTAATTAGATAGGAATAGACCTCAGTACAAGTATGTAAATCATGAAAAAGAATAGCTTTTTTGAAATTAGTAGTGGTAAATATTATAACTTGATTTATATTTGATAATGTCAATAACACTCATTCCATATGTAGGAGCAGTAACAAAACAATGTGAGCGATGACGTCTTTTTTCTGCACACATTTTCAGGGATAACTCATGTAGTTGTTGTTCATGGTTTTGGAGTATAGCTCTGAATCCCTTAAAATATATGTCTGTATTTCACAGTGTGTCAACACAATATATTTTCCCTAAATAGCAGTTAAACATGTGAATCTGTTGTTTCAGTGAGCAGAATGAAGTGCTGGTGGATGGCCCGGCTCTGGCTCCCAACAGCAGACTACAAAATCCTGGAAAGGTAGACCTAAAGATTTTACCTTCACACAGTTTAACAGTATGAATAAATGAATAATAAGATTTATCTTTCAGCCAAGAGAAACACAAATAAAGTGTGTATATTAGTCATTTGGTTAAAGGAATCCCATTACAGTTGCAGTTAAAACGCGGTGGATGGAACGAGCAGATGGTGAACGACATCTGTGATTGAAATTGCAGGGCTTTTCTCTATGTTGGCTAGAATGCTGTTTTATTAATCAATATATGGATGTATATGTTGGTTAGTGCTGAGTTACACACAATGTATGAATTACATACAATATCTTGTATGGGGTGTAGAGTCAGGGGCGAGTTACTACTATTGGTGCTTGTGAGTTAATTATTGCAGTTTGTTTTCATATTTCTTTTGTCTCAGTAACTATTTTCCTCCTTATTCAAATCTCTGTCTGTGCATGAAGGATGGCAGCCCAGCCTCCACCTGCAGCTCCTCACCAAAGTTAGATTGGATGATTAAAAGGGGAATGGTGGGTGTGTGTCCAGAATCTGGTTTTAAGTGGTTTCACCTCTCCACTCCCTGTGTATCTTGGTTTTTTTATTCATAGAGGTGCAGTTTGATTTTGCTGTTTTCACTTGTTGTATTTTTTGGTCTAGGTCTTGAACACAATGGTCTGCATGTTTGTATAGGTGGCGAAAAATGAGATCTTTTTGAGTTTTTGTCCATCCCCATTCAAAGCATGACAATGTTTGGGTTGCACTGTCCTGTTACACCACATAGTTTTCTCACCGGTCTTGCTTTGATTTGCAACATGTGGTCCTTCTTTTGGTTTTTGTTTTTTATCTTCTTTTGTGTAGTGGTTTGGTAGCTTTGTGACATCTTCATGCAAGTCATTATATTCTTTAAATGTCATTATGCTCACTGCCCTGGTTTCCTGTTTTCTCCTTTAGATTCCTATCAACCAGTCCAATGTTATGGATGATATTGAGAAATGGCTTGCACTGGATGATGAGGTAAATGGCTGGATAACTTTGCTTTTTAGCATTTAAACTAAGATTAAGCCCGACAACTAATTTTTCAACTGGTTCATACGTTAAAAATTTGTTTGAAACTCGGCCCGTACCAAAAAATGTCAAAATTCTGAAAAATCGTTGTGTGTTTGACAGGACGTACTGTGTAAACACTTGTTTTGTTGCCACAAGTCAACAAGTTTGTCCTCCATTTTAACGCCCTGCCTATCTTTATGCTTGGCGATAAAATTGTTGCCATTTGGCATTAAGGAAAGATAATCATAACACCCCCCACACACTGGAGAACACTGTCAAGATAACCATAGGAACCATCTGTGAACCAGCTGACTAGCAGAAGAAGGGATTCAGATCCAAAATCCAGGACCAGTTATCTTATAATGTGTCCCCTGCATTAAGATCTATAATCTGTTCATTACTTTGGTCCAAATTGACCCATTAAAACCTCCTTAACTGCCATGTAATTCGTTTCACAAGTAGGTTCCCTATGAGATAGATTGTCGTCACCATGGAGACTCTTAAACTGGTGTTGTGGCGCCACCATCAGGACTGATTTTTAATTGATCTCGTACAGTAGTTAAACATCTGCTTTATGTGTAGTTTGATTATTGTTGGCAAATGTTAGTTTGATAAATGAAGAATGAGGACTTAACAGACTCCAGATAGGGAGATAAGGTCTGCATGATGTGAGAAAAACTTGTGATGTGTGATAATATTGTTTCTCCTGATTTATAGCACAACGCAAAACACATAATTTAAGAGAGTATGAGATACAACTCAGTGTCCTTATTTCTTTTAGCTTTACACAATACATGTATGTGTTGCCTGTATGTTTGTGTATATGTGCTGTATATGTATGTGCTAAATTTTTCTTTTATGTTCATGACAGTATGATGACTTTGAAGACTCAGATGGTGTAACCAGTGAAGGTGAGAATCTGTACATTCTGCTCTTTCTGTTTTGTTCTGTTCCCTGTTTTCAATAAATGTTCTCGGCATCAGACATCTTTTAACATGCTTTTTATTTGTCGTGTTGTAGTTATCACATTTTGCCATACTTACATACCAAAAAAAAAAATCAACTAATTACAAAGTGGTGGCTGTGATACCCTGCTTGCTTTTATAAATCATTGTGGCTGCTATGTTCATGGGTTATGACTTTAAAATCTTTGAAAATATATGTGTCATTGTGTGATTTATCGTGTGACTGTAGCAGGTTTCTCATTTAAATCTGATGCAAAAACACAAAAATGAAAAGCTTTAACTTTTGTACCATTGTGAACATCCTTCCAACTCCACTTTAAACTCCTATCTGTCAATTGTTGTCACTGTTTTTTCTCTCTACCTCTGTAATCACTCAGCAGATGTATATTTTTTTCATATTTGAGCACAGTTTTTCTCTTTATTTTACAGAATTTGACAGATTCTTGGCAGAAAGAGCAAAAGCTGCAGAGCGTCTGCCGTCCCTGAGCGCTGCCTCGCAGGATAACAACCACTCCGAGTCTTAAGCTGTGCTTCAAACCTTCCATACTAACAACACTCATGAGGCATCGTCTCTTTTAAATGAATGGTTCAATGGCACATCTGACGTGGGATTTACCACCCAGGTCTGAGGGAGGATGTGTTAGTTGGGTTTACTGTTCTTTACTGGGGGAAAAGTGTTTTTCAACTGTTAAAAATAATGTTACTTGATCAAGCAGAGATTTTTTTTTTAGCTTACATTGTTATGAGGGTTTGTCCATGTGTTGAATGCAAACATTTGCACATTTTATAAGGTTACATTCCTGCTGTTGTAAGAGAGGATATTGTTACAAAAACATTTTTTTGCTAAATAGATGATGTATTATATTCCTGTAATATATGTATTGTTAAATATGTGAATGAAAAGCCCCTGTGGAAGTAGCACACACTGAAAACTTGTACGTAACAGAAGCTGAGTACATGATGAAATACTTTGATGCATTATTGTTGATGCACAGTCAGCTGATGAGATTTTTTGTACATTCAACTTCTCTTCTGAGGATGTCTTACTTGAATTTAAACAGGGGGATGATGACATATTGCTGTCATAAATGAAATTAAAGCTATAATCTGGAAGTTTGGCTGTTATTCTAATTTCAAACTGTGCATTAAGATTTCTTAATGTGTAATCAAATAAATGGCTTTGGAAGTAAATAAGTGTTTAAATTCTTTTAAACTCCTGTCCTTTTATGAGATCTGAGTTACTCCTGGTCAGGTCACATCCATTGCCTGCATGTTATGCTACCTCTTAAAAATTAGTGCCTGTGCAGGGCCCCTACAGCTTTAAGAATATCCCTGTTGTGTGAATTATCATTTCCTTGAAGTGATAATCACCATATTAATCATTTTGCACTGTGGACGCAGTAGTTCTTCTGCCTTAATGTCTTGATCTGATTGCATTTCCATAAAGAAATGATCATAAATATTCTTCCTTAAGCTGCGTCACCCTGCTGCAGTCAGTGGACTCGCCCGGAGGTCTCTGTACAAACAAGCGGCTGCTGGAAGAGAGTAGGCGAGTTGTGTTTAGTCTCTTTGCTAAAGAAATTAGGCAAAGTTAAAAAGATGTTTGGTGGCTAGTGCTATGACTGTGACCCTATATGTACTGTTGATGAAATTAGGTGCTGTTCTGAGCATTATTTGTGGCTACAGAGTGGCGTTTTGGTTGAGCCCATGGCTCTCTGTATTGCTATTGTGCGGTCATTACTGAAGTTGGTATAACTAGAGAAGCAAGCAGTCGGCAACATTCATCTCTCGACGAGGTGTCCAACTAGGTGTTACGGTGTGTTTGACATTAACTTAATTTTACGCAGGAATATCCCTTTAATAATGCGTAACTAACACAACAGGGATATACTTAAAGCTGTGGGGGCCCTGCACAGGCACTCATCCATACATCTTATTGACTTCATTTGTTCATTTGTTAAAAATATAACCAGTGATGACTTCTTGTAAAGGAAAACAGTTTTGAAAAAATATATCAATATATGCACCTTTTGGGCTTCAATAAACAGTCACCAAATTAGTTTTCATTATCTTCTTTCATAAGATCAGTATTTGAAAAATATTACCAACAAATGTCCAAGGGGGTGAACAGTGTTTATTTGTGTATGTGTATGTATGAAAGAGGGAAAATGGCGGTCAAACACTAAAAATATTGCTGAAGCAATCAAACAATATTTTTTGAAGTTACGTCAGTTACTTGGAAGTTATAAAGTTTGAAAGAAGACTGAAATATCATTGAACGATGTCAAAGTTTAGTTCAGGCAACATGTTGCTCCCTCAGTGAATATGGACACGAATGTGAATACACTCTGAATTCTTATTGGACAAAACTGGCCACCTGGCAAGCTCTCTCATCTTTGATTGGTCCATCGCACATACGCCTACCCATGTTACATGACGTGGCCACGCCTCTCCTTTTGGGCTTTACGTTGTGCGCTCGTGCACGTTTGACACTTGAAACACACACTGCTGAACCAACATGTCTCTTGGAAAAGCTGCCCGGAGTTTAGTGAAGCCGCTCCGAGGGGTCCTGCGGCCCTCAACCCCGGCTCTGAACCGGAGCTACGCCGCCGTCGCTGAAGCCAGAGCGGTGCTGGAGGGCGAGCTCGACGGTATCCGAGCGGCGGGGACGTGGAAGGCTGAGAGGATAATCACGTCGAAGCAGGGACCTCAGATCAACGTGGACGGCAGCCAGAGCAGTGAGTGGCTGAAATCAACAGCGTTTACAATAACAGTCGAGATAATGACAGCTGGGGGTCCGTGAATGCACCATGACGATGAACTTCTACATATGGAAAGATTGTTTAGGATTTTCTTTGACGCTATGCTGCAAAGTTATCTTGTTATGACTCCACTACTGTTTGCTCAAGTCACCTAAGGTTACCAGAGGACGAGGGCTGACTGGCTTGATTGAATCCTGTCCAAAACACAGTTTATCATTTAATAATCTGACTCAAAAAGGCCTAGTATTATTGTGATCTTGGTTTATTTCTTTTAAGATGTCTACAGTTGTTTTAGTAAGAAGCCCTAATGTCCCTTTTTCTTATTATGTGTGGTTATCCTTTGGGAACAATTAATTATCTTGTCAGAAATTATCAAGTCAGTAGTTCGAAAAAGAACCAACATTTGAGTTAACGATCATTCATGTAGGTTTCATAATAAAGGGGAAAAAGGAAGTATGTTATTCAGACCTGTAGTAGAGTCAGAAGTGTTTGCTTATGGGTCAATGTAAAAAAAAATATACTATCTATGTCTAGTATCTCTCTAATATATGGAGCCACTTCAACTTTTCAAAAATCAGGAGTTTTTTTTTGTCATTTTTATGAACTTCAAAGGGTCAAAATATCATGTGGTGCGACCGTCCAGCCATGACTTCTGTTTTGAAAACTTCTTTGAAATGACTCTAAATCTATTACAATGTAGTTTCTGCAATATTCGGCATAATTTTGAAAATGTTTTTTATTCCTGTACAAAATTGCAAAGCTTTTGCAGTTATATTTTTTTCATAATATTCAAACGAATTTTGTCCGATCGTGTCCATTTAATTAAATATCACGTGGTGCGACCATCAAAAAATGACAATTTTTGACACTGCTGACATATGCTGAAATCTACTCAAGGACAGGATGTTGCATTATTCACTTTTTTGTCATAGAGCTATGGAAGCAGAAAGAGGGTTGGTGGCTCTCTCATTTCTTTAGAAAAAGAAATGACCTTTTCAACTGCTGTAATGGTGTTGCCACTTTTCGATGTCATGTGGTATGACCTCAAAAAAAACCAATATGTACAATAGATATGAAATATGAAATAGAAAAGAAATATGTACAAATAAAATCTTCCAGTAAACCAGCTAACCACTTGGACAGATGTTTTTAGATTAATTTTTATTTGCGCCCACCTACTCTTTTCCCCACTGCTGTTGTATCTGAAATAATGAGGTCAATGATGGAGGTGATCACACACGCTGCATGACAACATATTAGGGGGCCATATATTTATGAACGTACAAATATAATTTACACAATCGATAATTTTTGTTGCCAGCAGTCCCTCCGGCTTTCAGCGGCTGCAGCTGTCCTGCTCCTCACTGATATAATGTTGCGGTACTCTAGCCTTCTCCATTGTGGAGATTGGTCCAGTGGCACTGACCCCACCCCCTTTGGGTGTGCATGCACACATCTAGACTGGCCACAACTGAATTAAGTTAGCTAGTTGATATCCTGCCTTGTAGTACAGCTGATCGGGGTTACGGAGATCTGGTGAAGTTGAGCAAGTTGTGGCAGAGTTATCCTGGGTGTGTTAATCCAGCTTCAAAGTGCAGGCCTCTGGACCACATACACAAACACACACAGAGTTAAATTTTTGTAAAAAAGGGAAATAAAATGTTTGTGTTCATGTTTGAAATGTTAATAAAATTTGGTTTTAATATAAAATTTGTATGAAATTAATTATTCATAGGTCTCTTTAAATTGATTTTTAATGATACAAGGTCTTCAGGTCATTTGGCGCGACCACCAATCATGTGGTGCGACCAATAATAACATTAATTATATCAAATACAAACTAAAATATCTCATTTCTGTAACTGAGACATTAATACCTGTTACAATATGCTTACATTAAAGCTATTTACAAAAACTCAAATAAAATGCAAAAGCTTTGTTCCTATGTTCTTGATATTACCGACAATTTGTTAAAAACTATAGAGTATGTTGAAAATATGTAATAATTTTGAGATAAATGATGGTTGCACCACATGACATTTTTTAAGGCTACGGGCAATTCATCTATATGAAAAAACACTAAAATTGCCTCATTTAAAAATTAAACTTTAATTTTTGTATACATAACATCCTTAGTGTTTGAACTGTTGCAAAAGATATTCTTATTTTTGGTATTTTAAAATTGGCATGTTGAAAAACCTTATATGTCATTGACCCTTATCTTTCACCCGTTTGCTGTCCTGCAAAGAGCCAGTGTTTACTCTGCAGGATGAACTTTTGCCAAAAATCGACTCCACTGATTTATGAATGGTCCTTTGACTTCAGGCCGTGACCTCTCATTTGTGAAAGTGACTTTGTTTTGATTCAACTGAATAGAAACCACAAAATCCCATGCATTGTTTTCCTTGTATTCTTTGCTTAGTTGTCTTTTTTCATTTGCACCTTCTGCAGAAAAGACGACATATTTGAAATGGAAAGAGCAGTGCAATAGCTTCACACATTGACCTTTTTTTTTTTTTTTTGAGGTGTCATGTTCTCTATCTGCCTGTGTGCCCCTTTCAGGCATATTGAATTTCTGCGCCAACAACTACCTTGGACTGTCCAGTCATCCTGAGGTGGTGCAGGCAGGGATTGATGCTCTTAAAACTTACGGTGCTGGACTGAGCTCTGTTCGATTTATCTGTGGCACACAGGTACAGTGGTGTATAATCAAAACATTCACATGTATAACAACACATGCATGGCTGTGAATTAGGATTCACTCTGTTTTTGCAGGATCTACACAAGAATCTGGAGCGGAAGTTAGCAGAGTTTCATGAGAGGGAGGACTGCATCCTTTATGCAAGCTGTTTTGATGCCAATGCTGGACTGTTTGAGGTTCGTCACCCTCCATATCTTAATCTGGCTGTAATAAGAAGAGGCAGGACTCCTCTGTTGTGATTAATTAAGTATCGTATTGCTGTGAATATCAGGTGCTGATGGGCCCAGATGATGCTGTGCTGTCTGATGAGCTGAACCACGCCTCCATCATCGATGGGATCCGTCTGTGTCGAGCAAAGAGGCTGCGTTACAAACATATGGACCTGGGTGATCTGGAGAACAAGCTCAAAGAGTCTCAGGTGTGTGTGTGGGTGGAACTCTTCCTACACTATAGTAACACTGAAGGAGAAGCTTTACATGAAAACATACAGAATTTTATGTAGCAGATATTGTGATACAGAATTTCTATTCTGCTGAAGCAATTGGCTGATTTTACATTATTTCACTTTTTACAATGCTAGATCTAATGATGGGGCCAGGTGAGTGATGGCTCCACTGATCACATGACTCTTGTTCTTTCCTCCTCAGTCTTCTCGTATGCGCCTCGTAGTGACAGATGGCGTCTTCTCTATGGACGGGGACGTGGCTCCACTAACAGGAATCTGTGACCTGGCTGAGCGGTATGGAGCCATGGTGTTTATTGATGAATGTCACGCCACCGGGTTCCTGGGGCCCCGAGGCAGGTGAGTGAGACTGTGATTGACTTAAAAAGTCCAAAGTGTGTTCTGTTATTGAATAGCACTCTACGGATATGCTTTTAGTTTATTAGGCTCTCTTTGTGTTTAAAGTATTACAAATAAATTATTTCCTTACCAGCGCCGTATTTTGAGTTGTTGAGTAATTTAGAAACATCAGCGATCATGTCTTTTGTTGGCATCACCAGTAGATGTCACCAAAGTAGAAGCTCTTTAATATGAGAGTTCTCATGTTACTGTCTGAAGTGATGCAATAACTCTCTGTTATTGGCAGAGGAACAGACGAGCTGCTGGGAGTGATGGACCGAGTTCACATTGTTAACTCCACCCTGGGGAAAGCTCTGGGAGGAGCAGCGGGTACGTCTCCATCGACAGTTTTGATGCTGATCAATATCCGAGAAGAAACCTTTTCAGTAAACATGTGCTCAAGACAAGATTTACCGTAGTAAACATGTAAACTCTCAGTGCAGAAACTATGCTTTGCATCTGTACATTTCACTTGCCGGGTGCATCAGACTTTGCTCAGTTTGAATGTGGTCCTGATCTTGAATGGGATTTACACTGCTATGCTAAACCACCTCTGGATGTATCTTCATTCAGTAATTACCACTGAACAAAAGCAAGAGCAGTATCCAACTTATTGACTAACTATGCCCCAAAATGAGCAAGTACACAACCTAAAAAAAAAGTAATGAATATTCTTAGATGTGCCATTATGATATTAAAAGTTAGATATTATTTATCAATCCCAAATCCCATTTTGTTTGTCTAATTTTTGTCTTTCAGGTGGTTACACAGTCGGCCCAAAGCCGCTCATTGACCTGCTGAGGCAGCGCTCTAGACCCTACCTGTTCTCAAACTCCCTGCCCCCTCCTGTGGTGGGCTGTGCCACCAAGGCTGTGGAGCTCCTGCTCGCTTCCAGCGAGATCGCTGAGAGCATGACGGCCAAAACGATGAGGTGAATTTCTTTATATTGACAGAGATTTTCTCAAGAGCAATATGACCTCCTGGTTTTCTCTGAACAGCTTTTTTAAAATTTTTCCTCTGGCTGCTGAATTAGGCTCAGTACGGAGGTCAGTAATGTATTTTAATGCCCTTTTATTAATTATGTTTTTTTCATTAACAAAAGGAAACCGTTTTAGCCAAATAATAGATAATAGATTGCAAACAGGTGGTAATGCAAATTAGAATCCTGACAGGATGAGCAGGACCCTTACACTAAGGAGTGCGGTCTTGCCTTGATCAGGTTTTGCTGTTAAGAATGAACCACCGTTGTCATATTTTCACCAATCAGGTACAAGTATTTAACACAGCTTGGTAAAGAGTAAAAATGTGGACAAATAATAGATATTTAACAGCAAACATAGAGGATATAAAAAGGTTGAAACAGCCTTGTCTAGGTGTTGGTTATCAAATGAGCTCTTATTAATTATTCTGAATGTGCAGGTGGAACTGATGCTTTTCCCATCTTACTTACTAACCTTGCTCAGTGACGCCCACATGCAAGCCTCAAGCCATATATTTGCACTGATAAAGATGTGTGCCTGATTGTAAAAACAGTAAATACAGAGCTTATTTTTGGAGATGATCCTGTTTATCTTCTCTAAACCCTCCACAGTTTTATGTGGGTTGTATATTCATGCTTACTCTGCTTCTCTATGTATTTGTGACAGTTTTTTTTTTGTCTCCACTGTTCACTCAGGTTCAGGAACAAGATGACACAGGCCGGCTTCACCATCGCAGGCTCTGCTCACCCGATCTGTCCTGTGATGCTCGGAGACGCACGGCTGGCCTCTGTGATGGCCGACGATATGCTTAAACTGGGTGAGCCACATCAGAAAAATCAGCTATAAGAGGAAGATTACGCTGAATAACAAACATAAAACACTTGGACAGAAAAAATGCTATGTAAATGAACCGTCTTTTCTGCAACAAAAAATGAATTTCTCACACTATAATACATCTTTTCCCTCCTCAGGAGTGTATGTGATCGGATTCTCCTATCCAGTCGTCCCTAAGGGCAAAGCCAGGATCCGCGTTCAGATCTCAGCTGCCCACACAGACAAAGATATCGACCACTGCGTTGATGCTTTCATACAGACCGGCAAAAAGCACGGGGTCATCTCCTGAAAACGACACGGAGAGAAGATTATGAAATTTGCTGCAACCAGTATGAAATACTGAACAGTGGACGCTTGCTCTTGCAGATCACAAAGCCTGTAACTCAAGACCCATGAGTGCTTTGGATGGAATTGTTAGTTACATATGTAGGTCAAGGGAGGTAATGTTATTTTTTGTGTTTTGAATAAAGCTCATTTGCTAACATGTGATGGTGTACATACTTGAAGAAAAAAGGCTCTTAGAATTTTGGATGAGGGATACATGTGGAGCTAATAGTGTTGCAAAAGCAACAAGACCTAACAGAAGTGATGGGAGTGTGATACTGAAGCTCCTAAGCTTGTATTGCTTGAATAAATCACACAGATTCACTCTTAAGTATCAGAGCTAGTGTCAAAGATGGAACATTAGGTGATGTCTGAAGCTTCAAACTTCACCAGCACTTCAAAAAGTCGTCAGTCAGTTTGACCAATTCTGACTTACATGCAGAGGTGGGAATTATGGAGTCAGCAAGTCATCTCTATGCCATGTATTTGTTCTGCTCAGTTACTGAACCAGGTGCCTTCACTAATGAGCTCACCTTCCTGGCTGCTCATTGGAAGCAGCTGGTTCAGTGACAGAGCAGAACAAATACATGGCAAGGAGATGACTTGCTGACTCCACAATTCCGACCTCTGCTTACATGACTCACATTTAAACAGTGTAACAAAAAGATGGAAAGAAAGTAGGCTACTTATGTTAACTTTTATTATCAGTTTGATACCTTCACAGTTCGCTCGAGCTTTACTTAAGCCTACTTTACTCTCACTGCTTTACTTAAATCTGCTTCAGTTAAAGTTACTGCATTTTGTCATTAGTAAAAACTCCACAGGCCTTGTATTCCTGCCTGTATTTTGGCTCAACCTGTCAATGTTTTTGTATGCAATTTACAACTCCAATATCAGATACCAGCTTGTATTTGATTATCTGCTCTTTGGAGTAATGATAAAGGTGTACCTCTATGAAGAAGCTGAGACACTTTTCTCATTTTATGTGATTAATTTCTTTGTCTACTAGCATGTATTAGCTGTATGCAGTTTATTTGGTAAAATAAAAAAGTATTATGAAGGTATAATCAAGTGGTTAGTGATTTAAAGTAGGATAGGATCAATTTTATGGTGGGTTTTCTAAGCTTTGTTATTATATATTTGCACTTCACAATCATTTTTAACGATAGACACCCTGAAAAGCAGCGCCAAACCTAATTTTACTACATATAATAAGTATTTGTTGATATCAACTCAAGTTTGCTCTTAAAACGGTAATAATGACAGTAGGTCTTTGTTGCCGGCAAAGTTGATGTCTCCTCCTCCTACTTGTGTCTTTTTCGCGCCACTAGAACTGGTCCCCTCCCTATTTTCAAAGACTCGCCTCCGAATTCCTGCCCAGACCAATAGCAACGAGCGGTGACAGATTTCAGCCAATCACAGGACAGAAAGGAGGCGGTGCCAGAAACGAGTCGCGGGAAACAAACGGGAAGTCGTTCAGTTTTTCCCGCGAAAGAGGACAACGCAGAAGTTTCCTCTGTCTGTCCACGTACACCGGGTTTCTCGTGGATTTAACAAACCTGACTACCTTTTAAAAAACACTCATCCTACAGTAGTTTGGTTTGTTAACGATCCGATTCAGTATGTCTGGCTTTGACAACCCGGGAGTTTTCTTCAGTGACAGTTTTGGAGGAGAGGGACATGGCGTGGATGAAGGTGTACAAAAGAGGAGCCACATCAAGAAACGGTTCCGTGAGTTCCTTCGGCAGTTCAGAGTGGGGACCGACCGCACCGGATTCACATATAAATACAGGTATTTGAGTCATAAATGCTATTTATAGTATTCAGTAGTACTTAAAACATGCAAAATACAGCATTAAACACAACGCAGATGATGTTTCTCTATAGACAATGGAGTGTGCAGCAAAAACAATGCAAGAGCCCCCCAGTGAAAACTAAAATTTAAAGCTTAATAGGCGCATTATCTCAAGTGTATTAAGTTTTTCAATCATGTGGTTTGGCTGTTTTATGTTTATGCCTTTAGAGAAACCAAACCTCGAAAATCTACACTGACGAAACTCTGAAAACTCTAAGATCGATATTTGAATTATTTTCATCAAAGTTTCATCAAACGAATAATCTTTTTCCTGAAACATCAATCCAACGAAGTTTAAGTTTGCTTGTTAAAAGGAGCACATACGATCAAGCATGCGTCTGGAAGCGGTGGGGTTGCATTATGGGAAATGTAGTATCCATTCTCAAAAGTCTGTCTATAATGTCCAAAAAGAATCTCAAATACAGGACAGTTTTCTACCTCACTTTAGTCCATCTTTGGGGCCCAGATAATTTCCTAGCATTACTGGATCATGTTTATGTGCTGTATGGTTTCTCCTCTGCTTGGCACAGTTGAACCTTCCTCCTGTGTTAGGGTCTGCACCCACCCGTTGTTGATTTTAAATGCTTAAAAGAACCACCACAATAGGGTTTTTGCATTAAGACTTTTAGACTTAGTCAGGAAACTCTATTTCGACAAAATAAAAATAAAAACATAAACAAAATTATAAAATTCTCTATAATATGGCGACAAACTGCCATCACAGACAGCGGGTTTTTAGAAAGTGAATCTGTGATACTGTGGTAAATTTCTCTACAGAGTCATGTCTGTTTTTAATGTGAGTCACATTCACGGGGAACAGTTTCCAGAAGATCCAATTGTTATTAGAATATCAATTCTAAGCCCTCTCTACTGGAACACTCTGATATTTAGAAACACTAACAAAAATTTTTCGTCTCTTTCTTTCAAATCAGAGATGAGCTGAAGAGACACTACACCCTCGGGGAGTTCTGGGTGGAGGTGGAGATGGAGGACTTGGCTAGTTTCGATGAGGATCTGTCTGATTGTCTCTACAAGCTGCCGACTGAGAACATCCCGCTGGTGAGTCGGTAACCTACTTCTTAATCTCTCTTTTTCCTCAAGTCAGCTCTCCTCTAACTGTTATGTCTGTTTTCCAGCTGGAAGAGGCTGCAAAGGAGGTGGCGGATGAAGTCACACGCCCCCGACCTGCAGGAGAGGAGACGGTCCAGGACATCCAGGTCATGTTGAAGAGTGATGCCCATCATGCCTCTATTCGTGGCCTCAAGGTATCTCTACTGCTCCTCATATCTCACACACGACATTCATGATCTTTTTTGTTTAATGAGCCTTTTGACCAGTTTCTTCCCCGCTGATCTTCCCCTGCAGTCAGAACAGGTCTCTCGTCTAGTGAAAGTGCAAGGCATCATCATCTCAGCCACCGCCGTGAGAGCGAAGGCCACCAAGGTGTGTCTGCAGTGCCGCGGGTGTCGCTCCGTCATCAATAACATCCCCCTGCCTCCAGGTCTGCAGGGTTACGCTCTGCCACGCAAGTGCAACAAGTGAGTGTGGCTGTCCACATCAAACAGAAGAGCAAATAACAAATAGAAATAAACTGCTCCATTAGAGAAGTCATAAGGTCATTTGTGCAGATTCAACTTCGTGATTTCCTCCAATTATCTGCACATTCAACCATCTTTTGTTCTCCTCGCATCATTATACATGCACTCACATTCATTTCAATATTACAAACATATTTTGTCCTTTTACTTAAGTGATGTCTCAAACACCTCTCAGCTCTGCCAAAAATATATATTTTTTTTTTGGTTTTAGTTTTTAAATCGAATAGAAAAATTTTTCACCTCTCAGGGAGGACGCTGGCAGAGTCAAGTGCCCCGTCGACCCCTACTTCATCATCCCAGACCGCTGTGTGTGTGTGGACTTCCAGACCCTCCGCCTGCAGGAGTCTCCTGATGCTGTTCCTCACGGAGAGATGCCCAGACACCTGCAGCTCTACTGCGACAGGTGAGGAGGTTTTATCCTGAGGGAACAAATCAAACCTGGGAGGCTGTTTTCTGCTGCTGTGCTCTCCCAGAAACATAAATGTTAATGTTTGTCTTGTTAAATCAAACTCCTTCCTCTTCCTCCCCCGTGTCCCTCACAGGTATCTGTGTGACCGCGTCGTCCCAGGAAACAGAGTCACCATAATGGGGATCTTCTCCATAAAGAAGACGGCTGCAAAGACTGGAGGCAAAGAGAAAAGTGCCGGTGTGGGAATCCGCTCGTCTTACCTACGAGTGGTCGGCATCCAGATGGACACAGAGGGGACAGGTAAAGATGGAAGGAGCACTTTTAGTCTCATGAAGCATTATATTTAGCAGGTAAAGAGAAAGCTAAAGGATTGAATATTTCTTGTCTTTCCAGGTCGTGGTACCACTGGATCTGTCACTCCCCAGGAAGAGGAGGAGCTCCGAGCTCTGGCTGCTACTGCAAACATTTACAATTCTCTGGCTAGCTCCGTGGCTCCCTCCATCTATGGCAGCGATGATCTGAAAAAGGCCATCACCTGTCTGCTGTTCGGAGGGTCGAGGAAGAGGTGAGGAAAAGGAGCTCCACATTTTCATCCTCTCAGACCTCGACACACACAAACACAGCTTGTCCCAGCTCTTCACATTGGCGCAAATTCGTGTTTTTTCTCATCACATTTTAGCCGTCGTTGCACTTGACTGTTTTAGTCTTGAGTTGGTGAAGTAAAGTGATCACATGTGAACTTTTTCTATCTTCAAACTCATTCAATGAAACAGTCAGAAATTAGTATGAGGGCTGTGTTGAATGCTTTCAGGAGCATGTCTGCTAAAGCTTTCAGTAAAATTTAAAGGGTGCTGTTAGTGTTTTTGCACCACAATTTCAAACAGCCTCCTACAGGTATTTACACTTGCTTGGTTAGAAGAGTTTTCCTATAGATGTTCTTAGCAGTGTTTCATGTTTGGTTTTAATCACTGAGTTTTTACAAAGAAAACCTAAAAACTACTGAAAGAAGATTTGTCATTTTTACTGACAGTGATGTACTTTAAGAAAATGAACACCGCACCTCCTCTGATGGCATTGAATTGTCAGTATATTAGAGCCTTGAGTAAGTTGTTCTCCTGTTTTGTGTCCTCTCAGGCTGCCGGACGGTCTCACTCGTAGAGGAGACATCAACCTGCTGATGCTGGGAGACCCGGGTACCGCCAAGTCTCAGCTGCTCAAGTTTGTGGAGAGATGCTCGCCTATCGGGGTATATGTCAACTCTCCTCCTGTAGCCAGGCAGCTTTAATACATCCTGCTATTGTACAGTCAAGTTAAATCTGACTTGATTTGTCTTTATCTGCTCTTATTAAGGTTTACACTTCTGGTAAAGGCAGCAGTGCAGCCGGTCTCACCGCCTCTGTTATGAGGGACCCGAGCACTCGTGGTTTCATCATGGAGGGAGGAGCCATGGTGCTGGCTGATGGAGGTGTCGTGTGTATTGATGAGTTTGACAAGGTAAGAAATATGTCTTGTTTAATCTGAGTGTAAAAAGTATTTATTTCTAGACTTAACATATGAAGACTCGGCTTTGGCATGGATTTAAAAGGGAGGGAAAAGAGAGACAAAGATGAGACTAGCGTGCGACGAGAGCAACAGAGCAGAATTCCTCCAGGCCTGAAGTTCACACGGCAGGTCTGATTGGAGTTAACGTTAGTGTTTCCTGTAGAGCTGTGTTTATGCCTTGAAGATGAAGGTTAATGCATTAGCGTCATTTCAGTTTTCATGGTTATTGTTTCTTTATGTAACAGCAGGTTAAACTTCAGTCTTTACACCTTTCATTTCATTCCAACTTTGCTTTTACAGAATATTTCATTGTGTACTTGTAGTGAATTCCAATCACTTAAATTATGAACTGATATCTTTCTCACTGAAACAATAATAATCTGGTCTAGGTTTTAATTGCTCTACAGAAGACTAGGAAATTACTCACCTCTAAACATCCCTGTGATCACTTGCTGCAGCTGTCGTTGAAAAACTGTTTTTTCTTATCATTAGATGAGAGAGGATGACAGAGTGGCCATTCACGAAGCCATGGAACAACAGACCATCTCCATCGCCAAGGTATGTCCCATAAGATTATTTATAAAAGACATTTTTTTTCTGGCTGTACTGCGTAGTAAACAGTTCAAACCCACGCTGTGACTCCTCCCAGGCCGGTATCACCACCACCCTGAACTCCCGCTGCTCCGTGCTCGCTGCTGCCAACTCTGTGTTCGGCCGCTGGGATGACACGAAAGGGGAGGACAACATCGACTTCATGCCCACCATCCTGTCCCGTTTCGACATGATCTTCATCATCAAAGACCAGCACGACCAGCAGAGAGACATGGTGAGGAGCAGGATGGTTAAGAGTTGAAGGTTCTGTTTTTAAATCCCTGAAAGTATGAAGTTGAATGATTTGAAAATCCTGTCTTTTTGCAGACGTTGGCTCGTCACGTGATGAACGTTCACCTGAGCGCTCAGACTCAGACCGAGGGCGTCGAGGGTGAGATCCCACTGGCGACCTTTAAGAAATACATCGCCTACGCCAGAGCGTGAGTATCTGACTTTGCATTACTGATAACATAAATTTTATTTACGTGCATGAATATTTGGCTGATTGTTGGTGTTTTCTTGCAGGAAATGTGGCCCTCGTCTGTCTGCTGCAGCCGCCGAGAAGCTGAAGAACAGATACGTGCTGATGAGGAGTGGAGCGAGAGAGCACGAAAGAGAGACGGACAAAAGACCCTCCATCCCCATCACTGTCAGGTATGTCTGTATACCACCTTTTGGCATCCTTATGTTCCCCCATGCATGTACATCTTTCCTCCTGCCTTGAGAAACTAAGCCTAATTTCTTCACGTTTCTGTCCCTGCAGGCAGCTGGAGGCCGTGGTGCGTATCGCAGAGTCTTTGGCGAAGATGAAGTTGCAGGCTGTGGCTGGAGAGGAAGAGGTAGACGAGGCTCTCCGACTCTTCCAGGTGTCCACACTCGACGCTGCTCTCTCTGGCAGCCTCTCAGGTTAGTGTGTGTTGAATGTGAAATACTTTTAATTAAAGCCATGATTAGATTCATGAGTGAATGATTTAAAGTTGGGCAGAAGGGTTGAACAAAGTGCTTAAAGAAGTAATAAACAACTAAAGTAGTTGTCTCAACTTAGCAGATGAACAACTAAAAATGCAAAATTGAAAATAATGGAGAAATGGCAAAAGTGGATGATTGGTTGAAGTTACTTGATGAAATTTATTTAAAAAATCATCAAACCGGCTGGCAAAGTCTTGAAATGGAGGTTTAAATCACTTATATACAGTAGAATAGCTGGCTAAATAGGTCACCTACCTCAGAGTAACAGACAACAGTGTAAAATGTCATAAAAATATTGATGGAGAGAATTTCTTTTATCTTTCTCAAAGACAAAAGGCAGATGTTTTAAATGGAGAGGGTAATATTGTTGAAAATGCTGATGACAGACTGCTCTCTGTCAATTCTTATGTTTAAAAAGTCTTGAATCTTGCCTTTGAATCCAACACATTGAAATTAATGACATTTGATTTTTTTTTTTTTACCAGGAGCGGAGGGCTTTACTTCTCAGGAGGACCAGGAAATGATCTCTCGTGTTGAGAAGCAGCTGAAGAGACGCTTTGCTATTGGTTCCCAGGTTTCAGAGCACAGCATCGTCCAGGACTTCACCAAACAGGTTAGTACGAGGAAAAAACCATACTTCAAAATCCAGAATAGAAGTATAAATAACACCATCTGCACTTGAGGGTTTCACAGAGGGGAACGGTAAATCTTCTTCCTTGGTAACAAATCCTTCTTTGTTCAGCAATGTGCAATTTCTGTGCAGCTGTGTAGTTTGCTAAGGCTTAATCTTTTTTCACCATGTGGAGTCTGCAGTGACTTGGGTAGTGAAGTACAGACCCATTGCTGAAGACCTACAGTCAGGCTATCCCCCCTCTGCTAGTCTAAATGAGACTTTCTGTGTCTTAAAGCAGCACTCTACAAGATTTTTTTACTTCATGGTAAACCCCAGATTTCTGGAAATCTAGTTATAGCCTAATGAGGGAGGAAAGATTCAGCTCACTTTCTGATTGGAAAAAGTATTACAAGTACATTTCACACACTTCAGTATATTAACTGTGTGGTATTACTTTACAGAAATATCCAGAACACGCCATCTACAAAGTCCTGCACTTGATGTTGAGGAGGGGCGAGCTGCAGCACCGCATGCAGAGAAAAGTCCTCTACAGAGTCAAATAGAGCAAATTCTGCTCTAAAACAAATCCATAACGATGTTAATGTAAATAGTTTTGATCTGCATGTTCAGTGTATTTGTTGATGGACCCATAAGAAAAGTTTCTGGTCTGTTATGGTGAAGATTTGATGTGTCTGTGGTTGTACATGAGTTTATGAAAGCTTGTCTGATTTCATGCATAGAAATGTAAACAATAAAACAATAAAATATTTGTGCCACTGTTACACAACTGTTCGTAGTTTCTGTGTGATGTGCCAACATAACTAAGATCACTAAAGACCAAAGTAGTTTGTACATTTGAAAAAGGTCATTGAGACTTTATTGTTTCAATTAAGAGTTTAATAAAGATTATACAAATGACAAAAGATTGACAGAACCATTCATTTTGAAAAAGAAGGAAGAAATTAGTCTCGACATGAGTGTCAAACGTGATTATTAAAGTGCTGTGTGTGCAGAAATGTTCAAAATGCCGGTATATTTAAGGCTTACAGAGAATAAACACCTATTCCAATCGTGGTCAGTGCAACGCATAATCCCACAGTGAACTGCATGATGGGTGAGGATGGGAATCTTGAAGTTTTGAAGTCATTGCCCTCTGATCGGTTCACTGTTTCTGCTGTGATACTCAACATTTTCTGCAAGTCATCAAAAACCTAGAGGAAAAGAAAAAAAATCAGCAAGATGGCAGGATCCTGTTTCTACATTACTTAGATTCACTTCCTCTTTTTTGCTCTCTACATTAATGTTGTGTTGAAGGAATGTTTCATTGCTATTATGACACATTGTTTCCCTTGATTATCAAGTAGGCTACATGTTGAAAGCACAAAGGTCATGATAATATTCACGTCAGGATTTATTAGTAACTGAAAAGCAGCTTTAGCTACTAGTTAGTGACAGCAAATATTAGCCTACACCCACCTCCTAGCTAATATTACAGTAAGCATAAGTGACAGGTAACTTTTGACATTGTTAAAGGTACAAATGGGTATTAGACTGTTGCTAACGGTCGTTTAAGCTTAAAAAATGTACTCTGTGTTTCAAAGGTAACATGAAACTTATCTCAGAATTACAAAGTAACATTTTTGTAAATCCAAATTTTCTGCTGTATTTCTCAACTCAAAGGTCATTCAGAAAAAAAACAAACGAATTTTTAAAATCTATAGTGAATGTAAAACACTTCCACAAAAAAATCTCAAAAAAATAAAAATAAAAAAAATCACGAATTTTGTTGCTTTGCATTGTGAGCAGGTATGTGGTCATTTGCTCACCTGAATGTTGAGCTCAAAGGCAGCAACAGCCTCCTCCAGCACTTCTGTCTTCTCCTCCTCTGTAAGCTCGATGCTGTTCATGCGACTCCTGTACAGCTGTTTGAAGCGGTGTGGGCTGGTCACACCGGGGAAGGAGAAAAATGAAAGCCCTTCTTTGTCACTCAACCCAAGGGACTTCTGGGTAATTTTCCCTAGAACCTGACCTCCTGAGAGATCCCCAAGGTAGCGGGTGTAGGCGTGGGCCACCAACAGCTCTGGGTGCTCTTTCCCAATCTGAAAAGAAGAACATGCTCAGCTACTTTCTATGAACTTTTATGTTTATGCAATAATGTACAACAAGCAGGTCGTTATTCTGTTACAACAATCCACCCGTTGTACATTATCAAAGATATAACAGCTTTTTCTTTGCTGCTCTTTCTGATCATGAGGCTGATGTTAAAGGTACTGGATTGCTTGCTATGGATTGATACAATGACATTAAGATAAGATAAGGTTCTATTAGTGCTACAACTTAAGCAGTGGTCTGTTGTTTATGGCAGCAGTCCGTTATACAGAAATAGCAGACCTAAGAATCCCCAAATTGACCAATTAGAATTAAGTGCTCAACACAGCTGTGAAAAATAAGTACAAAGGAATGTTTTCAACTTCACTCACCTTTCGGAGTCTCTGCTCATATCTCTGTGTGGCTGCAGGTACGATCACCTTCTTCCTCCACTCTGAGCCAAAAAAATGCTCAAGATCGCTCTCAAGGGCCTCCAGACGGGCCAATTCCTGAGGGAAGTATATCGGTGCAACAGCAGCATGGGAAGAATTCCTGTCCAGCTCCTCCTCCAGCGCCTTGTAGATCACATACAGGGAACACAGCAGCACCTAATGGAAAAGCGTACAGGTGAATATCTAACAAAAAATATATATAATTATCCCAAATCTAACAATTGGAGCCAGTTTGAATGAAGTTTTGTTACCTTGTACTGTGGCAGGGTGATCTGTCCCTTCTGGTAACTCAGCATCAGCTGTGTGTTTTCAGCTCGGATGTGATTGTTTTTGGTGGCAGCTTTAATTTGCTCTGATAAATCACTGTAAGGAGCACAAAAATTCACACGGTTATACGAGGGGATTTGAAAAAGTGAAGTGAAAAGGGGCTGGACGTTTTCATTTCTTTTGTCTAACCTTATGAGCTCAGGAAATTAGATGCATAAACAAACTTAGCTTTTTTTCATTTAAAAGACAAGGATGTTTCATTTACAGTAACTGATAGTTTGCATTTGACATCTTTTTCTTAAAATTCACTCTCAATTCTGTTACATTAGATCTGCTTCAACAGCTTTTCAAGCCTAACATCATAATAGATTGTGTTTTGGTCAGATTTAAATTGTTAAAAAGACTGATGCGGTTGAGTAAGTTTTAGCACAATTTCTTAAAAAAACTAATTTCTCTGATATTAAGACTTTTTTCATTATCATACCTTCCGACTTCTCCCTCGTCGTTTTTCCTGGCACTCTTCATGTTCTCCATTTCTACAAACAGCAAACAGCAGTTCAGTCATTTTAGAGTAACATATTTAACATGGAAAGTATATGTAGTAATAAAAATAAAGTACCTGTACTGGATGGTGGATTCCTGTCCTTGATTCTGACTTCGTGTTGTCTCCTCTTCTGAGTCGAACAGTTCTCTGTAGCCTCACAGCTTTGCCCTCCTCTTTTATAGAGCTGTGATCATGACCTGAACTCAAGCCGCTGAGTCAAAAGGGAAGTGAGACTGCTGAGTCACATTACACAGTTTGCTGAGCTTAAACATGATAAAGCAGATTTAATTTGGTGACATGAGGAAATCTGAAAACATGACAAGGCAGCAATCAAAATGACTGATAGAGAAGTTTTGTCTCTGTTGAAAGAAGGAACCCTAACTGGTGAGGTTCACTCACTGAAAAAGTACACTTGTAACTTAATAATTCAGTACAGGCTACTTTCATTTAAATAAACATTTCAACTGTGTACTTTACGGATTGAGATCTTTTAGACCTGCAGTGGAACAGGTCTCAGAGAATAAGTATCTGGGTTTTCTTCTGGATCATAAGCTTTCTTTTAGAGCATACATCGCGAGATTTCTCTGTGAATTGTGAACCTTGTGAAAGATTGTTTAAAAAAATATCAAATTCTTGATTAAATTGTCTCTATGTGACCCTTAAACACTGTCATATATTTTCATGAGAAAATGACTTAATTAAAAAAAAAGGTCTTAATCTTAAAGGAATATTCTGGCGTAAAATTAAGTTAGGGTCAGACACTTCGTCGAGAGATGAATGTTGCCGACCGCTTGCTTCTCTAGTTATACCAACTTAAGTAACGACCACAGATAGCAACACAGGGAGCCATGCGCTCAACCAAAACCCCACTCTATAGCCACAAATAATGCTCAGAACAGCACCTAACTTCATCAACAGTACATATAGGGTCCCAGCCATAGTACTAACCACCAAACATCTTTTTAGCTTTGCCTGATTTCTTTAGCAAAGAGACTAAACACAACTCACCTACTCTCTTCCAGCAGCCGCTTGTTTGTACAGAGACCTCCGGGCAAGTCACTTCCTTGAAGTAATAATCATCATATTAATCTTTTGTACTTTAGACGCAGTAGTTGTTCTGCCTTAGCGCCTCTGGCTGATTGCATTTCCATAAAGAAATGATCAAAAATGTTGTTCCTTGAGCTGCGTTACCCCTGCAGAGAGCACATGGCTCTCTGTATTGCTGTCTGCGGTTGTTACTAAAGTTGGTATTACTAGAGAAGCAAGCAGTAAGCAACATTCATCTCTCGAGGGGTTGTCTAACTCTAGTGTTAGAGTGTGTTTGACCCTAACTTAATTTTACGCCGGAATAACCCTTTAAAAAAGATACTCTGTCAAAATTCATTTCTATGTTTTAGTATTTCATGAAATTTTCCTCTCTATCATTAAATGTTTTTTACTTTTGTTGTACTTCTCTGTCTTTTCTTCTAATGTTTCAGTAATTAGTGAATGGTTTCTTGGCTTCCATGATTTTTTTTAAAGTGAAATGTTAGTGCAGTTGACCTCCAGGGCCTCCATACTTTCCTCATCTGTGTCGCCGCAGTTGCATACCCCACTTACCCCATGCAAAGTTGAAAAGCATGAACAATCGTTCCCCTCCATCTCACCCTGCCAAGTCTTTTCTCTTCCATTTCATAATCACGCCCCTTTATGAAAGCAGCCCTCCATTGGTTTTGGTAGCCGGAGGGGGAAGTGGGTTGTGCTGGTGGATTATCTAAACAGGGGACTCTCTCACCCATGTACACTCACAGCGTGCTTTAAAATGCAAAACACTAAACATGAAGCCAACTCGACAGATGTAAAACCCACTAAATTACAGATGCTGGATTTAGGCGACCGTCTCAAATAAAAGGTAAGGTTGTTTTCCATGTTTGAACTTAGCCAAATGCTTTAGCCGAGCTCACATCTGGTTCAGCTGGCGATGTCATCCACTGCATCCCCTGCAGAGGCTTACAACATCGGCATAGGAGGTCAGGGAGAGCCGGGGGTCTCCTCACTAAAGTGTATTAATGTTTGAAAACGCTTAAACCTAGATTTCTGCCGCTCAATTGTCATACAAGCTGCATATGTAGCTCGACGCCATAGTTATTTTGGGTCTCCTCGGTGATGTGAGCCGCCGTCGATAATGCCGAATCACGACCCAACTGCTAATTTAGGTTACACGTAAATAAAAAGTTGACATTTGAAGGACTTAACTAATGCATTTGACATAAACCGTATGGTTGTAGAATCTTGATTATCTTATATTTGTTCAGTAGGGAATGATTTAAAGTCGTCGTACTGATACTCTGCATCAACACAAACTAACTACACGTTATCACACTTGTCAACCAACGACCAACTAAATGTACAAACAAGTCAACGCAAATTATCAGTGCTAAGAGTTTATTAACCGACTGATGGGTCATATTAAAGTCTAACTCAACGTTTTAACATAATTCTGTGTAACTGAACCATAGTTAAACATTGTTTTATTCACCTTCATGTATCACTTTATTTTTTCATTTCTATGCTTAACATATGCTACAGGTAACAGAATCTACATAAGGTATTTTTTCTATAACTTTTCTGTTGGTGTTTCCTTTTTAACCAACCAGTTTAAATGTCTGCTTTCTTCAATTTGACTGAAGTCTCTGTCACTTAGCTTCTGTTTTAATGTCCCCAACTGTTTCTTGCTGTCTCTTACTGTTGACTGTTAACCACCAATCCAAAGTCATGTACACTTCCAATAGATTAAAAATGATATTAAAGGTATCCTCCATGTTGTCTGTAGAATAATGCAGTTTAATGCTGCTCTTGGAATACATATCAGTCATGTGATGGAATCTATAGCATGACCAAGATACATATATAATCTAGATACAGAGTAATTGCTGTAATTTTGGTTGTGTTTTCAGAGTACTTAAATTAAAGGATTATAATACGTTATATTATGTGTTGTTATTGTTATAAAAAGGGCCCACTTTATAAAATTAGATTACTTTGCTATATTGAAGCAAAAACATTGTTACCTTGGTAACTCAGCCCCTATTGATTGATGTCCTTCAGGTAATGGATTCCAGCCTTTCTTGTTACATCCTTGCCATCCTGATTGGCTGTGTCCAGTACTCCTTTTCCACAAGACACAATGACACCCATCTCTATGAGTACTGTGTGCTGGGAGCCGGGCCTGCTGGGCTGCAGATGGGTTATTTCCTCAACAAGGCGAAAAGAGACTACATCATCCTGGAGAGGAACTCTGGGCCGGGCAGCTTCTTTAACAAGTAAAAAACTTTTTGGCAAAGACTGAAATGTTTACATGTTCTGGTATAATTTCCCCATTTTTTAATGTTGTCTGTTGCCTTATATTTGTCAGGGATGGGTACGATATGCATAGACAAATGTGGAAACTAGGAGCAGCTATCTAATGCAAGTGTCTTTGTGTTTATTTGCAACCTTAGAAGATTCAAACTCTAAATTAAAAGGATAAAACATAAAAAGTTAAATGAAGATGTGATTAAATACACATATAGTACACATGGAATCAGACGTGAGTGCAGGTTTGCAGCTGTTTAAACCTGGTATTTGTACCTCTTTGGCATCTCTATCAGCAAACCCTGGAAAATGCAAGATGGAAATTTCACTGATTTCATCCTCCTGACAGATATGTTTTCTTTTCTGCTCTTGGCAAGATACCCCAGGCACAGGAAGCTCATCAGCATCAACAAGATCCACACAGGAAGGCAGAACCGCGAGTTCAACTTTCGCCACGATTGGAACTCACTGCTGAGCGATAAACCGGACCTCCTTTTTAAGAGCGTCAGCGAGGACTTTTACCCTCCTGCCGATGCTTTCCCAGTTTACCTGTCCATGTTCGAGAAGGAGTTGGGGCTGAAGGTTCGGTATGGAGTGGATGTGGGAAGGATAAGGGCAGTGCTGTCACCCTCTGGAAGGAGATACATCCTAACTGATCAGCGTGAAACACACTACACATGCAGGTATTTGTTGTCACATAAAACCCAATTTCACTGTCATTTTGATTTTATATTTCATCAGGTGGTTTTTCTGTCTTCTTTTTTAGCGCCCTCCTGGTAGCCACTGGTTTATGGGTCCCTCAAAAGGTGGAGTTCGTTGGTGCTGACCTGGTTGAAGGCTATGAGTCCATCTCAACTAATCCAGAAGACTACAGGAACCAGGCTGTTCTTATCCTGGGCAAGGGGAACTCTGCTTTTGAAACAGCTCAGAGCATCTTGGGAAGCGCGAGTCGGGTGCACATGCTCAGTTCAAGTCCTGTTCGACTGGCCTGGCAGACACACTATGTTGGAGACCTCAGGTAGTTTTTGACCTCTGATGTCTATTGATAGTTCCTAACATTTGTTACATCAGTAGAATCACAGTTGGCAGGACTCAACTGGATAACACTCTGGAGTGTGGTAAAAACAGGCTGTACTCGTCAAAAAGGTTATTTATGGAAGCAAACAGGCAAACAAACCCCTCAGGGAAAGGCAAGGTCAGAGTCTGAACGACAACAACATAGATCAAAACCATAAATAACACACTAAAGAACTGGAGCTTGGACTTGAGGGGAAGACACTGACACTCAGACAATCACACACAGGGGGGGAGATAAGAAGGCAGGATGTGGCGGATCCTACACCAGAGGACATGCAGACAACACAAAAATAAATCAGGAAAGAAACTACAATAAGAAAGGGATACTTAACCTGAATACAGAGCTGGACATAAAGGCAGTACTATCACCTGGGGACGTCTGAGTCTGAACATTTTAACCCCTTATGCAAGACTTTTAGTTGTTCTATCATTGTTCCAAATTTCAAGCAAGCTGATTGTTTTATATATTTCTTGCATCAGGGTGTGCATTGAACAAAAACTGTTGTGCATCATCAGGACCAGATGAAAATGTCATAGAAATCTGTTTTAAGAGAAAAACAAGTTTATTTAACCCTTCTGACAGTGTTACAATTTCTGTCTTGTAGCACTTTGATTGGTGCTCAGGCACTGATGGACTGTGGGTTAAAATGAACAGAAACGGAAACAACCTGGTCAAAGTTGCTGCTTGCTCTAGGATTGATTTAATTAAAAATCCATTAAATTTGCACTGTTTAAAAACATTATGAAAACACTACACGTGTGGATGAATTGCTGAAATCTATTTTGCTCTTGAGCCATCAGTACTTGTAACCCTAGATAATGTTCTTGTGTTTTTCAGAGCTGTAAATAATGAGCTGCTGGATACGTACCAGCTGAAGTCTCTGGATGGGTTGGTGGAGGCACGCCTGGAGAAAATCGTCATTGCTCAACGAAAGGAGCAAAGCAGGAGAGGCTCCAGGAAGACAGAGAGAAAAAGAAAACTATATTTGACTTTAAACAAGTACTTACAAAACCAGGAGGAGAAGAACAGCTCTGATGTGACTGGAGAAGAGCTGCCGGGGTTTCACAATGATAACTTCTCCATGAGAAAGCCATACGACCGCGTGATCCGGTGTCTCGGGTTCAGATTCAACTTCAGCATCTTTGATGGGTACAAAAACTCAGTGTGTAACAGGGAAGGGTTATTTTATTGTTCCCATGCAACAGTTACCTGACCAATCAACATGGTTTATTGGTGCTTCTCTCTCCAGATCTGCCTGCCCACCAAACAGTGAAAATGCAAAAGGGAGGTTGCCGGGGGTAACGGCCTGGTATGAAGGGAAGAACACCCCTGGACTGTTTGTGCTGGGAACTGCTGCTCACTCCAGAGACTACAGACTGTCTGCTGGAGGCTTCATCCATGGTTTCAGATACACAGGTAAAGTCAAAAGATTCACATTTGTTAAGGAGGTAATGCTTCTTTTACAAATTTGGCATAAAAATATAAAATCTGTATGAGTGGGCCAGGATTTACGTGTTACAGTTCATGTTTGTTGTATTTGCCAAATCAATCAGGTATCAGCAGGCTTGTAAAGCACTTTGGTTCAACTGGGGTTGTTTGTGAATGTACCATATAGATAAACTTTACTTTATCATGATAGTTTTTTAATATTCCATCAATCTTAAAACCTCTTAATTTTTCTAGAAATGATTTTAATATTTGGGTGCATACCTCTGAAGAAAACCAGAGTGATGTCTCTGTATAACCAGTTTTTTACAGTGAAACTGAGACTCAAAGGAAACAGATGAATAAGTGCTCATCTGAGGGGTTAAATCAAAACATGATGGTGTTGATTTATAGTCAGAAAGAGTCATTTTCATTTAGATTTTCATCAGTCAGTCTCTTCTCAAGTTGCAATTTGGACTGTAAACAAGGCAGTATAGAAAAGACAGTCTTAGTTGCCTGAAAATAGTTGACATATACAATTGTGCATTAAAAAACATGGTATCGACTCATTATTAAAGTGATACTGCAACAAAATGTGATTTTCTGACAGTGCGAGCTGTTCATCGTGTTCTGGAGCAGCGCTATCATGGTAAGCTGTGGCCGTCCTCCAGCCTGTTGATGACTCAGCTGCAGACGTGGATTCTGAAGCGGGTTGGTGAGGCGTCTGGACCATATCAGATGTTTGAGGTGCTTGGGGACGTCATACTTCTCAGAGGGTGAGTAAAAGTCCAGTATGGGCTCATTTATAACGGGGTTTTGTCTCGCCCTGTCAGGGTTCTATTTGGCATAACCATGGCAGACCCATACATCTTCCCGTCATTTCCAGCTACTGACATAAATCCAGCAACACTTGGCTAAAATAAAATCGTGATTTTCTGTTGCTGTGAATTGAATAACACTTTTTAAAATTGAAGTTCTAACACTACAGTTATTCTTTTCCTGCTCTTTAAACTTGGGTTAATTCCTCTCTTCAGCTCTCACTGTGAATACCTGGAGGAGTTTCCTCTTCAAGCTCTGCCTCAGTTCTCGTCTCTCTCGGGCCACGAGGTGTCTGAACATGGACTGATTGTTGTTCTCATGCAGTACGGGAAGAAGAAGATAGACTATCTAGGGCGGAGCAGAGCAGAAACAGACTGGACCAAAGCTTGGAAGTCCAACTTTCTGCACCCTGTTTTATACTATTATGACAAGCTTCCTACAGGTGAGTATAAACACTGCTGCCATCAAAGAGAGCTTTTTAGACAGGGACTCACTGTTGAACATTTACTGCATATTAATAATGGAGAGTGGGCCTCCACCTCCTACTTAGCGAAGTAAGACAATACTTTTTATTTTGCAACCAGGTCCTGAATGTCAGTTCACATCTGCTTTTTCTCTTCAGAGGGCGATATGAAGCTCAGACCTAATGGCTGGCCTTTACCCAGACCCAGAGCGGTCCATCACATGGTTGAGGACTTCCTCACAGAGTGGGATGGTCCCATGTCTCATATCCAACCACTGAGACGCTTCCTGGAACACTGTGTCCAAACAGACCTCCGAGCTTTCTATGCAGGTAAAACTGAAGGTCCTGGACCATTTCTAGTTTGCTAGTGTCCTGGTTTCCACTTTCCTCAAAATGTCGGGTGTGCTGATGTAAGAACACAGCAGGAAAAAGTCTGTAAAATTTGCTGTGAAAACTGAAAGAATAAGTGAAGACTGCTTCCCATACAGGACTTTATAATGATGAACAGATGGTAAAATATCAGTGGCAGTTAGCTCTACTCACTCCCACGTTTCCTCTTGTCTTTTAGAATCATGTTTCCGCTTCTCCCTTACCCACCGCACGCCACCACTCTTCTGCCAGCATGGATACTTGAAGGAGCAGGGTGTCCCTCAGGACCGTCAGCTGTGGCAGCATGTTCATCCTGATAGTTTGACGCCCACTAGGACAGACGCAGGCACGTCTGGGTACAATCCTGCGTTACCAAACTACCTGTCACGAGCTGGAGCCTCTGTGTCTTCAGGACTGAACCTTGACCTCTGAATGTGTCACTCGTGCCTGTTTGAGCTGTTGTGCTGTTTAATCCGTCAGACATACTACCTCCATTACCCTTTAAGTTCCCTCCATGAGGCCAAACATGTCTGACAGCATGCCGTCCCTCAGATCCCTAGTTTCCAACAGTTTGGGCGTGTAAAGCAGTTTCTACTTACAAAGGTCAAAGCGAGATTGTTTTAACCAAAGAGAGGTTTTAAAACATTTAAGGGTCCAGAGTTATAAAGTTATCCAGTAACTGGAGGAAAAAGTATGAAAATTAAGTATAGATTTGTGTCTTTACTCTTTTTGTAACCATCTCAGAAAAACTTTTGCTCGTCACTGGAATTGCACTTTGTCTTGGAAAAGCTCCCTTATTTTTATGCTACACAAATAATATACATATATGTGCATCATATGTCATTTTCATATCATGTAAATTTAGATTATATGAAACTATATTGGTGGAGGGTTTTATTATGAAAATATTGTATTTTACATGAACAATGGTACCAAAATAAAAACAGTTTAAACTGTGAATACAGTTGTCAAATCCTTATTTCACCCAGGGCACCAGAATGGCTGGAGCTGGCCTTGAGCCAAGTCCAGTGACAGTTGCAGGATATAGAGTACACATAGACATACATATAGGCCTAGAGCTGTGGTTCTCAATTGGTCTCACTCTGGGACCCACATTTTCCCATGGTCCTCAAGTCACAACCCACTTTTATAGAATTCAAACCCAGCAAATTTATTTTTTATAAAAAAACTTTTAAAGACTCTAATCTTTAACAATAATCTACTTGCTTGATTGAGTAAAGTGCATTTCAGAGCAAATGAATGGGACAATATGAGGAAAACAACTCCTGAAGTTTCATACACAGAAAATATCAAATATCTAATAAATATTGCATTAAGTATTTACTTTTTTGACCAGCTGTTCATGACCCATACAGAACGTGACTGCAACCCACTTATGGGACAGGACCCACCAGTTGAGAACTACTGGCTTAGAGATGTGCATCAGATATGGACAGAATTTGTAGTTTGTAATGGTGAATGTTGTACAATGTACGTTGGAGCACATTTGCAGCAAACACACAACTTTGTTTGATGAATACAACAATCGTCAATTACATTGCATCACGCATCATCCAAGTAGTTTGTACTCAAAATCACGTGGCCCGTACGGGGATCGAACCCGCGACCTTGGCGTTATTAGCACCACGCTCTAACCAACTGAGCTAACCGGCCCTGTTAACACGGAAGGATGTTTGTTTCAGAACCAGGAAAATGATAAATTTGAAAAAGATTTGTGTGACGAGGTGAGATTGAAGACTAGTATTATAATTGTTTTGAAGACTAGTATTATAATTGTTTTTTTATTCTTAATTTAATTAAGATTTTATTATTACATTCGCTTCTTCTCTTTTAATGACGTTTTATGGTCCCAATCCAACTCTGTAGTGATCTGCTGGGACATTTCTATGATGACATTAATCCTGCTCAGAAAAAAATACTCAGTTGCTAAATGTTCCATTGACTTACTTAAAAAATGTAGTTTTTTTTTGTTCATATCCATATATCCAATTAATATTTAAATTCTCAAAATAGAATTTAAATGTTTTTCATTGCGTGCTGCAATGTCTCATTACTCATATTACTGATTACTTTTATCATATGTTTGTGTGTTTTTTGTTTGTTTATTTTACTTCTCTCATTAAAATGTGTAATTTGCATAACCGTGAAGTCTTCAATCTGTCTACATCATCATTATTTTATGTTGACCAGTGCTTTGAAAGACTTCCTCTAATTTGGAAATTTAAGTAGCATTGTTTGCTACGGTGGCCGAGAACCACCGCATTCTTTTTTATTTGCAGCAGTGGTGGTTCTCGGCCACCTCAGTTTTCTAACTGGACTTGTAATTAATGAATGAATGCGGCCCGAAATATTGCAAGAGTACCCAGATGCAGCGCCAAGATGGCGGACCCAAAGATAAAAAACCACATTTACAAAACGCAATAAGTTTCCGCATTACCTCCGATTGGCGGACCCAAAACATGAACTTTGAACTTCTGCTTTGCGATGCCAGAACAGTAGGTGGCGGTATGTACCTACACTTTCTGACGGCAAAATTTACAGAAGAAGAAGAACTCTCAGGAAGTTTGAAAAGAAGCAAGCCGTCCGCATTCATTCAATCTCACCTCCGACCACTCAAACTAACCCTAACCCTGCATTCCATTGTTTCCATCATGGGAAATCTAAGTGACGCTCTCAAATTAACAGGAACATTGCGCAGAAGATATGTCCTGGGCAATGGACTGAGAAAACGGGCAGAGATTTGGAGGTATTTGTGCATGCTCTATATTACAGTTGAAAAGTGTATAACAGCTTTCCAATGCTGTTACTTGTGGCGAACACCTTTTTGCTTGAGTTGATGCGTGCCCGCAGGTGGAATAATGTCACATGTCACACACATTTTCTGTTGTTTTGATTTATTTACTCATTCATCATTTTATGTGCGCACCTCTCCTAATCAACCCACCCATTAAATAGACGGGCACAATAGCACCATCTGCTGGCACAAAAAATACATAACAATAAACTGCAAAACCCCAATCTGGCTCCTACAAAGTGTATGTGACAAGATGATTAACGTTTGCTTTTGTTAAATCAGGGCTTCCCCAGCCAGGACTTCGGCTCAGACTGTGGCATATTCATGTTGATGGTAGGTCATAACGAGCTGTAATGCACAAATATTGTATCTAGAATAACTTTCCAACATGGACTTTTTTAAAGTTATCTCACATGTTGTCTCATAATTTTTTTTTTAAAGTCTGCCATGTACATCGTTATGGAGTCACAGTTTGACTACTCAGTTGTAAGTACTTTTCAACACGCAGTGTCATCCTCAAGATTGTATTTTGTATTGTGCACTAAAATGAAATACAAACAACAATTTCAGCATGACATGCCTGTTTGGCGGCGATGGTGGTGCCTGTTGCTCCTGGAGAACAATTCTTTGAACAGGTAGACAGTTTAAGTAAACTAGATGTCCTAATTAACTGGAAGACAATCAATATATTGTACTTAAAGACATATTGTCATTACAGTTGTGGGAAAATCTTCGCCCACTGGACCAAAGAATGTCAAGAGCTCATTGCTGGAAAGCATACTCCGGTCTTCAGTCTAAAGAGGAAGGCAGAGCAGCAGGACACAGAGGTTAGGAAATTGCCTTGTAAAAACAGTATTATCTCAGTGGGAGTCCTTCAAAATGCACACAGTTGTATGGATCAACATTGTCTCGATGTATTTGGTAATTGATGTTACTTTTCAAATTGCCTTGTCAAGGAAACCATGACGCAGACGGTATCGGATGTCCAAAGAATGTGCATGGCAGATTCAATGCAATTCTGTGTCTACCAGACATCGAACAACACAGGAGAGAGGTGTGTTGCAGACTCAATTTAATAAATGCAATTATCGGGGCCTATTCAGTGATTTTCCATGAAGTGACCACTTTTACATATAGTTTAAATGCACAAATCATGCAGGAAAATTATTTATACATTCAAATGTGCTGCAGAGGTATAATCAATTGGACAGCGTGTTTGTTTGATATTATGTTTGTCTCTCATTTGATCAGATTGCTTTACCCTGAGGTAAACGTCATAAAATGGGTCCAGTGCAAGACGTGCAGGGGCTGGCTGCATCAGGATTGTGCTGGGATTGAAATGGAGCCGTTTGACTGCGGGTGCGAGGACTCCATTGAGCATCCTCGGTATAACATAATTTATCAAGGAAACATAGTATCAGTCAAAAATACGAGGCTCAAAGGATGAAAAAATGAGGGCTTGCTCTTTTCTTATTTCTCTGCAGGATCAAGGATGCTGTTGACAGTTGAGGAATTCATGCTGTCTTTTCTAAGACACAGATCAAGGTTGCTTTTGAATGCACTATCAGTTGTTAAAGCCACCGTTTCTTTTTCAGATGATTACATTTTTGTCTCTTGCTCTTTGGTTTCAGACATTACATGATGATCTACTGTCTGGAAAGATCCGCTCCAACAGAATGTTCCTTTGGAGGAATCCCGCCACCTCACTCCGACTAAAGCAGCATCTTAAGATAAGGACACTAAGTTGGAGTGAGCAGCGCGTAAGTAAAAATGCCATCCATCATGAGTATTTTTACTCTCAGGGGTGTTACATTTGAAAGGTGTTTACTTTCTGTGTTTTTCTTCAATAGATGTTCGAGCTCCTGCGGTTCATTGAGGTGGCAACAAACATTTCTAAAAAAATAAAGAGAGGCGAGATTCATCTGCTTGATTTCGTTTTTGACGTCATGCTCCCAGAGGTGAGTAGATCAAACTATATAGCTTGCTTTGAAAAATGATGATATTGTTAAGAGGTTGTTCTTATTCATTTGGAAAGCTCAAGAACAACAATTAACCCATACTGCATAACTTCAATTGTTCACATTATTTGACTGTTTTTCAGCTTTTGATCAAAGCACTGAAGGAGCATGGCATCAACCGGTTCAGAGCAGAGCTGATGATGGCCTGTGGCAACGTGTTTTAAGCCCCCCACCACACCGACGGCAGTGCTGAATTTTGTATATATATATTTTTTTTTACTGTTCACAATTTTGTTTGGAAAAAATTAAAGAAATCTTCAAAGCAGTTGTATGACAATTTCCCATTTCTTTACACAGTCTGTAATGATATCGCTATTCAATTGTTTTTGCTATATGGCTCTTCTGAACCTTAAAGAGATCATGTGACTTGTGTCTCTACAACTATTGTATACTTGGATTTTGCACAGTCAAGCAATCCTGAAGAGGTTCACCAGGAAGCACACCATTTCATAAATTATGTCCCTGGTTACACAATGTTACTAAAGGATGGGGGAGTAAATTTGTGCAGCAACATAAGCACTCTCATAAAACATAATTATGAACAACAGAAAATATGTGAGGGTCAGGGCAACATTGTTGACATTAAACGAGGTCCTAATAGGAGTGGAGAAACAAGGTCACAGAGAAGTTAAGAAACATTGATGTGCTGTGTAATAAAGCTATTGGAGAGAAAAGTTAGAAAACACTGTTATATGATGTGTAACGAGAGGTTAAAACAGTCCATACTTGTAGCAAACTCTTACAAAAGAATTTGAGTAAGATGATAACTTCTACATACATTTACCTATTCTGACAAATTATCAGAATATGAGGACATCAGGCTATATATACATATTACTGTAAACTTCAGAATTAAATCAGAACAAAACAGTAGTCATAATTAATACATAAACGTTTTATTTTGATTTTTAGCTCAATAATAAATTTAATTCGATTCTTATGGAATGAACGGAGCAAAAAAAAAAGGATCCGGCGACTAAATCCGACTACCTGAAGTATTTCGGCGCCGGAAGTCCGCCAACGAGAAAGCCTTTCCACCGGAAGTAATTGTTTTGGGTCCGCCAATCGGAGGAACTTATTGCGTTTTGTAAATGTGGTTTTCTATCTTTGGGTCCGCCATCTTGCGCTGCATCTGGTCACCTCTCAAATATTGTTATACTATAAATAAAGTTTGTCGCCAAAAAAATGAGCGAGAGGAAGTGCCGTGCAACTTGATTGGCTGTCCAATTGTGTAGCTCCCTATTGGACGGGAGCAAATGAAGAACACCTAATCTGATTGGTTAGCGTTGTTCCGAAGCTATTCACTCATACAATGGTTGTGAGTTTTACTACTTCAGTGCGTTGAGATGGAAAATGTGAAATAGGGGACATTTTGGTGCTTCAGATGAAGGTTTTATTTTGATTTTGAGTCTGTGAATCAGCGAAGAATTGATGGACGATGATGGGGGAGTTTGTGTGTTGAGGTGCCGGCCTCAGGCGCAGCAGATGAAGCACCAAAGCGTTAATTTTCTTTTTGTTCGGTTGTAGGTTTGACATAGTGATTGTAGAGTAAACAAGCATCCATATGTCTCTATAAAGCATGGACGGGTGGAGCCCAATCCTCGCCACAGCCTCGGATAATGACCGATCAAGCTCCGAGGGGGAGTACATGGTGGAGCCCGGACCCGGGGATGAGACCCAGGAGGCGGCGACGGCGGACAGAGAACAACGGGCTGACGGGGAGGGTATGATGGAGGACGGGGGTACGTCTGCTGTGGGGTTCGGGATTAGTGGGACCGGAGAGGGGAAAGTGGTTTTGGGTCGGTTCGGACAGAGAGACGACAAAGAGCTCAGGTACCTGCACTTGTTGTGGGAGCCCGGACGAGCAGAGCTGGGGGCCGGGGGAGTGACGAGCAAGCTGGGGAAGGTGACGGGGAGCCGGGCGAAGAGGCACCACAGAGCGATGAGGAACCTCGGTCCCATCGGGCAGGATATTTATGGTAAATTTCAGATCTTTACTTAAGTAACACAATTAACTAGAATAAAAACATACAGGTAAAGGTTGTACAGTTCTATTACAGTGTAACGTAGTTAATAACACAAGAAGACATTGACTTTATTCAGTTTGAAGTTTTTAGCTGGTTGCAAAACAGACTTAAATAAATACTGATGTCTTTCTATAATAACAAAAGCAAACAAGACTGTCTACGTGAGTTATTTGTATTGTCTGAGACCTCTTGTGAGAAGGTAGGTGTCAGTTAGTGTTGTCATTCACGAACGATTCGTTCAAAAGAACCGAATCTTCTAAGTGAACGTTCTGAACCGAATCACTTCCTCAAGTGATTTATTCATTTCTCACTTCAGTTGAGCTAAAGTGAGAAACAGCATTGCCAGGCCAGCAGCCGGCGAACGAGGGACCACAAGTACCGATGCCTGAATCACTTCAGTGCGTAAACGAATCACGCATTGAACTACACTCTCTGAAATCATTTTTGTCGGACAAAACTACCTTTTTTTGTCACTGCTACTTTGCTACCACAACAACTTGTATACAATAGGACATAGCATGTGACAAGTAGTGCATTAAACCCACAGCATCCTATCACTGCAGCAGTTTGCGAGGGAACCGTGCATGTTCAGTATGAATTCAGAGTGAACGAATCACTCACTGACCCCAATTTGCCAAGCAGACCTGGTAGCTAGCACACTATAGGACAGTACACTTAAAACATCAGGACTTATAAACAAGTTCATTTTTACAAACCTGTTTGCCAACACAGCCAATTACTCTTGTCTATTGGTCCCAGAAGATATGTATTAAACTGAATCCTGAACGTTCAGCTGGGTATCAGTTCAGGAGGTCGGAGCCACAGGCGTCTCCCGCTAAATGATTCGGTTATTTGGTGAATGAATCTTTTGAACAAATTTCTTTAGTGAACTGAGTCTAGTGGTTCAGTACATCTAAAAGAACTGCTGTGCCCATCACTAGTGTCAGTAGATGGGATTTACTGTGTGCTGTCAAATTTTTGTTCTACTTGGTTGTTGTTTTTTTTACAGTAACCATTCTGCTAGTTTCCAATCTTTTTTTCATTCCCAGTTTTCTTGCTAATTACTGGATTGTGTTGATTCTGATAGCTCAAAATACCTTGACAATGGTTGTTAATTATGAATAGCAAAAATGATGTGAGAGACAACAAACAATCGGGGAATCTGACATATTTCTACAGTTATGATTTTACCTCTGTGACAAGAACATCTGTTTCTGATAGGTAAACACAGCACAGAGGGGGTTTTCATTGTATTCTTCATTTACAACACTTTAGATTTTATAGTTAATGGCTGATCAATCACAGAGAAACACAGCAAAGAAAAACAGAGGTGGGAAACAGCGCAAAAACAGCTAAAAGACATGATCCATATTGAAGGAAACAGACACAAAGCAACCTCAAACAATATGTGTTATGGGAGTATTACAGGACTGGTTAACTAAGAAACTGCTTTTACGCTAATTTCTGCATTTGCTCAGCATGCTAAAAAAATAAAGCAGCTTTAATGTAACAAAAATATAAATTCTCATGTCAATTTGGCCACCAAGATTTTCCTTTTCCTTTCTTTCAACCATCAAAACTGGGGAACCGGGTAATTTGTGACGGATAATGTGTACTCTTTCCATTGGAGTTGCCCTGTTATTCTAGCCGCTGGTAAACAGACTGAAACAAGTACTCTTTTGATAGGGTGTTCCTGTTTATGATGTCTTTGCTGCAGTTTAACCCATTCATCAAGCATCATTTTAACACATGTCACTTTAAATGTTTTATCTCCACAGCTGCAAAAAGACTGAGGGAGGCAGCAAACAGCAATGATATTGACACAGGTGAGGAGAGCAGTGACACATGTTGCAAATGTTCCAATGAGAGGAATATTCAAAGTTGTGTTTGGCTAATAAAGTTGTGTTTTCCAGTCCGAAAGCTCCTGCAGGATGATATAGACCCCTGTGCTGCAGACGACAAAGGAAGGACAGCTCTGCATTTCTCTTCCTGCAACGGCAACGAGGGCATTGGTAGGTCACTGATAAGAAATTCAAAACAGTTTAAATATCCAAGCCTAAGCCACATTTGGTTTGTTATCAACAGCTACCTTTGTTTGCATGATGCATGTGATGATGAATGTTTTTATAATGGAAATAGAACATTTCCAGAACATTTTTATATGGTTTAATTTGTTTATTTTGTTTATATTTCATATCTTTAGTGCAACTGTTGCTTAGTCACGGCGCTGACCCCAACCAGCGAGACAGTCTGGGGAACACCCCCCTCCATCTGGGTAAGAATAAATGTCACCAAAGCCTCTGATGCCTGTATCAATGTGGTCACTGCTGTCTACCTCTGAAGTTTCATTATGACACATAGATGTGCAGGTGCTTTGGTTTCACAACTGTTGTGATGAAAAAATTCACAGCAGAACATAAAACAGAACTTAAGTTATGTTTTAAATGCAATAACTATTTTACAGTCGTGTTAAAACTGTTATTGAGTGAAATGTTTTGGTAACTTGTGTTTTTGCAGCGGCCTGTACCAACCACGTGCCTGTAATCACCACTTTGCTGAGAGGAGGTGAGACACCCAATGAGTTGTTTCATTCTTAGTGGAGATGTTTACATTTCTAAAAGACAGTCATGTGATGTTACCTATTTCGCAGGTAGACTTGACATCTAGGAAAAATCTTAAATTGTATTATTTGTTATAGATCATTGGCAAGAAATCTTTGTGTTGCTTGCATTCTTGATTTACTGTAAATCATCCAGCAAATATAATAGACTGTTCAAAGACAGTTATTTCAGCCCTGCATTCAAGCTATGGTTGTCAATATACAGGGATTGACAACAACCACCTTAAGGAAAATTAAAAAATTGTTGGAAAATTGCTGCTGCTCTTTTTTGCTGGTTGCCACAGGTCATGGACATAAGCTGCTTGCAAGCTGGCTAGCTATAGCTGCCATCTCAAAACTGATGAGACACTTTTAAGTACTCACATTCCCAGATATCTTGTGAATCAAAAATCAAAGAGCTTGTGTCTCTTTAGGTCACGTTTCAATTGAACTTTGACTTCTTCTAACTGTCCTATTACCTCTTCAAATTAGCTCCATAACTGATGATCCACCAGAGGTAATACACTTGATAATAAAAGCATAGTTTTACAATGTAGGAAATAAAGCAACTTAAACTCAAGACAGAAAAATATCAAAACAAAAGCATGACAAATAATTGTTTATGAGGCCTGAGAAGTTCCAGTCATAGAGTTGGTCATGTGGATAAATCATAAATTTGGACTCGAGAAACGATGATGATGATGACATGAGTTAATAACATTTATTAGAAAAGTTTGGTAAGTCATGAGCGGTTTCACCCTTGTCTTACCTTTCCTCTATTTGGCTGAATATAGAGCTTTAGTTTTCACATTTTCACTTGCGCGATCATTGATAATCATAAGGGGAACATATTGTGACTTCAGCAAGGTTTGCAAAAAAAAGTATGTCTTAGTAATGATCCATATCAAAATGGGTTGAGAGAATTTTTATTTGCCAGTTTGTAAGCCCGTTTAACAGAGATATTTGTACTCTTATTGTCTCTGTTAAGGAGCACGTGTGGACGCCTTGGACCGAGCTGGCAGGACCCCAATGCATCTTGCGCGCTCTAAACTCAATATTCTTCAGGAGGGTGATTCACGAAGTTTGGAGACACTGAGAGGCGAAGTCACACAGGTAGAGCTTCTGCTGACTGTTAATCTGTGTCTCCCCTCATCTTTTTAACAACAGTGTCTGCATTCTTTATTTTTAGTTGGTAGCAATAAGGGTTTTTGTGTCTGTATTTCTCGCACAGATTATTCAAATGCTGAGGGAATATTTGAACTCAATGGGCCAGAGTGAAGCTAAAGAAAGGCTGGAGCACATTTCAACTCAGCTGCAGCACACACGCACCAAAGAACAGGTGAGAATGACATACTTGCTGCACGCTACTCACATTTATACGCATTAAAACCAAGATTAATGAATAGATATGCACCCAGTTGTATTCTTATTTAATAAAACTTAATCATTCAGTAACTGCAACTCTTTTTCACCTACTCATATACTTTTTTCTTCTTTTTTTCAGGTGGATGAGGTTACTGATTTATTGGCCAGTTTTACGTCGCTCAGTCTACAGAAACAGAATCTGGGCGATAGGTAGAAGATAGTGTTTAGAGAGCCGATGTGCTGCATCTGCACTGCTTGCCCTGGACAGAAAATTAAACTCAACACAAGGAATCAAAGTGAGATTTTGTCTTCAGTATTACTGAATTTTAAAACCTGGTGCCATATATCAAGATATGACTGTGCTTTAACTTTTAGCATTTGCAGTTCTTATGATATTCTGCCAGTCATCATAAGGCTCGAAAAAATGTTAAAAATGCTAATAAAAACCCTGTAATCTTGATTTAAAAAAAATAAGAAGCAGAAAATTTAATCAACAGCACTGAAGTTTCTTGATAAACCACAAATAAGCCCTAAAGGAAAAGAAGCTAACCCACTTTACAGCAGTGTGGCCTCAGCTCTCTAAATTGTGTGAGTGATACAGACTTTGTATGTGTGTGTTAATGTGAATCACAGCTTGCTGTAATTTTTCTTCATGCCTGCCAACAATTTATGGTAATTATGACACATGTTTCTCAACAAAGTGTTAAAATTTTCGCTGTTGCATTTTTTTGGTTTTCTCACCAACAGCATCTCTGTATCTCGTTGCCTTTGTTCTTGTAATGCATGTAGTGATTGTTTATGATCTGTAAAAACTGATTTGGCTGTTGATTGTAATGAATACACGTGAATCAATAAAATCAATATGTTTGGCTACATTTGTGAAAAGTTGTCTTATGCAGTTATTAAAAATGCATGTGAAAACAAGAATTTACAGAGCCCTGAACGGGAAATGCAATTGTGCATGTTATTTGCTCTCTTTTTTTCTATCAATAACAGACAATTACTAATGTAGAGTGGTTTGGCTGTCCCATCATATGGTGGCCCCGAAAGTGAACTACAAAGATATCTGAAAAAAAAAAAAAAGAACAGACAAAATTTAACGTGCCAAAACTTCGATGAAATGCAAAAACAATTGTGAAAAAAAAAGTGTTTACAAAAAGCACATTTGATTTAATATTATATTAAAATATATAATGGACAGATATTTAATGTTACACTAAATGATAAGAAACTAAAACATTTCACTTCATGAAACATTTTATTAATTAAATAAACATTTCATAATACACAGTATTGTCACATAATGCTAAAATTTTTCTGGAAAAGAAAGAAAACCTTAAAGTTTTGGTCTTTTATTCTAGCATTTCGGGATTTTTTTTCAAAGGTTTTTCAATTTTTTTTTTCAATTTTTCTTTTTTTTTCTTTTTTTTACATTTCAAACCAGTGTTATACCTTTATAATCTGTTAAATAAACAGAGATTCTAGGAGGGAAAAAACAAACTATTCATACAAAGAGTAACTGTATAACCGCTTAGGACTTTTGTGCTGAATTTTTAAATGAAGTAAGGGCTCAGTATTTGTATTTTTTACAATTGGCTAGGCTTGTATTTGGGCTCAAGTGATTGTTTTATCAAAATGACTATTTCTACTCTACGTTGATTGGCCGCACCGCCTAAGCCCCTCCCTTTCTTGGACACGTATTGTTGTTTCGCCGATAACAAAGATGGCGGCCGGACCCGCGTAAATTGGACACCTTGCATTGGTACTATTATTTCAAAATCACATTCTTTTTTCTCCTTCTGTTGTTTGCTAAGTGCTCCTGCTATTACGACAGACGAGACACGCATAGAAGTAGATTTAAAAGCACGTAAATGTACGTGTTTTGGGCTCCTGAGTCTACCGCGGCCTACATGGGAAGAGAAGCCTCGGACTTTCCTTGACCGCTTTGACCGGCGAGCTGGGGGCCGCACGGGGGAAAGGATTACAGCGTTGGAAATATATGGGAGCTGAGGGAGTCAGAGTAAATTGAGAGGGGGTGTGTTTGTGTATCTTTATGAAAGTAGGCGGGAATTCGTTAAGCTATCGTGATTTTCACTGTTCGGTAGTTGAGAGACTTTCGTTATGATAACATAACGCAATTTTCCCTTTTCTCCTCGAGAAGGGGCTTTTTACTTTACTGAAGCGTTATATCAGGGTTACCTGCGGCTACAGTGTGGCGTTGACTGCTCATCTACTAAAGCATTGCCACACTTAAGCAGTCTTAGTAACTACTTTGAGAGGCTGGCTTCTTTATTTCAAACACATTGTATGGTACAACCTTGTATTTCTTCCATTCAAACTGCCTTGAAGATGTTATTACAGCATGTGTGGTTTGATCTTCTTGGTATTTACCTAACGTGGTATTACCCTTTTGTTTCAGGTACATACTCTGGAGAAAAGTCGTGTTGACTAAGGAGGGACCATGGCTTTTGAGGAGATCAAGGGTAAAGGAGGAATGGGTAACGTTTTTACTGCACATTTTGAATATTTTTACGTCTCTGATGGAAGAACAATTAGACTGTTATGAGCCTTGAGCTCATGAAATGGTCTTAGAGATGCACATGTATTGACCGTAGCCTAAAAAGCATAAAAGTTGAGCAGTCCCTTAAAATTTTCCCTATATAAATCCAACAAAGCACCTAGAAACAAGTCTTAAATTTAGGTCTTGGCTTCACTTGAGTGAAAGTTGATGAAGTCAATTAATGAGTAGGTTGTGCAAGATAACAACACGCTTAACTATTAGCTAGACAATGAAAAGTTTACCAGCTGGAGCATCCTGAACATCTGCTGACATGGACATGTTGGAGCTAGTACCTCAGTTAAATAAAGATATCGAATGAACAAAATCAAGATCTTCAGCAAGGATTATAATTTTTTTTAGGTGCTTTTATTTTTATAATTGGACTTAATGAAAGACATGAGAGAGACAAGACGAAATCCAAGAGTCTCTCAGGAGAAATAAGACAGTCATGAATAATACAGAGTCATATAGGAGAAATTCACTCTCAAAATAAGCACCCCTTAACAAGGAGATTTATTTTGCCGTTTAGGAACTCATTGACAGGTTCTGAGAGAAGGTTTAAAATTGGCACAGGTAGGTGGCACATTTCAACAAAAGTACATATAATGAAACCATTCATCCTGACTTTTTTTCTCATAATTTTCAGGCTATAACAAGTTTTGTTGCCCAGGTTGCGACTATAATGCTTTGTTCATATTTTCCAGACATGGGGATGGACGGTGAAAGGGGCCTTGTCGCTGGTCGCAGCCAGAGAGAGAAAAGGAGGTCGTACAAAGATCTGCTGAGAGAGGAAGAGGAGATTGCTGCTCAGGTCCGAAAGTCTTCCAAAAAACGGCCTAAGGTGAAACACGAGTCTGAAATAACTTAAACAAAAGCTTTAAAAGTAAAACTTGTGCTGTTACTGCAGTTATAACATTTCTGACCGAATGTTTTTATGAATTTGTCAAGGACTCAGAACTTTTCATGCTTGGAGGGGACTCTCACAAAAAGAAGAAGAAACATGGGGATGACTACTATTACAGGGGTGAGACGTTGATGTATTATTTGAATCTTTTAATATCACAAAATATATGCAGCTGCAAATATTTTTATCATTTTGCACTCAGTTTATTCTTTTCTTTTTTGCATTGTTTTTTATTTTCAATGGAATTGGTTTATTTTACAATGCTGAGTTTTGTTTATTGCTGATAAGTTTCCACTCAGAGTCTATAACCTGCATATTTTTTGTGTTTCTGTGATAGATTTTAAACCTTGAAAGTTTTGTAATTTTTATTCTTTCCACCCCTGTATCAGAACACGATCATTCAGGACCACCTCCTCACAAGAAAAAGCACAAGTCTGCAGACCGCTCCCCCACGCTCTCCTCCCCCTCATCCTCCCACCCAACAGACACAGCGATGGGCCTCCTTCAGGCCATCACCTCCCCTCTAGCCACAGGCTCAGACCCCAGCCCCCACCTGCACAAGAAACCCTCATACCCCTCTTTCTCCTCCCACTCCTCCAAGGACCGCAAACGTGAGGGCAGCGGCGGCGGTAGTAGCAGCAAAGGCAGCCACTCCTCTCACTCCCGCCCCATGTCTTCATCGTCATCTTCCTCCAAGAAGCACTCCTCCTCTTCCTCAAAGTCGTCTCTCTTCCATGGCGGAGCTCCGAAAGAGGAGCCGCTGACGTTACGAGAAGCTGATGGGCTCAAGATGAAGCTCATCATGTCCCCGGAGAAAGAAGACGGGGAGAGCTTTCCTTTCACGCCGCACTCATCCAAAGGAGGCGTGAAGAAGGAGAAGGATCGGGACAGGATGGAGACGTCGAAGTCACCCAAGAAAAAACTGCAGCAGAGTCGAGATCCGCTACCAGTGGTTGGAAAAGAGGTGGAGGTGGAAGGTAAGAAAAGACCCCAAAACCCTTTTACATAATTTCTTAACCCCCTAATTCAATTGTATGTCACCATCTTAATAATTCAGATTTTTGTTTATTTATTTCTATAAGGGAAATTTCACCATTTTGTTCTTCATGATGCGTTTTGTTGTTACACAGGTCATTATGGAGGAGGTATGGGAGACGACAGCTCCTCATCAGGAGGTGAACTGGAGGCGGGTGAACTGGTTATAGATGATTCATACACACACCTCTCCAAAAAGAAAAAGAAGAGCAAAAAGAGCAAGAAGAAGAAGGATAAAGAAAAAGACAGAGATAAAGAAAAGAGTGGGAAGGACAAGAAGCACAGCAAAGGGTTTGGAGGTGAGATTACTGATTGTTTATCATGTTAAAAGAAAGAATGAAATAATTTTGTCCAAGAATCACTTTGAAAATGTTGATTTGTTCTTTGAATTTAGAAAAGTAATACAGAATTATTTATTTATTTATATTTTTACATGTCCTTGGATTCCAACAAGAAAAACACAAAACCTGCAGTATTGCTTTCTCTTTTGTGGGGGACAAGCCCAGCTGACTCCAGTGTTCTTTGTTTTCTTAATCTGCTGCAAAGCTCCACTCAAAATGTTTTAGTATCGTCTTGTCGAATAACGTAAAACTATTTAGCAGCTGTTTCTTTCCTGAGCCCACAATCAAACCTCAAACTGAGCAGATAATCGAAAACATCCTTATTTAAACTCTTTTTGTGCTCAAATTCTCTGCAGACTCGTCGAGGGGCCACAGCCACTCCCACCCCACTGTCACCCACAGCTCTGTCGGGCCGATGTACGCCATGAGCACGCCTGTCCCTCAACACCATCATCAAGGCAACGATGGAGTACCAGAGAAGAAGAAAAAGAAGAAGGAGGAGAAAGACCGGGACAAACACGACAAGGAAAAAGACAAGGTAGGACACTTGAAACGCAGTAATGCCGTTCCTCTTTTTCTGTTTTGGTGCCATGTGCTGTGAGTGTCTTGCTCTCTGATTGTCTGATCCTCTATGATGATAAAGTTTTCCACTATTTACTCACTTTATTGTTTCTTGTTTTTTTTAGCCCAAGAAGAAGAACACAACAGCATATCAGGTGTTTTGTAAGGAGTACAGGGTCAACATTAACGCAGAGCAACCAGGGCTGGGTGAGTTTCTCATCACATGAACTTTAACCCTTTATGACACTGACTGATAGTTTAATTCCATAAAAGTGACATTTTTAATAAAGTCGGTCTGATTTGCAGTGTTTGGTGAGCTGAGTAAGAAGTTGGCAGAGGTGTGGAAAGCAATGCCAGAAAAAGACAAACTGGTAAGTTTTTTTTTTCTGTTTGACGTAAAACTTCCGAAATCTTTTGTTCTGTGATTCAGCAGTGGTGGCCGTGCACTGAAAGTCTGTTTTCTGTTTGTGCAGGTTTGGAGGCAGAAAGCTCAGTATCTGCAGCACAAACAGAACAAAGCTGAGGCCACCACAGTCAAACACAAGAGTGCCAGTGAGAGCAAAAGCAAAGGTATGTGTGACTCTTACACAAAAACTCACCATAAACCCTCTTGATCCTAGGGAGCCCAAAAGTTTCAACATACTCTTCTTGAGAGATGAATCTGTTCCCTACTCTTCCTCACTCACTGCCAGTTCTCATCACAGTCGCCTACTTTGTCATTACAGTTGTAGGAACAGGTTCAGGGATGGTGTCTCCCAGCAGAACGCCAGGTACCATGTCTTTGTCTCCAGCAAGAGTCCCTGATGTGGATCCCATTGATGCAGCTGCTCACCTGCAGCTTCTGGGAGAGTCCTTGTCCCTAATCGGACACAGGCTACAGGAGACAGAGGTACATGCCTGCACACACAAAAACTCTCAACATTACTTGTTTGACTTGTCAAATACCGCTGTTTTATTTCTGTGCTCTGGATTAAAGGACAAATGTGTGTTTGTTACAGGGGATGGTGGCGGTGTCTGGGAGTCTGTCTGTCCTTCTTGACTCCATCCTCTGTGCGCTGGGACCGCTGGTCTGTCTCACAGCTCAGATACCAAAGTTGAACGGATGTCCTCGAAATGTCCTGGTACAGTACGAACATTTATAAAGTTGAATTAGTTATGTTGGTGTGGATGATTTATAGCTTCGTAACTTCTTCAGTTCTCAATAATCACAACATCAATCCTGAATTGAGGAGGGGCTGGGTGATGTAAACAATCAAAACACAGAGAAAAGGAGCAATATGAAAAAGCCAGACAATACAGTTTTTGTAGCAAACACAATTCTGAATGAAACATCGTTCTAAAAATCCCTGATTTCCACTTGAAAATAAGTTATGGCTTATGAGGAGTCTGTGCTCTCAGTTGGGCTAACATAATTCTGACATTTAAAAAAATGTGGGATTTCCTACTTTTTCGCACAGCCTTACTTCAAGGTTTCAAACATTTAGATTTATTTTTTGAGTATTTTATTCCAGTTAACCAAAGCTCTCTCTTTTTCCTGACAGTCAAACACATTGGACAACATTGCCTACATCATGCCTGGACTGTGAGCGAAGGACAAAAATCAAACTGATTTGGGATCAGAAGTCAACACAGTTGACTGAAGCAGTGACCTCTGGACTTTATTTTAAGCCACTGGGGACATTTGAAAACTTGGATATTTCTAGTGTCAACATGTTTTTAAAGTGTATTTTTTTAAAAATCAGGTTCTCTTAATTTTCTAATTGTGATATTTTTAAATGAAACATTTTACTGAACATGTTAATCTGTCTTGGCATGTAAGCTCAGTTTTACTGTTACTGTACAGTCTGATTTTGTATATGTTGTACTGAATGTCTGGATGTGTTTGTTTAGCTGTGAAGTGTGTTTGGTTGAATGAGGCTCAACATATTTGATTTATTTTTACTGAGTTGTACAGAAACATTTGAATCATCTGTTAGTCATCATCAACATAATATATTCGACACCTGCTTAGGTTTTCTTTTATCATGTAAAAGTGCTGTTTTTTTACACTTGATGTTTTACTGTACACACACAGCATTTAGATTTGACTTGTGTAGGGTTTCAGAGGTGCTAAAACACACCTTTAAGTGCAACCTTGTTCTAATCAGGAGCTGTAAAAACAAAACCACTGTTGGGTATTTAATAAATTGGCAACATAAAAAATATCCAAAATTCAACTTTTGCATTTGGTTGATTTTTATTTTTATCCAGTTCAGGATATTTGGGAAACCTCTTACATATGTGACAGACAGTCATATGTATTGTCTTTGTGATTTTCCTCTCGTAAAAATCTGGACTTTTAAATGAATGAGTTTGGTATACACTGTGCATGTGCGAAACATATGTCACTTTCTCTACTCGCCATCTACTGCATCTGTTCACAAACAAACATGAGTAGACAGACAATCAAATCTTGTACTAATCTCTTTTAATATTTTGGAGCTGTAGTTCAGCTAAGGTGAATTTTCTGTGGTTGAAGTTGCCTTTTTTCCTGAGCTGGAGCTCTAAGGTAAGAGGACCTTCTTTGAATCACAGCTGTAGTTTCATCTTTCAGTGCTGAGAAAAAAAAAAAATCAATGGTCTGTCTAAATGCATTAACACTGGTCTTATATTTATGTTTATTTGATCCAGTGACTTGCTTGATAGTTAATTAAATAATAAATGAGATAGAAAAATACAGAGTTGTGTGACACATTTGATAAAGCATGTTACTATAAATAATCCATTCACTAGATAAGAAATAATAATAATAATAACAGCAATCTGAAAATACCATCCATTAGCCTGATTATTCAGGTGACCAGTTAACAAAAATCTGGTACAGAATCCTTTTTCAAGAATATGTTTTATTTATGTATTTATTCTGTTTCAAAGTTTAAAAAAAAAACTTTGTTTCTAGAAAAAGCAAAACAAAACAAACAAAAAATACTCCATCAAATACAACTGTCCACCAGAGGACGCTGTTTCACACAAAACTGCCCTGCTGTAAATAATGACTGTATTATTCCACTTAATTTATAATAAAAAATCATACACCAACACATTTTAGAAGTCTTTATCAATATGGACTCGAAGAATTAGTACACCTTCATAACTGACAGAAACATACTTGTAGTGTAAAATCGTAACATGTTATTCTTGAAGCAGTTAGTAGACTTTATCTACGGTCAGCCTACAGTTTTGTAAAAACAGTTGAAAAAGGAGTGAATCTAAACTGATTTTTTTCATTTTTCATGCTCATAATTTTATTTCTCCTTTCAAAAAAAGAACGCTACAAAGAAATGTAAACTTTAAGTCCAAGTCAAGAGTTGTGTTGTATCGGTAGATTGTGACTTATACTCTAGCTGACCTAAATAAAGATTTACTCACTTTTATTTGAAGGGGAAAAAAAAATAAAACAAAACAAAACAAAAAAAAAAACAAGCTAAAAGTCCTTTGGCACTTTACATTGGAAGCTCTTATTTGCCAAAATTCACAGCAATAAATATAATACACTAAAAAAGTAAGTTACAAGAACGACTGCTAAAAACCTGTGAATTAAAGAAATATCTGAATTTACATGTCACAATTTTAATCAAATGTGGATATTCATTTCTATCAAAGTCCAGTGACTCAACTCTAAAGAGATTATGATTTTTCTCTTGTTCACTAATTTAGCATTTAGTTCCCTGTATGTGTCGTGTTTCCTTTAAGTGTAACGCATATTAAGACTATTGTACCAAATCATGAAAGAATCACATTAAACACTGGAGTTAAAAGTCCCACATTTTATTGATGTAATAGACACAAGAGTAATAACACCAAACACAAAATTGATTATTCATTTATTCATAGATATTTGAGATTTATATCAACTTCTCTGACAGTCATGCAAAAATATGTGCAAACAGATCTTAAGCACAAATTCAGTGAAACTTTTCTCTTATTTTTGTTTTTACTCTTTCAAAAAACACCTTGGTAAAAAAACTAAATCCTTGATCAGTGAAGAAGCCTTGAGAGCTTCTCTGAGCTCTCACCACGGTCCAGTTTGGTATCCTCAGCACAGATTTTTGTCTTTTGTTGGGTTAAATGTGACAATCTAATTGTCTCTCGTCTTTTCTTTCAGGACCAGCTGTGGGTTTTTCCTTTTGTGAATTGTTTTTCTTTGTTCATACTTCGCATTTTTGGGGGAGTCTAAGTACGTGATTTATTTAGTTGGAGTGGAGTTTAGTTAAGTTAGGTACAGACTGTGAGGTAAGGAGTTTTATTTGATTTCTTTGATACAAGAGAGATCCTGAGCTCTATTTTCTACACTCCTTGGTAGGTGGGTTGGAGATTGAGCTGCCTATAAAAGGAGAGGAGAATTGCTCCCAGGGGAGGAAGATGTGCCCTTGTGTAATCTTCTTTGACACTCATTTTGTTTGATCTTGGGAAAGTTTGTAGTTTCTAATGGAACCTATATATGAGGACTTGACTGTAAATAAAAATATTCACTTATGGGAAACAGCAGTCTGTCCATATAAATAAAAAACATACAGACACACTGTGACTCTGTCTCTTTATTTTAATCAGATCCAGGTCTGGTTGAATTTTAAAGTCAAGTGTCTAAAGAGGAGAGTGAAAGAGGAAACAAACGGAGCACTCCTGTGTGTCCACTTGGCTCGGAGGATAAGGCGACTGACTGGGGCTCCTGAGGTTGTGGGTTTCGAGACTTATCCAGGGCAAGGTGAATTTTCAAGTCTAGTGTCATAAGAGGAGAGTGAAATAGGAAAAAAAAACCTGAATTCTCCTGTGTGTCCAGATGGCTCAGATAATAAGAAAGACTGTCTGGGACTCCTGAGGTTGTGGGTTTGAGCCTTATCCAGGGCAAGGTGAATTTTAAAGTCTATTGTCTACAAAGGACAGTGAAATAGGGAAAAAAATGATATCCCCTGTGTGTCCACGTGGCTCATAGGATAAGGAGACTGGCTGAGGCTTCTGAGATCATGGGTTTGAACCTTATCCAGGATGAATTTTAAAGTCAAGGAGCCAAAGCACCAAGATAAAATCTGCAAAGTCAATCTCTGTGTCAGAATCAAAAAAACTGTGACTAGAATTGTTACGGAAGTTCAAACTGAGAGCATGTACGACAGATAAACAGACTCTTAATTGGGAAAGTAAATATACACACACATATATATATATATATAAATTTATATATATTAACAACTTAAATGTTATTAACTAATGACAAACTATGGCTGGAAAGCTATTGTAAGGATGTGATGATACGAAACCTCCACATGATGGAGACACTGACCTTTGTTTTAAAAAAGTTTCCATGTTGAGCTGAAATATTCTTATTACTGCTTACCAAGCAAATAAAGCTGCTGTTTCAAGAATATTTTACTGTAATGTTTGTGGTGTACTTGAATCTGACCTGATTTACGTGAACTGAGCGTGATGGTGAATTTAGTTTAACTCAAGACTTTCCAGTGTGTAGCTACTAAAGTCAAGTTTTGAGCAACAGGGTGTTTGCTTTTTTGGGGGAAACTGCTTCCAATATCTTCAGATAAAGTTGGTAGATGAAGAAAATCGTGATGCAAGACACTAAACCCAGGATTCCTGCTGCTTAAACTCCTCCTCCTCTTCCTCCTCCTCCTCCTCATGCTTCACAATAGCCGGTTATGGCTTTGACATTGATGTAATTGATACTCTGCTAAAACCGTCAGTCATAACCCATCCTTACATCTCTTTTCTCTCGTTCGCTCTCCCTTGGTCTCTCCAGAAAAGTGCTGCCGGCTCTGCCTCAGGAACAGCCGGGCGTTTCCGAATGTGGGTGGTCCGGCTGGGGCGGTAGGGAGAGAGAGGGAGCGAGCAAGAAAGAGAATTAGCCCTGCTCTCATGTTTCCCAAAAGCAAAGGGAGGGAGGGAAGGACGCGAGAAAGAGAGAGTGAGTGAGAAGTGGCGAATGTGAGCGAGAGTCAAAGGGAGAGAGAGCTGGCTTTAGGACTACATCTGTCCTCCAGATGTGGCCTCCACAGTTGTCTAAAACTGGAAAAAAGAAGGTTTTAAAAGTAAAGGAAAATTGGTGCTAAACAGTTTTTTATTGTTAGGGATTACACATACAGCACAGACTACAGTGTTCGGCCCTGGTTTGAGAATCCACCAGCCGCTTTCTCCTCTCTTTTTACGCAGTGAAACAGCACACTAGACCCCTTGAAGTTAATGGATACGAAGGAACACCTGTCCAAATATTATTCAGTCTTAGAGGATAGACATCACGGACGAGACCAAGAGAGCTATGATGGAGTTAGAGAAAATTAATGAGAATTTCTTTGGAGGGGAATTTGTTTTTTTATCAGTAAGGTATGAGACGAAAACGTATCATAGATTAAAAAAAGAAAAAAAAGAAGAAGAAATGGCACAAATTCAGTCCAATGTAGTGTCTGAGAGATGAGACAGAAAGAGAGAGAGAGAGAAAATGATTTGTGCCTGTATGTAAAAGCAAAAATCTGAACAAACATTAGAGGGAATCACCAGTGAGCCATCATTTACACACAGGCCGTAACTTCTACTCGTCTCCCCCGCAGCAGAAATGTTGTTCTTTGGACGTTGTGGTCCCTAGTTGGATTTTAGAGGGATGGTCCACTGTGAGACACGAGTGCCCACAATATTTTTTTGTTATCATCGCGCCCCATGGTCTGGAAAAAACAGCAAACCAAAGGAAAATAAACAAGATGACACACTTTTTCCTTAACAACACAGGGCTGTTTCCTCCCGCTGATGGTTTACATGAATAATACACCAACGTTAAGTGCTACGAATTGTTTTCTGAAATAAGAACATGAGTTGTTGGTTTTTTTTCTTTTTAAAAAGACCTGGAATGTGTCAGATCATCAAATATTCAACACTTAAACATTGAGTCCATGTGTTCAATGAAGGTTGATGTTAAAAAATGTAAGTTTCATTCAAAAAACAGAAAGAGTCAGCTAGACGGTTCTTGACTAAATAGGAAACCTTAAAGTGATGAAGTTACCGACAGTCTATCAATTTCCTTCTTGCATTTTGGCATTACTTTTACTCGTAAAGATGCCAGTCAATACTTAAAAGTGCATACTTGACACACACACAGTCACACACTAACATATCTAAAATTTCCAAAAATGTAATTATAACAAAGTAGTTTTTGTAAATCAATCAATCAATGCACATTTTAAATTCAAATTTCTCTGCTTACTCTATTTGCTACTTTATACTTTTACGTGCATACTTGATTAGCGAATACACAGACACAGATTATTTTTAAAAATTTTCTTTTGAATAATTTTAACAAAAATCTTTATGTTGGTGAGTCAGTGCCTAAATCTCTTTTTAAAAATCTTATTTCTGTGCAAACGTCCTACATCACGAGCATGCAAATTAACTCCTAAATGTCCCTATTTGAATGGTAGAACACAAATATACACCCACAAATATCTAATACTTTAAGCGTAATTAAAAAAAAAAAAGTTTTGACTTTTCAACGCCCTAATAATCTGCTTCTAATCATATTTCTGTGCCTGTGTTTTACATTACAAACACACCAGTTTATACTTAAAAGTGCATACTCAATTGGCGAAACACACACACAAACATCAAATTTATGTTGATTTTTCTACAAACAAATTGTTCTTTATATAAAAAACTTATTTTTACTCAATCATTACTCACAGAA